CACTAGTTCACAATCCAGAGCAGTCAAAAGTCTACCCCGGTTCAAACATTGGAGCTTCTCCATCTCAAACAATAAAGTCCAAGACGGAATCCCTTTTGGTTTCTTTTCCACTGCAGTAAATGCAGGTAGAATCGCTCAAAGTACGGACCAATTTTAGGCCATGGTACCTTGAGCGAACTCAATGACTAGACGCCAAAGAGTGCAGTGCGTTCAATAAAAAAACCAGAATCTCATATTAAGACAAGCCCTATAAATAAGGCGTCTACAATGAGCGAGTTGGAAAAGAGCCCGGAGACTCACTGTTAAAGACCATGATATACACATTTTGCATGAAAATGTTTACGTATATTCCTTTTGATATATCGTGACCAATAGAATACGAGGTATTCAGGGATCACTGCAAAAGTAGAGAAGTAAAAGCAAAATATATTATAAAGTTAATATACTTGTCATGTTAAAAAATGTGTGTGTGTACGCATTTACTTACCTCGCAGATAAACTGCGAATGGTTTAACCAGTACTACTGTTCCTTGCACATGAAATCGTCCTTGTTTCCTTGTACATGAAATCGACCTGGTGTCCTTGAACATGAAATCGTCCTGGTGTCCTTGTACATGAAATCGACCTGGTGTCCTTGTACATGAAATCGACCTTGTGTCCTTGTACATGAAATCGACCTTGTGTCCTTGAACATGAAATCGACCTTGTGTCCTTGAACATGAAATCCCCCTTGTGTCCTTGTACATGAAATCGTCCTGGTGTCCTTGTACATGAAATCGACCTTGTGTCCTTGAACATGAAATCGTCCTTGTGTCCTTGTACATGAAATCGTTCGGGAATCCTTGTACATGAAATCCCGTTTGTGTTCTTCTGCAAGAAATCTCCTTGGTGTTCCTAGTACATGGAATCGCCCAAGTGTTCCTTGCGCAGGAAATCTCCCTGGTGTTCCTTGTACATGGAATCGCCCAAGTGTTCCTTGAGAAGGAAATCTCCCTGGTGTTCCTTGTACATGGAATCGCCCAAGTGTTCCTTGAGAAGGAAAACACCCTGGTGTTCCTAGTACATGGAATCGCCCAAGTGTTCCTTGAGAAGGAAAACACCCTGGTGTTCCTAGTACATGGAATCGCCCAAGTGTTCCTTGCGCAGGAAATCTCCCTGGTGTTCCTTGTACATGGAATCGCCCAAGTGTTCCTTGCGCAGGAAATCTCCCTGGTGTTCCTAGTACATGGAATCGCCCAAGTGTTCCTTGCGCAGGAAAACACCCTGGTGTTCCTTGTACATGGAATCGCCCAAGTGTTCCTTGCGCAGGAAATCTCCCTGGTGTTCCTAGTACATGGAATCGCCCAAGTGTTCCTTGCGCAGGAAATCTCCCTGGTGTTCCTAGTACATGGAATCGCCCAAGTGTTCCTTGCGCAGGAAATCTCCCTGGTGTTCCTTGTACATGGAATCGCCCAAGTGTTCCTTGAGAAGGAAATCTCCCTGGTGTTCCTTGTACATGGAATCGCCCAAGTGTTCCTTGCGCAGGAAATCTCCCTGGTGTTCCTAGTACATGGAATCGCCCAAGTGTTCCTTGAGAAGGAAAACACCCTGGTGTTCCTAGTACATGGAATCGCCCAAGTGTTCCTTGAGAAGGAAAACACCCTGGTGTTCCTAGTACATGGAATCGCCCAAGTGTTCCTTGCGCAGGAAATCTCCCTGGTGTTCCTTGTACATGGAATCGCCCAAGTGTTCCTTGCGCAGGAAAACGCCCTGGTGTTCCTTGTACATGGAATCGCCCAAGTGTTCCTTGCGCAGGAAATCTCCCTGGTGTTCCTTGTACATGGAATCGCCCAAGTGTTCCTTGAGAAGGAAATCTCCCTGGTGTTCCTTGTACATGGAATCGCCCAAGTGTTCCTTGCGCAGGAAATCTCCCTGGTGTTCCTTGTACATGGAATCGCCCAAGTGTTCCTTGAGAAGGAAAACACCCTGGTGTTCCTAGTACATGGAATCGCCCAAGTGTTCCTTGAGAAGGAAAACACCCTGGTGTTCCTAGTACATGGAATCGCCCAAGTGTTCCTTGAGAAGGAAAACACCCTGGTGTTCCTAGTACATGGAATCGCCCAAGTGTTCCTTGCGCAGGAAATCTCCCTGGTGTTCCTTGTACATGGAATCGCCCAAGTGTTCCTTGCGCAGGAAAACGCCCTGGTGTTCCTTGTACATGGAATCGCCCAAGTGTTCCTTGCGCAGGAAATCTCCCTGGTGTTCCTTGTACATGGAATCGCCCAAGTGTTCCTTGAGAAGGAAATCTCCCTGGTGTTCCTTGTACATGGAATCGCCCAAGTGTTCCTTGCGCAGGAAATCTCCCTGGTGTTCCTTGTACATGGAATCGCCCAAGTGTTCCTTGAGAAGGAAAACACCCTGGTGTTCCTAGTACATGGAATCGCCCAAGTGTTCCTTGAGAAGGAAAACACCCTGGTGTTCCTAGTACATGGAATCGCCCAAGTGTTCCTTGCGCAGGAAATCTCCCTGGTGTTCCTTGTACATGGAATCGCCCAAGTGTTCCTTGAGAAGGAAATCTCCCTGGTGTTCCTTGTACATGGAATCGCCCAAGTGTTCCTTGAGAAGGAAATCTCCCTGGTGTTCCTTGTACATGGAATCGCCCAAGTGTTCCTTGCGCAGGAAATCTCCCTGGTGTTCCTTGTACATGGAATCGCCCAAGTGTTCCTTGAGAAGGAAAACACCCTGGTGTTCTTAGTACATGGAATCGCCCAAGTGTTCCTTGAGAAGGAAAACACCCTGGTGTTCCTAGTACATGGAATCGCCCAAGTGTTCCTTGAGAAGGAAAACTCCCTGGTGTTCCTTGTACATGGAATCGCCCAAGTGTTCCTTGCGCAGGAAATCTCCCTGGTGTTCCTTGTACATGGAATCGCCCAAGTGTTCCTTGAGAAGGAAATCTCCCTGGTGTTCCTTGTACATGGAATCGCCCATGTGTTCCTTGTGCACGGAATCGCCTTGATGGTTCTTGTGCTGGAAATCGCCCAGGTGTTCCTTGCGCAGGAAATTGCACTGGTCTTCCTTGTACATGAAATTGTCCAGGTGTTCTCTGTGCTGGAAATCGACCTAGTTTTTCTTGTACATGAACTCGACATGAAAGACTTTTTCGTGAACCACAGTGGAATGGATTTTGGACATATGATCAAAAAGAAAACAGGTACAAAAAACATTGTGCTGTAGTTAGTAGTTGACCGTGTCAAAGTTTGATTGTGTGTATAAAATGTTTTACCTGCTATTAGACTGGACATCATAGTGTGCAACTTAACTAGAAGTCATGTGTGTGATGCATTTTCATTATTAATATTAATATATGTCTTATATGAATGGAAATATATAGACATTGAAATGCATTTTTCCTACCTGTGGGAAACCAAAGACCATGAAAAGAAAAAGGGAAGGAAGAAAAGGGTAGACAGGCAATAGGGATTTGTATCAATTGTTATAAGAGAAAAAATGGGGATGGCGCAGTAAATAAGGCGTAAAATACCTATTTAGGATAAATCAAAACAAATTCATGTGAAAATAAAGAGCCCTATGTTTTTAGTGAAAGTTCTATACTTTTTGTCACATATTTTTTTAAGAACGTCTTGGTATTGCCTGATAGATACATTGAATAGTACTGGCACTGAGAACATTTGGATATTGTTTGGCTTTAAATAACCTTTGTATGTCTTTGTAGAAATATTTTTTACACACTTTTTATCTCATCTAATACTCATCCTGTTTTTTTTTAAAAATCCGCCAAACAAATAAAGAAAGGTAATTAAGTCTTCTGATCACAACCTGTTTAGTTTCATTTCACAAAGTATCTTGAAATACAAGTAACTAAAGAATCACCCTTTCTGAGAGAATAATATCATATTCATTATTAAATGAGTTGATATTTTAATGCTTCTCGAAAATCTTTTCTTATATATTTAAATTTGTTGTAAATGAGTATTGACTACTGCTGTAATTGAGAATAAGTCTGAAGGAAATAATATAAGTCCTCAGCTATTCCAGTCAAAAATGTCTACCAACTACTTTATTATTTAACACGGGTTTATTATGCACAATAGTGATTATATTTTATATAATGATATCATCATAATATGTGATACATCAATGAATTATTACAAGTATACTTATGACTCACAAACACATTTACTTTTGATGTTAACACTTCATTGGGACTACACACCTTTATATAATTAATCATACATTAATTATCCCAAGATCACGTTCCTCTGAATAAGGCTCAGATAGGATCGATTACCTGACCCCAGTCATATAATTTTCCCAGTCCAAAACAATATAAATAGCAGTGGTAGTTCAGTGTAGAAACCTCGTCAAATTTTGATACCAAATCTTTTCTCAATAAGCAAACCCTACACAAGTTCTCACGAATCTTTGTTCCTCACTTTCAAATCTTGCATTCTTTTTAACAACTTCAAAAACTTCAACTACCACAACAAAATTATACAATTTTAAATATATATGCAATATCTCTTGTCAGCTATAAATACAGAGTTTTCTCTTACTTTTAATTAATTAAAGTATTATTATTATAGTGCACATTAACGTGTCTTAGCTAATACGGGTTATTCACTTTAAAGCTATGTTCAAAGGCAAAATTTTAATTTTATAATTGTGATAGTAAAAGTACAATAAGCTAACTATTGAATCTTTATTTTTGATACTCTAGTATGTATATATTGCTGCAAAATTGTCAAATCATTTATTTAAAGAATTATGATAAATATTCTATAGTAACTTTACATATCTAATAGTATGTATAAATATTCCTTCTTTTTTCTCTTTCTTTCTATGATAATAGCATTACTTTTTGATACAGAGCCTAGTTGAAATTTTTTATTTTCTTTATGCAACCCTTCTGTTTTTTCATTATTTTTAATATACAGTATCTATAATTATTTTATCAAAAAAATATAGCGATTCTTATATCTAATCAAGCTAACTATATATCTTAGAATATATCAAATTCTGATATAGTCGATATAATGGAATCAGAACAATAATGCGTATTTTAAGCTCAAAGCACAGAATACAACAGATAAGAATACCTCTGTGTCTCTCTTTATATATATATCTTTATTATTTGACACAGTTAGCTTTGGAAAAGGTTTGTTTTTGGCCAAACTCATTTGATATATTTATATCTGGTCGACACAATTATTTGCAAGTAATTAGAAGACATCACCCCCAAAAAAAACTCTGACAAAGCCTCCAGCATTTATGCTGCCCTATTCCATCTCGTACAAGAACTCAAAGCCTTAAAAATATATTTAGTTGGCTCCGAAAAACCAAGAAAACCATTTACCTTCTATGAATGTGATCAAAAAGAGTATCGAAGACCAGAATGTTCCAACCTTCAAGAAAGCAACAGTGAAAAAGGTTTGGGCACTAGTATAGAGGACTACTGGAGCTCATTTTATATAAAACCCACCATAAAACAGCCATGAATCCAATGTTAATCTCATTGAGTCCGTTTCTGTCTTTACTGCTTAAACAAAAAATAGAGTAGACACCGACATTTCAGAACCTTCAATCTCAAACCGTCAAAAAGAAAATAAACCTGCTGTATACACATCAAATAAACATCTTTTTCCTCAATTCCCAGTTGCAACAAAAAGATTTTCTCCTATAAAATATAATACAAGAATGAGTCAAGTAGCTGGACCATCAGATTTTCTTGATCCTAGAAAAGCCACAAATAAAATAAGAACCAAAAGAACCCCATCAAAATTACTGCCAGTAATAAAAAGATCAAAGGACGGCGTCTGGGATACACTACTACTAACAGATGCAGAATTGACCGTTGCTGACTGGTTAGCAATGAACAAATTCACCTCAAAAGATATCAAAGGTGAGTTCTATTATCTACATGGACTAAAAAAGAATCTAATTCCCCCTATCAACTTGGTTAAAAACAATAAGAACACAGATATTGAGACTGACACTTATATCAGTACTAAGTTCAAAACGGATACTGATACCAAGACTAGCACCGATATCAACGCTGATAATAACACTTATAAAGAATTTGACAGTATGGAGGATGACATTGGCTCTGAAAATTATATCAATGGCTCCAATAGATACAAATCTGCCCAAGAATACAGTGATGACATCACTTATAACTATAAAAGCAATTTCAACAATTTCTCTGTTAGTCAGCCACTAAAGGCTTCAATAATGATCAATAACTATATTATCTCAGTAATCTTTGACTCTGACGCAAGTGTTTCTATTATTGGCAAAACCTAGTAGAAAAACTTGGACTCAAGCCGACTGGAGACAAACTAACTATATCTAGTCTTGACGTATAATCCAAAGAACCATGCAACATAATCAAGTATGTACCAGTACAAATAGCCGGAAATTTAGATCAGACACTATGAGCGTCAAAAGTGAACCCTCGAGCAAAGACCCTTAACTTTCTGGAATGCTCTGGTTCCGAACCTGTGGAATACAACTTCGACCTCAAAATTCAGCCATTATAATACTAATAAAACATGAATCTGGATATGTTAAGCTAAAAGATGAAACAAGACCAGTTCAACAACAGTCAGCCCAAAAATATTCAATCACTATTCGTTTAAGTTTGTTTGAGAAAATTGTATGCCCAAAGGCTAAATATATAAGACATTAATTTGTACTCTGGATATATTCTTTTAGCCCGAGTCGTCGAATGTTTAAGGTGACAATAGCTGCAATTTAGCTATTGACAAATGCTATTTGTTTAAGGGAAACTCTGGAATCCCATCAGACTTACTGCCTAGAAGGACCAAAAACACCTGAAAAAGATTAGGACAAATTATTGCAAGAAAATCAATTCGAAGTTTTACGAACACAATTTGTAACATCACTTTGGGAGAACAATGAAGCACAAAATCTCTATATATCCTAACAAAACGAACATATTGTCACAGGAAAACAACTACTAGAATACGTTGACAAATTACTCCCAGAAACATCAAATTAAGAAGCAAAAATACCAAACGTTATCAATGATCTTTTAAATAAAAACTAGTGTGCATATGCTGAAAATAGTGGATTGATTTTAGTCAATCTCTTGGAATATCACATACCCACAAACATTATCCAACGTATTTGCTTTAGACCTTATCAACTTATCTGAGAAGAAAACAAAGCTCTCAAAATAGAAATAAATCATCTTCTAGAGCTTGGCCTTATTCTTCCATTGCAAGTATTGTAAACTTCCTCTGTCTTCTTTGTTAAGAAATGAGATAAAGTACTACTCCTCATTATATATTACTGAAGATTAAATCAAATCACAATTAAAGATGATTTCCCTTTATCTCATATTGATGACTTGCTTGATTCACTTGGTGGAGCTACCTGGTTTTACACACAGGATGCTGCGAGTGGATTCTGGAAAATCCCGGTTACACAATATTCGATTGAAAAATTGGTGTTGTAAAACGACATAGGACATATGAATTCACAGTTATGCCTTTTGGTTTTTCATCAGCTCCGTCTACTTTTCAAAGAACAACGCCTATAACTTTATAATAATATATTGGAAAATTTTCATATATCTTTATTGATGATATACTTATTTTTTCCAAGTCACTCTCCGAACATGCTAAGCATCTCGAACTAGTATTTCAAGCTTGTCACATTGAAAACCTTAGACTAAAGAAAAACAAATGTCTATTTGCCAGACGATTAGTTGAATACTTAGAATATGTTGTGCCACTATCATATTTCAAGCATATTACTAATGTTACAGTCACTGTATTTTTTTTTATATTCTAGTTGTTTAATGGTTAAGTACTTATATATACTTGCGTATTAATTAAGTTCATATTATATTCAAATACTCCGGCTTATATCAGAATATTACCAGATATTAAAAGCAAAGGCTAAATATTTAAAAATATTGCTATTTCACTCTTAATTAATCTTATTTCTTCTATTTTTCTTTATTTAAAACAGTATAGAACCGTTATACAATCCCCTTGTCTTTATAGACTTCAATAAATAGCAAGATAATAAAGCTATATACTAATATTTAAAAGTATACTACTATATTTTATAACATATATGTTGTGGGGAGAAAATAAAGCAAAATATAATATAGACGAAAGAATTCGTGAGAACTTGTGTAGGTTGTTTATTTCAAAAGAAAAGTAAAGAATGATCAAATTCCCTCTTTCTACACGGAACTATCTACTGATATTTATATGTTTTTCTAATTTGTAATTCAGTGTGTGCTTAAGTAATCTTTATCATGATGAGTCATCTTCCAGGAGTATTGTTCTTCTGGAAAGATCCGGAAAGACCAATTGATATGATACTTCTCCAGTCAGATCAGTCCAAGAGTTTCGGTAAAGAAGAGCATTTATGCTATTGGTAATATTTTAGTATTCCGACCCAGATACTCGGGTAATGTTTCATAATATTAAATAGTTGTAGTTGTAGTCTCTCAATTAAGTATTTGTATAATAAAAGAAATATGTAGATGAAATATAATGATGCCATATATATAATGTATATGTATTTGTATATCCCATGTCATGGTGATAATAATAAATAATCAATTATGTGTATGATGATCTGTGTATTAGATAATATCATAAAGGGAGATTCGTTTGACTGGAATAGCTGAGGATATTATTTTATCCTTCAATCTTACTCTCAGATTCAGCAGTAATCAATACTCATTCACAACAGATAATATGTATATCTCACTCTTATATCAGCTCATCTGCAATAATTTGACATTAAATTTCCGCAACCTCCCTTCCTCTCAAATATTGATTACCATTGTTGTGGGGAGAAAATAAAGCAAAATATAATATAGACGAAAGAATTCGTGAGAACTTGTGTAGGTTGTTTATTTCAAAAGAAAAGTAAAGAATGATAAAATTCGATTGTCTTTCTACACGGAACTATCTACTGATATTTATATGTTTTTCTAATTTGTAATTCAATGTGTGCTTAAGTAATCTTTATCACGATGAGTCATCTTCCAGGAGTATTGTTCTTCTGGAAAGATCCGGAAAGACCAATTGATATGATACTTCTCCAGTCAGATCAGTCCAAGAGTTTTGGTAAAGAAGAGCATTTATGCTATTGGTAATATTTTAGTATTCCGACCCAGATACTCGGGTAATGTTTCATAATATTAGATAGTTGTAGTTGTAGTCTCTCAATTAAGTATTTGTATAATAAAAGAAATATGTAGATGAAATATAATGATGCCATATATATAATGTATATGTATTTGTATATCCCATGTCATGGTGATAATAATAAATAATCAATTATGTGTATGATGATCTGTGTATTAGATAATATCATAAAGGGAGATCCGTTTGACTGGAATAGCTAAGGATATTATTTTATCCTTCAGTCTTACTCTCAGATTCAGCAGTAATCAATACTCATTCACAACATTATCCTCCACCAGATTCAACAATACCTTTTGTTGATTCGGCAATAAAACATTTCATTTACTATTTCATTGTCTGGCCAATTGCTTATTTTATTATAGTCAATCATGCACATAATTTTTGTACTTTATGGAGATCTACACTGTAAACTCAGCTTTGTGGATTACGTGTTCATTTTTTGTTATTTTAATTTTTTGTTGCTCTTCTTTTGTGTAATCTTTCTTCTCTACTCAAAGTGGTAGGAAGTGTTCTTTTCTTGTGCTCATCGTTATTGTTACTTTTACCATTTAGTCTTGAAGTGTGAACTATTTTCTTTTTTGAGGATGCACTTTTGTTAATCAAGTCTTCAGCTCTCTCATTCTCTAAACGTTCCAACTCTCTAACTTTCTTCCAATATTTTTGTACAATTGTGGAATCGGTAAAGTCTTCAGCCTTTTGCCATGTATTAGCGCGTTCGCCATAGCCAGCCCATTTGACCAAATATTCTCGTTGACCAGCAGTACCACGATGATCTCGAATGTCTTCAACTTCGTAGAGCTCATTCTCAATTGTTGATTCATCGATGGTGACCATCTTGAGTTCTGAGGGTGTATAATTTCGGTGTAACAATTCACCTTGCTCATCCTTTAACTCATACGATCCTCCTTTATTCTTTCGAACCACTGTATATGGACCTTCATAAATAGGTGCCAATTTATTTGATCGATGTGGTAATCTGACCATAACGTGTGTTCCTTTGGGGATGTCGATTAGGATATTTTTGTGATCATATTTCTTTTTTAATTCCTCATTAATCCTTAACACACGTTCGTTAATGGCAGGGAATATAATATTTTCCATATGATCAATCTGCTTCTCTAGCTCATCAATTGTAACTGTGGCTTTTGGAAGAGAGTATTTATCTTTGTCACCATACTCATCAGGCACATTGACTCTGCGAGCATACATTAATGAAAACGGCGCACTTAGTGTTTTTTGAGGAATATGTCTATTGATACACAGCTGAACAATCGGTAGATAGTGACACCAGTCATTGCTGTTCGCTCTCATCATTTTACGTACAGTATTCTCTGCAATTTTTACACTGGCTTCGGCAATACCATTTCCTTGTGGGTGATATGCTGTCGAATATCTTCGATCAATCCCAAGCTCTTTAGATAGGCTTGACATTAAAGAGTTTCTAAATTCCAGACCATTGTCACTTTGCATTACTTTGGGAAAACCATAATCTCCAAAAATCTTTATCAATGCTTTAGCTATTGTTGTTGAGTTCTTGTTTGGCAGTGGTCTCAAGATAATGTACTTGGAGCATACATCAACCAGAACTAACATGTACGTGTGTCCATCCTCTGATACAGGGAATTCACCGCATAAGTCAATTGCAATATGATCAAATGGTCGGAATGCTACAACATTAGTCAATGGGTGATAGCCTTTCTTGCTAATATTGTGTTTCTGACATTCAGGGCAAGAACGAATAATCTCTTTAGCCTCTTCATATATATTAGTCCAGTGTAAGCCTTGTGAATGAAGATCATTCACTATAGCTTGACTTCCAAAGTGACCAAACGAATGTGCTTCTTTTAGTAAGCCATTACGCTTTTCTTCAGGAGGTGACATATAGTCGGACGACTCTGAAGCATTTTCGACGAGTTGCGTTGCAAGTACATTTAGCACTCTGTCTTTACTATATTTTTTCTTTTGAACAATAACTCTGTTTTTAGCTTGAAAGTCATTTGTTCTGATTTTTCTCAATCCATCATCCTCCACCAGCTTGTCACTATCCTCTGGAGGATACAAGCGGCTTAGCAAATCAGGTAGTTTATTCAACAAACCAGGAATATGGACCACTTTAAAATCAAAGTCAAGGAGTGTCTCAATCCAGCCAATCATCATTGGATTAGCGATTTTTTTGAGTGTGGAGATAAATGAGTGCTCGATGATCAGTAAAAATTGTGAACTGTCGGCCCCACAGAAATGGACGGAATTTTTCAAGCGCCAAAACGACTGCATATAATTCTCTTTTAGTTGTGCTCCATCGTCGCTGCGATGGGCTTAAGGAAGTTGATACAAAGCTGATATATTTATCACGCCCTTGTTCATCTCGCTGAAACAATAAGCAAGCTGCTCCATAAAGGGATGCATCTGTGGCCACATACATTTCACGTGACATATCTGCGTAATGAAGAATTAAATCTTGGTGCAATATGTCTTTTAGTGCTTTAAAGCTTTTCGTCTGCTCATCTGTCCATTGACCAGACACATTCTTGGCATGACTCAAACGTGAAATAGGCTCAGCTACCTTCGAAATCATAGGAATATAATCTCTGAAGTAATTGATCAAACCCATGAATTGCTGAATCTGTTTCGCAGTTGTAGGAATAGGCCATTTGTCAACATTTGTCAACTTTCGCTTATCAACCTTGGTGCCTGTCTCATTGACGACAAAACCAAGCAATCTCACTGAATGTTGAAACCAGACACACTTTTCCGAGTTCAGAATCAACTTCGCGGATGACAATTTTTCAATAACTAATTTTACGTCTTTGACATGCTGTTCAAATGTTTCACTGGCAACAATACAATCATCAACAAAATTCTGTACACAGTCAATCTTATCAAATAAAGTAGCCATGACATGTTGAAATTGTGAAGTAAGCATCTTCAAGCCAAAACAGCCTTTAATAAAGCTATACTGTTGCCCATCTAAGTGAGTGAATGTCAGTTTGTGTACATCCTCAGGTGCAACTTTGAAACGATGATACGCATTGGATAAGTCGAGTGTGGTAAAGAATTTCTTTCCACTTAAGTTTTGAAATATTGTTTGAATTTTTGGAATTGGATAATTGAATGTGGGAGGTAGGATCTGATTTAACAATCGCACATCTAAACACACTCTATGACTGACAATCTCACCAGCTTTGTTTCTCTTTGGAACAAGCAACATTGGACTGTTGAAGGAAGTGTTGGTCTTGGACTTGACAATAGTTCCTGTCTCAAGCCATTCTTTTACTTGCTTGTCAAGTGTTGGTCTTAGAGCGTGCGGTATAGGATACTGCCGTCTGTAAGCCGTCGCACCTTCCTTAGTAGGTAAACGAATAATAGATTCTGATAAAGGACAATATGACTCAACGGGAATATTCTTATTTTCCTCCAGTGATGCTTTAATAGAGCTCATAAATTCTGCTCGTTGCTGTGCTGTGCCAGCTGGCGAATTATCAGGTTCAAACTTTTTCTCTTTATCAATATTTAGATTTTCATAAATGGCGGCATAGTCTTTTGCATTATCTGAATGGACATATTCTCCTTCAATATCATATGCAACATTAATTAATCCAATATTCATCTTTGCCAAAATATCTCTTCCAAGGAGGATATCAAAATTAAAACCCGTATTAAACTCTAACACCTCTGGTGCATGCTTAAAGGTGATGCCATTTATATATTTAAAATTTAAAGGATCAGTTTTTCCTAATCTCTTTGTACTACTATTCTTAGACAGAAAATTAAAGGAACCAATTGAAGAATTTATTTTTGTTATTTGTAAATTGTTATTTAAACATTTCAAATTTATAAACGTGCGGGAACTGCCTGTATCGATCATCCCGATTAACTTCTGGTTCTCTATTATGATTGGAGTTACAAGATTAAACGCATCATTAGCTTTAATTCTTCTCTCAATTCTGTCAAGTAGGTACTTACATTCAAATGATATTTCCTCCATGTCTTCATCTATCCTGTCCTGGATCGTCTTGAGCGTCTGCTCAGACTTATCCTTTGCGGGAGACTGGGATACCATGAGAATTGGCTCATTGTTCTTGCTTTTGCAGACATGACCATGGTAGTAGTTTTCACCACAACGTCTGCAAGGATTGCGACTGTTGGAACTACTGGCTTTGTTCTTGCGGTTGATCAAGGTAAAACACTTGCTGGACTCATGGGTCGGGTTTTTTCCATGGTGCGAGCAGAAAAATGTCTTCTCATGCTTGGTTATCTTGTTGGAGTGGTGAAGCTTCTTTCTGGGATGTTCCTCGTTATTCTTCTCAGGTTGCCCACGGGAACCAGGAATCAATCGGGTCGCCTCAGCATAGAGCCTGTTGTCATCCCCAAGGATGTCTCTGCCGATCTGCGTGATCTGCTCTACAGTCCAATCACGCTTGGACTCCCCATTGGGACCAGAGCGGGCCATGGTAACTCTTACCAGTGTTTGCACTGATAAGGTCAGCGAGGCAAGGAAGCGATCAGCGATGCGAGCATCGTCTTTGGGTAAACCAGCATTGTAAACCGCACGGAGGAACTTCTTCGAGTAATCACCGATGGACTCAGTGTTCTTCATCATCATTGTAAAGACCTGGTCTGTGAATCGCCGAGACACCAAGCTGGAACCATGTCTTTTGTTGAAGCATGATTTCGCCGCCTTCCAATCAATACACTTCTTAAGATCCATCTCTACCCATCCGTCATCAGTGTGAGGCAGGCAAAGTGGGAGGAATTTCTTCCAAACTCTCTCGATGTCCAAGGAAGAAGACTCGATCACATTCTTGAAGGTACGTAGGAAATGTCCAACTGATTCAAAAACCTCTTCATTTGGGAAGGGCTTAATAATACTGGAGGCCAATTGGAATTTGGGAAGATCTCTTCTGTTGAGAGTCAACCCTCCTTCACGGCCAGCTCTCTCTGTGTTTGTACCAGGAGAGGCAAGCATCTCGCTGCACTTTTCAAGGCTAGTGATTGCCAATCTTGTGCGCTCGATCCTGCGGAGTGCATCATCAGCTGCTTGCTCATTGTTTGCTACATGAGCAGCGCTGAAGGCCTCGATATGGTTGCCCAATTCAGCCTTGAGAACGGCCACACAGGAGGAAGCAGTTGCTACTTCTCTACCAACGGGAGGGGAACCAGAACCAGAAACGGAACCAAAACCAGGGGCAGCATCCGGAAAGAGGACGGGCTCACTCAAGTCAGAGAATAATTCATCCGCAGACATGGGGGACAAGGTAGCCTCCTCAGGAACAGGGGTCAAACCAGCGGGAAACAAGTCAGCAGGAGAGTTCATTGTAGTTCACGAAAAAAAATGTTGTGGGGAGAAAATAAAGCAAAATATAATATAGACGAAAGAATTCGTGAGAACTTGTGTAGGTTGTTTATTTCAAAAGAAAAGTAAAGAATGATAAAATTCGATTGTCTTTCTACACGGAACTATCTACTGATATTTATATGTTTTTCTAATTTGTAATTCAATGTGTGCTTAAGTAATCTTTATCACGATGAGTCATCTTCCAGGAGTATTGTTCTTCTGGAAAGATCCGGAAAGACCAATTGATATGATACTTCTCCAGTCAGATCAGTCCAAGAGTTTTGGTAAAGAAGAGCATTTATGCTATTGGTAATATTTTAGTATTCCGACCCAGATACTCGGGTAATGTTTCATAATATTAGATAGTTGTAGTTGTAGTCTCTCAATTAAGTATTTGTATAATAAAAGAAATATGTAGATGAAATATAATGATGCCATATATATAATGTATATGTATTTGTATATCCCATGTCATGGTGATAATAATAAATAATCAATTATGTGTATGATGATCTGTGTATTAGATAATATCATAAAGGGAGATCCGTTTGACTGGAATAGCTAAGGATATTATTTTATCCTTCAGTCTTACTCTCAGATTCAGCAGTAATCAATACTCATTCACAACAACCATCATATCTTGAATAGAGTTCTTTCTACTGTTCAAAAGTCTTACTGGAGAATAATTTCTGATAATCTCCCTTTTGCTCTTGCAGATATGTAGAATATATTAATAGTAACATATAAATAGAGCAGTGATATTGGATATACCTGAGATATGCTATATATTTACAGTAACAAAATTAATAATATTATAATTTATTCACACACATAATATTTATATAAAAGCAGCACGTACTGTAAGAATTGAAAAGGTAGTAGTTAAAATATATTCAGTTCTGTCTTTATTTCACAAGGGTACTTAAAATATTGAATTCAAGTAGAATTTTGGGATAATATATATTTTCTTCATTGCTCTATTTTACATTTTACTTTTCATTCTTTTCATTTATTTTCCATCATAGATGAAAGATTGAAATCAGAGTTTCAATTGTTTAATATTTTCTTTCTCTTATTTTCTCCCTTAATATACATGTTTTAACATTATATTTTGTTCTCATTTAACTTTAACTTGTTTAATTGAATAAATGCATTTCAGAAAAAAAAGAATATTAAAATTAAAGACAACTAATCAGAAAACGTGTTGATTTTAGTGATTTGGTTTTTGTTGTTGCTTTTTATATTGATATAATATGATACATCTTGTTAATTTATCAAGAGAAATGCACAAAAACAAAACAGAGAATAAAATACAATAGAAGAATATGACATATGCTACGTTGGTTTGTGTGATATAAGCATTTGTAAAAGAAAATATATGAAAAGGAGAAAAGATTGGTCAGACCAACACTTGTAGCCTTTGCAGCAAATAGCAGTGCTCTTCAGATCAAGGAACAGAAAAAAATATATAGACAAATATTAATATTTGCAAAAGATAATTATTACTGAATTGATTTGTTTGGGATTGTATAGTTTTTATAAAATAATTAGATAGCATGGTTATTGAGATAATTTAATAGTTTGAATAATAATAGTGCATGTAAATTAATATGAACGCTTGTTACTTTTAGAATGAGATGATAAAGCTTGTGGAAATAACCTTGATATAAATAAGTGATGAAGAAAGTAAAGATTAGAAAAAACTTAAGATAGTAAAAGCTTGAAAGCTTGTTAAACAGTTAATTGTGTCGACCAGATATAAATATATCAAATGAGTTTGGCCAAAAACAAACCTTTTCCAAAGCTAACTGTGTCAAATAATAAAGATATATATATAAAGAGAGACACAGAGGTATTCTTATCTGTTGTATTCTGTGCTTTGAGCTTAAAATACGCATTATTGTTCTGATTCCATTATATCGACTATATCAGAATTTGATATATTCTAAGATATATAGTTAGCTTGATTAGATATAAGAATCGCTATATTTTTTTGATAAAATAATTATAGATACTGTATATTAAAAATAATGAAAAAACAGAAGGGTTGCATAAAGAAAATAAAAAATTTCAACTAGGCTCTGTATCAAAAAGTAATGCTATTATCATAGAAAGAAAGAGAAAAAAGAAGGAATATTTATACATACTATTAGATATGTAAAGTTACTATAGAATATTTATCATAATTCTTTAAATAAATGATTTGACAATTTTGCAGCAATATATACATACTAGAGTATCAAAAATAAAGATTCAATAGTTAGCTTATTGTACTTTTACTATCACAATTATAAAATTAAAATTTTGCCTTTGAACATAGCTTTAAAGTGAATAACCCGTATTAGCTAAGACACGTTAATGTGCACTATAATAATAATACTTTAATTAATTAAAAGTAAGAGAAAACTCTGTATTTATAGCTGACAAGAGATATTGCATATATATTTAAAATTGTATAATTTTGTTGTGGTAGTTGAAGTTTTTGAAGTTGTTAAAAAGAATGCAAGATTTGAAAGTGAGGAACAAAGATTCGTGAGAACTTGTGTAGGGTTTGCTTATTGAGAAAAGATTTGGTATCAAAATTTGACGAGGTTTCTACACTGAACTACCACTGCTATTTATATTGTTTTGGACTGGGAAAATTATATGACTGGGGTCAGGTAATCGATCCTATCTGAGCCTTATTCAGAGGAACGTGATCTTGGGATAATTAATGTATGATTAATTATATAAAGGTGTGTAGTCCCAATGAAGTGTTAACATCAAAAGTAAATGTGTTTGTGAGTCATAAGTATACTTGTAATAATTCATTGATGTATCACATATTATGATGATATCATTATATAAAATATAATCACTATTGTGCATAATAAACCCGTGTTAAATAATAAAGTAGTTGGTAGACATTTTTGACTGGAATAGCTGAGGACTTATATTATTTCCTTCAGACTTATTCTCAATTACAGCAGTAGTCAATACTCATTTACAACAAATTTAAATATATAAGAAAAGATTTTCGAGAAGCATTAAAATATCAACTCATTTAATAATGAATATGATATTATTCTCTCAGAAAGGGTGATTCTTTAGTTACTTGTATTTCAAGATACTTTGTGAAATGAAACTAAACAGGTTGTGATCAGAAGACTTAATTACCTTTCTTTATTTGTTTGGCGGATTTTTAAAAAAAAACAGGATGAGTATTAGATGAGATAAAAAGTGTGTAAAAAATATTTCTACAAAGACATACAAAGGTTATTTAAAGCCAAACAATATCCAAATGTTCTCAGTGCCAGTACTATTCAATGTATCTATCAGGCAATACCAAGACGTTCTTAAAAAAATATGTGACAAAAAGTATAGAACTTTCACTAAAAACATAGGGCTCTTTATTTTCACATGAATTTGTTTTGATTTATCCTAAATAGGTATTTTACGCCTTATTTACTGCGCCATCCCCATTTTTTCTCTTATAACAATTGATACAAATCCCTATTGCCTGTCTACCCTTTTCTTCCTTCCCTTTTTCTTTTCATGGTCTTTGGTTTCCCACAGGTAGGAAAAATGCATTTCAATGTCTATATATTTCCATTCATATAAGACATATATTAATATTAATAATGAAAATGCATCACACACATGACTTCTAGTTAAGTTGCACACTATGATGTCCAGTCTAATAGCAGGTAAAACATTTTATACACACAATCAAACTTTGACACGGTCAACTACTAACTACAGCACAATGTTTTTTGTACCTGTTTTCTTTTTGATCATATGTCCAAAATCCATTCCACTGTGGTTCACGAAAAAGTCTTTCATGTCGAGTTCATGTACAAGAAAAACTAGGTCGATTTCCAGCACAGAGAACACCTGGACAATTTCATGTACAAGGAAGACCAGTGCAATTTCCTGCGCAAGGAACACCTGGGCGATTTCCAGCACAAGAACCATCAAGGCGATTCCGTGCACAAGGAACACATGGGCGATTCCATGTACAAGGAACACCAGGGAGATTTCCTTCTCAAGGAACACTTGGGCGATTCCATGTACAAGGAACACCAGGGAGATTTCCTGCGCAAGGAACACTTGGGCGATTCCATGTACAAGGAACACCAGGGAGTTTTCCTTCTCAAGGAACACTTGGGCGATTCCATGTACTAGGAACACCAGGGTGTTTTCCTTCTCAAGGAACACTTGGGCGATTCCATGTACTAAGAACACCAGGGTGTTTTCCTTCTCAAGGAACACTTGGGCGATTCCATGTACAAGGAACACCAGGGAGATTTCCTGCGCAAGGAACACTTGGGCGATTCCATGTACAAGGAACACCAGGGAGATTTCCTTCTCAAGGAACACTTGGGCGATTCCATGTACAAGGAACACCAGGGAGATTTCCTTCTCAAGGAACACTTGGGCGATTCCATGTACAAGGAACACCAGGGAGATTTCCTGCGCAAGGAACACTTGGGCGATTCCATGTACTAGGAACACCAGGGTGTTTTCCTTCTCAAGGAACACTTGGGCGATTCCATGTACTAGGAACACCAGGGTGTTTTCCTTCTCAAGGAACACTTGGGCGATTCCATGTACAAGGAACACCAGGGAGATTTCCTGCGCAAGGAACACTTGGGCGATTCCATGTACAAGGAACACCAGGGAGATTTCCTTCTCAAGGAACACTTGGGCGATTCCATGTACAAGGAACACCAGGGAGATTTCCTGCGCAAGGAACACTTGGGCGATTCCATGTACAAGGAACACCAGGGCGTTTTCCTGCGCAAGGAACACTTGGGCGATTCCATGTACAAGGAACACCAGGGAGATTTCCTGCGCAAGGAACACTTGGGCGATTCCATGTACTAGGAACACCAGGGTGTTTTCCTTCTCAAGGAACACTTGGGCGATTCCATGTACTAGGAACACCAGGGTGTTTTCCTTCTCAAGGAACACTTGGGCGATTCCATGTACTAGGAACACCAGGGTGTTTTCCTTCTCAAGGAACACTTGGGCGATTCCATGTACAAGGAACACCAGGGAGATTTCCTGCGCAAGGAACACTTGGGCGATTCCATGTACAAGGAACACCAGGGAGATTTCCTTCTCAAGGAACACTTGGGCGATTCCATGTACAAGGAACACCAGGGAGATTTCCTGCGCAAGGAACACTTGGGCGATTCCATGTACAAGGAACACCAGGGCGTTTTCCTGCGCAAGGAACACTTGGGCGATTCCATGTACAAGGAACACCAGGGAGATTTCCTGCGCAAGGAACACTTGGGCGATTCCATGTACTAGGAACACCAGGGTGTTTTCCTTCTCAAGGAACACTTGGGCGATTCCATGTACTAGGAACACCAGGGTGTTTTCCTTCTCAAGGAACACTTGGGCGATTCCATGTACTAGGAACACCAGGGAGATTTCCTGCGCAAGGAACACTTGGGCGATTCCATGTACAAGGAACACCAGGGAGATTTCCTTCTCAAGGAACACTTGGGCGATTCCATGTACAAGGAACACCAGGGAGATTTCCTGCGCAAGGAACACTTGGGCGATTCCATGTACTAGGAACACCAGGGAGATTTCCTGCGCAAGGAACACTTGGGCGATTCCATGTACTAGGAACACCAGGGAGATTTCCTGCGCAAGGAACACTTGGGCGATTCCATGTACAAGGAACACCAGGGTGTTTTCCTGCGCAAGGAACACTTGGGCGATTCCATGTACTAGGAACACCAGGGAGATTTCCTGCGCAAGGAACACTTGGGCGATTCCATGTACAAGGAACACCAGGGAGATTTCCTGCGCAAGGAACACTTGGGCGATTCCATGTACTAGGAACACCAGGGAGATTTCCTGCGCAAGGAACACTTGGGCGATTCCATGTACTAGGAACACCAGGGAGATTTCCTGCGCAAGGAACACTTGGGCGATTCCATGTACAAGGAACACCAGGGTGTTTTCCTGCGCAAGGAACACTTGGGCGATTCCATGTACTAGGAACACCAGGGAGATTTCCTGCGCAAGGAACACTTGGGCGATTCCATGTACAAGGAACACCAGGGAGATTTCCTGCGCAAGGAACACTTGGGCGATTCCATGTACTAGGAACACCAGGGTGTTTTCCTTCTCAAGGAACACTTGGGCGATTCCATGTACTAGGAACACCAGGGTGTTTTCCTTCTCAAGGAACACTTGGGCGATTCCATGTACAAGGAACACCAGGGAGATTTCCTTCTCAAGGAACACTTGGGCGATTCCATGTACAAGGAACACCAGGGAGATTTCCTGCGCAAGGAACACTTGGGCGATTCCATGTACTAGGAACACCAAGGAGATTTCTTGCAGAAGAACACAAACGGGATTTCATGTACAAGGATTCCCGAACGATTTCATGTACAAGGACACAAGGACGATTTCATGTTCAAGGACACAAGGTCGATTTCATGTACAAGGACACCAGGACGATTTCATGTACAAGGACACAAGGGGGATTTCATGTTCAAGGACACAAGGTCGATTTCATGTTCAAGGACACAAGGTCGATTTCATGTACAAGGACACAAGGTCGATTTCATGTACAAGGACACCAGGTCGATTTCATGTACAAGGACACCAGGACGATTTCATGTTCAAGGACACCAGGTCGATTTCATGTACAAGGAAACAAGGACGATTTCATGTGCAAGGAACAGTAGTACTGGTTAAACCATTCGCAGTTTATCTGCGAGGTAAGTAAATGCGTACACACACACATTTTTTAACATGACAAGTATATTAACTTTATAATATATTTTGCTTTTACTTCTCTACTTTTGCAGTGATCCCTGAATACCTCGTATTCTATTGGTCACGATATATCAAAAGGAATATACGTAAACATTTTCATGCAAAATGTGTATATCATGGTCTTTAACAGTGAGTCTCCGGGCTCTTTTCCAACTCGCTCATTGTAGACGCCTTATTTATAGGGCTTGTCTTAATATGAGATTCTGGTTTTTTTATTGAACGCACTGCACTCTTTGGCGTCTAGTCATTGAGTTCGCTCAAGGTACCATGGCCTAAAATTGGTCCGTACTTTGAGCGATTCTACCTGCATTTACTGCAGTGGAAAAGAAACCAAAAGGGATTCCGTCTTGGACTTTATTGTTTGAGATGGAGAAGCTCCAATGTTTGAACCGGGGTAGACTTTTGACTGCTCTGGATTGTGAACTAGTGAACTGCTTTTCCAGACATACCAACAAGTCAGTAGCCTTCACTCCCTGGAAAAGGTTATTGGAGGGTGCAATCCCCTCACCTTGTCTTGAGTTCTTGTCTTTGTGTTAAGTAGCTTCCGATGAGTCGGGTTGTTTTTACAAACACCCTAATCCCGGTGAAAAGTTTCATCGAAGGCTAAATATACTTATAAAAAACCAACTGAACACAAGTACCGTAAGGGAAAGTAGCTCTTAGTGTAGAGCATACTGGATGTTAAAGACCTTCCTGAGCCACTCATATGAAGGCGAAAGCCGGATGAAATCCACGTCAGTTTTTTCTGTGTTGTGCGGCACATAACATGGAGAAGACTGAGGAACGCAGAGGTAGCTTTATGCTATTTTCTTAGGACGTTGGATATTGGCTCTCCGGATTTTGTCCTTCGGGACATGTCAAGATTGTCACAGAAAGGTGCAAGTATAAGGGTGTATCACCTGGATGCGTAGAGTTTTTTTTAAATTCGTTGAGCACCTGGACGTGAAGTAATGCAGATAGATCAACCAGTACGATCTCCTGTATTTTACTGCTTCCTGTTGAAATGATCCCTGTGCTTTTCAAGTCCCTCATTGCTTAGACTTTGACACTTGTAACCCACGCTCTGGTAAACAGAACTGGACATGAGGGACGAACCCGAAGCAAAGTTAAGGTGCCTAAGTAAATGCTATGCTGTTCACTTGGGTGTCTCAGACACCTGTCCCGAGCAGTTTGGCATTAAAGCATTTCACCGATACTTTGCCGTCATGGTAAATTTGATGCCATGCCGAGTAGGCAGGAATGAGGGTTGTTGAGAAGCTTGGGTGTAAACTTGAGTGGATCGGCCTTCAAGCGCAGGTCTTGACAAAAAAAATCTTTGATTTTACTTTTGGGATTTATCGGATACACTTTAAAAACAGACGAACGAATATTTTAATACAATATTCAGTACTGGGATCTGTTTAAATTTTTATTCATTTTTTACAACCAAGGTATGTGTATATATATATATTTATGGACTCGTACCAACAATGAACATCATACTCATTAAGTTCTGATAAATCAATAGTACAATTTTTTTACATTGGTCCCTCGATAATTTCAAGGCTCTGGCAACCCTCCTTCTAAAAACCAGGCTAAACTTTCACAATTCTCGGTAATTTCACTTTCACAATAATTTTTAGCCTGAATCCTTAATGAGAAAGAATTTCAGCCAATCGAGTTATGATAATAACTAGCTGCCAACTTTTTTTTTAATTGTATTTAGGGGTACTTCTAACAAAGCGTGTTTTGACACTCCCTCTATCTTCATCGGTGAGTATATAATCTGCACTCCTTAATTTCATCCTTCAATTATTTCAAGGCACTTAGTCCTCGCGTTGGCCTTGAAGTTATCGAGGGACCACTATAACCTTCTTAGTTTACTTGATCTCCTTTCACTTAACAACCCATGCCTGAGAACATATAAATATGAAGATATAGTTTTTTTTTTAGAATATTTAATAGTTAGATTAATCTTCATCAACCCTCTTCATCTCATGTATGTCATTAACCATTGAAATTCAATTAGGCATTGGCACGCAATTAGGCATTGGCATGCAATCAGGCATTGGCATACACTTGATATTACAAACACCAATCCGAGTAATATTTTATTCCATATAGGTATTTACCGCCACATACTTAAAAGCTTTTGATGATTAACCTCTTTTTCTTTTTCACTCTTCTGGTGGAATATTCTTATGAGATCTCTATAGAGCTAAAATCTGGGCTAATTGGCAGCCTTACTATTACTATAAAATTATAACATTACTTCCACTCTTCTGCAGTATTAATCTTGTGGCAGGGAGCATTATCTTCTTAGTAGATAGACTCGCTATTGTTACCTTCATTAAGAGCTTACATAGATAGGAGAATATTAATTTTCATTAGCTCATTGCGTGTGTCTTTGAACTTTCGGCTGACCCAAACATATTGTATCTTTCTAAATATTTTTCTGTATCAATTATGTAAACGAATTGCTCAAGTCGTGGCCGCAAGAAGAATATAATTTTTATAGCTGGCGAAGAAATTACTTGAAAAGCACAAGAATTGTAATAATCAATCCCAACTGTATTTATCTATTTAAATTTCTCTCTCTTTCTTATTTAGTATTAATTATTCAAATAAGCGTAGTTTACCACCAATCCTTTAGTAATAGCTTAGCAACATCTTACTAATTATCGAAATAACCATATAAACATCAAAAGATAAAAGTAATTTAAGTTCTCCTTACACACCACTTTTGTTTTTATTTTATTTTTCTTTAAAAAAACAAGCTGCGAAATACCAATATGCGGGCTAAGGATTTGTTAGAGAAGAGCAATACCTATTCTTATCTTTTCTTTAAGCTTTTGGGCCACTTCATCATATAAACCAACACTGCCTATATCACCTTTTGGAGTGTAAACAATAATGATACAGAACTTATGTAAAATATGTCAAGGTTTAAAGCCATGCTTTTCTCATTATACATGTACTATTATAGCATTACCTAATAAGATGTTGGATTTCTAATCCAAAGAGCTTTATAGATATATAATCAATAAGCTTTAACTGGTAGCTTACAAAAAACTATATATTAGTAAGTTAATTAAAAGAACAAGCTGTTGTGCTGTTGGTAGTAGGTATGTTGAATAGTTTTGGCTGTGTGTGTGTGCTGTTTCCATTATGATCCTAGGATCCAGTCGATTAATATTTGCGTTTTCAGTAATACTGCTATATTTAAAGGGTTGGACGATTTTCTTGATTAAATACTTGACTCACAGGGATAAAGAAAGAAAGAAAGAAAGAAATGCAGAAAAGTGTCACATTTTGAATGTGGTATACACATTGTAATTGAGTGAGACTCAAACATCAAGCCCAGAAATTCAGATGTGATTTTCTAAGGAAACTTTGTAGACAAAACATCCAGTCGATTAGTTGTACAGCCGGATCCACATACAGCCTATACTATTGTCGTTGGAATATCTTTACTCACTTGCCCCTAGCCTTTTCAATACAATCAACTGCATTTCGACAACTTCCAAGCCTTAAGATTAGTATATAACTATACACAGTAGACAAATGTAGATAATATGTTTATCATATAGCAAAGTAAAGTGTGTGTGCATCAGTGTGTAAATTAATATTGGTATACACATCTCCTTTTCTTTTAATGCAAAATTTACAATAGTGAAATACATTAGAATAATAACCTAGGTGGGTTGTCCTTTAGTAGAGATGAATATGTCATTAAAGCTCTTTTCTTTGAAATATCTATTTATATAGGTGTGTGTACTATATAAAAAAAAAGCTTTATAATCCAAAGAAATTTACCAATATCAAATTAATTAAGAAAAAAGACCTAGCCTATAAGATACTTTAATGCTCCTAGAACTTATTACTTTAATTCATAGATATAAAGGCCTGGAATGTATAAAAACACACGCCGAAATATAACCGTTTTTTCTAATAGATAATAAAAAAAACACCCTCTATATTCGATGTACTAGATCTGTGTTGTTTATTAGTGAAATATTATGGATCAAAATGAACATCAACATCCATTTATACCAAGCAAATCAAGTTTAGAAAAAAAAAAGTCTAGTCTTCAACTTTATAATTTATAAAAAAAAACACAATGCTTGGATCATTGATGCAAAGAAATAAAGGTATAATATACAATCTACGAGAGATGGGACTCTATTATTATTATTGTTGTTGTTGTTGTTGTTGTTGTTTTAAGATGTTGTCTCAGCAGACGGCTTGGGTTCTTTTTTGATAAGTATGTAGAGATATACATCATAACCACCGATACCAATGGGGATAATAGAATCAGTTGTCCACATATCTTTGGACCAAGAATAAGCCAGCACTCTATTGAACAATTTTTGACCCTGAGTAACAATAAGCGCCTTTCCATGAGTAGGCAATACTCGACCTATCTGTTTGATAAACTTTGGATACAGCTAATAAAAGAATATTAGATATTGTTTCTCAAGTATAAAGCAATAAATCAATAGGAAAAAGAAAGAATCACTTTAATTTTCATTTCAATATAATCTAGACGTTTACCTTTTGAATAGCAGAATAGGATCCTTCGCGTAAACCCCAGGGCCAGTCTAAATATCAATAACTGTGAATACATAGATGCATAGATATTGTCCTTTATGTATAGATATATAGTGGAATTCAAAAAAACTAAAATAAAGAAATGTTCACTTGCCACAGACAACAGTATCAATACATCCAGAACGGAGGGCAAGACAACGGCCATCACCAACCATCAAATCCACATTGTTTACACCGGAATGTTCAAGATTTCCCTTTGCCTTTACGCAAAGTGTTCTCAGATTTACTACCGGCACAACCTCTCTTAGAATACTTTTATACGTATATATTTTATACTTTTTTTTTGGATTTCTTACCTTCACTACCAATCCACATTGTACTTGGATATTTAGAAGCACCTTCAAGAGGAATTGTGCCCTTTAAACACACACACACACACATGTATATATATATATATATATATATAAGTAGGTATAGAGTTATAAGAAAAAAGATAATAGAAAATAGTTTAATGATAATAAGAATACAGAATATATATATATCGTCTTTACTAGAGTAATATAAAGAAGAAGGAAAGAAAAATACACACACATGCATAGATCTAATGGTTTCTATCTAACAAAAGATGCTTACCGTACCACAGCACATATCCAGAATAACCTGACCTGGTTTTGGATCTGCTAGTCTTGCCAAGCAATAGGCAATACACGGATTCAAACTGGTTCGTCCAACATGCACACGGTTGCGATATTTTGGATCTTTGATTGGAATTGTCAAGCCGAGCAAGAGAACAATAGGACCATCCTCTCCGTGGTCAGCACATGAAGCCAGTCGTTCCAACATGGCTTTTTCAGTCGACCGGAACCAAAGCGCGACCACCTCTTGATCATACTCTGTCAATTTGACCTTCCAGTCAGGGTGTCTCTGACTGAATGCAAATCCGATGTAACCTGCCAATTTCTGTGATTGTGCACTGTTCTTTAATTGGCCTTTGTGAAATGTTGCTCTAAATGTCGGAGCAAGATCACTGCTATTTGAGCCTGAGGCTATGCTCACTGCCTCCAAAGCATTTTCCCAGGGACTGGCAAGGGTTACATCATTGGTGAAGTCGTATGTCAGTTGAGGATCATCGAATGTGCTTTGAGGGATATTGGTTTCAGAGACAACTAGAGTAACGCTGTACACGCTCAATAAGGTTGCTGACTTGAGGGATTGTATTATTTGGGACGGTTTTGTGGTCTGAACCATCAAGTGCACTCGTCCTGTCTTTGGTTCGCTGAGAAAAGTCGCTTCCTCGGTGATCTTTCCTTTTAGTGATTCCTTAATGTCATCAACAGCTACAAACTCAAGACCTTATGAAGCATACAAGTTAATCATTGAAAATGAGTTTACCAATGTACAAATAAAAGCTACCTTCTGGTACATGCAACACTACATGAAGGGATTGAGGGTTTGACATTATATATATATATATTATTTGGCTCTTGCTCTTGACTAAAATATATATATAAATATAAAAAAAAAGCGAGTCAATTGGCCTTTGGATAGGTTAAGGTGACTGGCTGTGCTTTGTGTTTGTGTGTGTGTGTGTGTGTGTGTGTGTGGATAGACATAATTGAAACACAGTTTATAAAGACTTCTTTATGTTTAAAGAAGATGTGCATACCACTATAGATTATTAGTAGTATTATTACTGATAGTATTATGATTTTAGATATTTTTGAACGAATGAATGTGTATTTGATAAACAACCGATTAAATAAACGAACCGCCATAATTTGATAACAACCCTATCAATGGCATGAATCCGTATCAATTCCTAGAATGAATTATTATTATTTTCAAAGAGATGTTAATAATTTGTGTTTCATTTTCCTAATTGTTTGTTAATTCATTTACTTATTTAATTAGTTTTATGTGGTCTTGGCCTTGGCCTTTTTGGCTGTAAATACCCTGTTGTTCTTTATCTCTTTGTGCATTGAAAATAATCCCTTTACTTTACTCTTCTTTACTTTGTGCTCTTTACTCGACTCTCTTGTTCAACAGTATAACGACGCACACAATAGTTTTATACTTTCAATCTTACTACTTCTTCTCTTATTCTATATATATACACACACATATATATATATATATATAGTATTTTATTTTAAGTGTGTGCGTGTGTGTATATAGTACGTAGTGTGTATAGTGTATAGTGTATATAGTGTGTGTACTATTCTAGTATGACACTCTCTAGTGCACCCAAACCCCCTCCGATTGATACCTCCGTTTCTTCTCTCCGACCCGATCCGGTAATACGCCAACCCACATGTCCCCAAAGGCAATCAAGTTATCTCTCCGCAAAAAGCACGCCAAACCTTACACATCCTCCATACCCTCCACCTCCACCTCCTCATTCTTCCCACCCGCCGCGTACTGCCACACCCCACGCATCGTTTTTCCATTCTCGTCAAAGACATCAATTTGTCCGATCGGTGTCTTCGTTTTCACTCTATAGCCATTTTGCAGGAGAGGATTTTGACACACATCAGACAACACGGCCAAGTATTGTTGCAGAGAAGAGAAGGAGTTTTATTGCAGAAGGGAGTAGTGCTTTTAGTAGACATCAAGAGAGGATTGTTGACCTCCGGAGCCCAAAAGAAAAAAGGGAAACTGAAGAAGACGAGGAGGAGGAAGATGATGATGATGATGTACCAAAGGCATCTGTAACAAAGGCTATGTTTATGTTTCTCAAAGCATTTGTTGGATCTGGTGTTTTATTTCTTCCCAAAGCGCAAGTATCAACAAAGAAATGATAATGTTGTTTAATTCTTGTGGTTGTGGGAATACTAACATAAGATCTGTTAATTTTGACATACCTTTTTTTTTTTAGGTTTGCCAATGGTGGTCTTGCTCTATCTATAGTGCTAATGTTAGTTATCGCGGTTATTTCTTTGGTTGGCCTTTTGCGACTGGTTGATGCCCAGAATATCGTGGGTGGATCGTATGGTGATATGGGAGGGATATTGTATGGAGAGCGAGTCCGATACACCGTCTTGTTCTTTATTGCTGTTTCTCAGCTAGGCTTCGTGTGCTCCTACCTGGTGTTTATATCCGGCAACCTGGTGAATGTAGTAGATGTGTTGTCGAATTGTGCGGCCCATCTGGACCAAAAGTATTATATCTGGATTCCATTGATTTTAGTACTTCCACTAGCTCTTGTGAGACACATCGCCCGGTTATCATTCACAGCTATCATCGCCGATGTGTTTATTCTTTTTGGCCTAGTGAGCGTACTCTACTTTGCATCTGTCGAATTGACTGATGGGGGAATTGGACCGAATGTAAAGATGGTCAATCCATCCAGTTTTGCACTCATGATTGGGACAGGTAATAAAAGCCAATCAACAATCAACAAAGGCTAAGGCTAATTTTTTGTTTATTTATTTATCTATCTATCTATGTATGTACTTCTTATCAAGCAACATTTTCGTTTGAAGGAGTTGGACTAGGTAATCAATCTAGTTTGGATAGTGTGTTCTAAATACTAATATATAAAATTAATAGTAATTCCAATTGTCGAATCCATGCAAAAACCCGAACGCTTTCCGTTTGTGGTTACCCTGGGCACTATGATTGTCTGTGTAGTTTATGTACTGATTGGCTCCATCTCGTACCTCGCTTATGGCGACCATATTCAGGCAGCTGTCATATATAATTTCCCTCCATCCAACCCACTGACCATCACAGCCCAGACCTTTTATTCAATTGCAATTATTCTCACGCAAGTAAATACGAGACCAGTGCTTATTTTTATTTATTTTTAAAAGAAAAAGACAAATTAATCTTATGTTCATTAAATTACAGAACCCCATTGACTCTGTTTCCAGCCACAAAGATCCTTGAAAATGGTCTCTTTTGGAATCGACAGTCAGGTAATCAAGATAGGCGCGTGAAATGGCTAAAGAACGCCTTCAGACTTGGCCTGGCATCTTTCTGTGCATTAGCTGCTTACTCTATTGGTCCTGCTAATTTAGACCTATTTGTCTCGTTTGGTAATTATTTTTTTTTCTCAAAAAAAATTGTGTGCGTTTCATACTGGCATGCTTATTGATATGCGTGTGCGTGTGTCTTTTTTGTTTTTTATTTTTTATAGTTGGATCTGTGTTCTGCGTTCCCTTGTGCTTTATATTCCCAGGTATAGCTGGTTATTAAGGGTTAGTCTAATTGATTGAAAATAATGATTTATCTGTGTGTGTATCTTTCTTTTTAATCTTTTAGGGATGTTCCATTACAAGATCTCAACAAACCTTCAAGATAAAGTGATTGATATAGGGTTAATGGTATGGGGCAGTATCATTCTGGTTTACACTCTATATGTCACCATAGACTCCTTCCTTTATCCCCTCGCAGGCAGTGCAGGCATTGTCCCTTTTTGTCACCTTTAAAATAAAAATAAATATATATATGAATCTCTCCATGTTTTCCTTTGTAAAAATAAAATAAAATAAAATAAAATAAAATAAAAAATAAAAATGTTGCACGGCATAGTAATCATCTGATTTTTGATTGGAATGGACCAGAAAGTCGCATGACGCCCGTGGTTTCCCACCAAGTTAAAATGACAGTTTTGCTTGCTCCCAATATTTCTTTCTTCATTATTCTTTCTCTTTTACTTCTATCATGACCCGTACAAAGCAATCAAGCTTCGGCATTCGCCATGAACATCACACTTCTCGGTAATATACACATATATTCATATGCTGTATTTATCAAAGCCTGAAGGGACGTTCTTTAATCCCAATATCATTCTCTGTCTAGTAATGGTCTTTCGGATGTTCGCAACCTGCTAAAGAAGTCTGGAGGCGGATTGGCTAATTGGGGCATGCTAGGAGAAGAAGTGATGGATATTGAACCATATGAGTAAGTCTATATATATATATATATATCTATATATCTATACACATTTATTCATTCATTTTAGAACTGGGCAACATATTCAATTTGACACCACTGTAAGAGGCACAGGCAATAAGCTACAGGTAATAAGAATAATGATTCTTTAGATGTCTCTTGAGATCAAATGAATCTAATATGAAATCATTTATTACTATTAAGCTTGTTGACGAAGAAACATTTTATTCAATGCGTCATCCGGAACAAGAGGTATGAATATTGCCGAATGCTCCGTTGATCGTCAGCTCATTAATTAATGGTTAATTTCCACCCAAATAGTCCTAGATGGACCTAATTTCTGGAGCTTATCTTGCTTATGAAAACTATGAATAGCCTCTTCTTCTTCTTCTTCTTCTTCCACTTATCATTCTCTCTTCTTTACAAATTATTAAAACAAAACAAAACAAAATAAAACAAAAAAAGTCAATAAATAAAACAATATTTTTTTTCTCAAGTTCAAAAATATCAATATGATTCAAGGTATTGATTGATCCAAAAGCAATATCTTCTTCTTTTGCAATGCGTTATATTCTTCTTCCAAGCATTTAAGTTCCTTCATCCGATTAGCTTGTTCAATTATTCGCATTGTAGCTACAAAGTCAAAGTAAAACAAACCACACGCAAAAGAAGTTATTGTTATTTCATATTCAAAATTATTCAATCTTTCTTTCTTTTTTTATCGTAATTTACCTGTTTTAAAATGCTTCTGACTAGTTCTAAGAGAAGGCGATACAAGATATCCAAACCATCGCAAAGGATCGTTGTTTGGCTTCTTTGGCTTTTCTGGTTTCTTTTCATTCATTTCATATTCTTCTGGTAATTCAAGTTCTCTCTCGATTTCGATCCATTCAGAGTCCTTCTTTTTTGTCGAGAAAGAATTGTTAGTATTGGTATTATTGATATTGATATTGGAGCTGGAACTGGAACTGGCGCTCGAGCTAGTACTTGTACTTGCACTGGTACTGGTACTTGTGGTTGGTGCTGTTCTGCGTCTCAAATTAGTCTCGGATTCTACCGGGTGTTCTGGAGGTTTCGATATACTAAAGGTGTTGTTTTCAATCTGACTAAAGAAAAGAATATATAGATACAAATATATTAGAGATTGTACTTGTATAACTAAAAATAAAGGGACATGCATTCGTAGTAAGGCCTTCATTCGTTCGTCATAAGAAGACTGTGAGATGGTTGTGAATCCCATTGTGTATTTGGCTTGAGCAAGATCCAAGTATCCCTTGAGTAAACGTGGTTTGATTAGCTTTGAGATTATCCACTAAATGTAGATGATCAAACTGTACCTGTTGGAAGTCACTGCTGCAGGTCTCCCACTCTCGACCATACTCCTCCAGTTTGGAAAGATATTGTAATGCCAGATCATCAAGTTGAAGGCATACTTTCTCGAGTTGTTCTGTCATTGCCATTCAATGAATATATGAAAATATTAATAATAGTAAAAATAAAAATAAAAGAGAGATAACGGTAACGGTAATGGTAATAGTAATAACGGCAAGTTTGTGTCTGTATCTTGTAGTCTCTTTCTATGTGTGTGCCTGTACCTGTACACACTTTGAATCGACAGCCCAAAAAAAAAATTAAAAAAAAAAAATTAAAAAAAGAAATTCATCGTCCTCCCTAGACTGACCTGAAATGGTAAAAAGTGAAATAAAATATATACATAAAAGACCATCAAGTCTCCTATTCAGGCCATTATGCTTAACCAAATGACAAGGTAATTTACGCATTACTATATCTTGTCTTGTTTTTGAAAAAAAAAAGTAACATGTTCTTGTATTTATATACACAAAGTACATAAAGAGATTACCATATGAAAATCAAGAAGAACAAAAAAACATTAAGTGCAATGATATTAGCATAAACGAAAATGAACCTGAACCTGAGCCTGAACCTGGACATTTGAGTAAAGAGCACTAATAAATATATATATATATATATATTATGAATTTGTTTGACATTGGAGCCATATTTACGATAACAATAGATCTTCTTCCGTATGTTTCATTGTGCCCAAAACATTCTTTGTACACTCTATTGTATGGCGGTAACATCAATAATTTCTGTACGCTTTATACAAAACGTATACCGCCCAAAGATGGACCCAGTATATGCACACACACATATATATACACAGGAAAACAGAAAGGACAGATCGACTTGTCAAAAAAGGCAATTCGAATTACTCGGCTGAATATTGTCTTTTTTTTATATATATTTTAAGGATTTAAAATCTCCATATATGATGTCACATCCATTATCTCTCTCTTTTTTTTTTCTTTTTTTTTATCACTCTTACTTCTTGTCTTTTTTTTTTGCATATGGAGAGCTCGTCTGCCCCGAGACGATTACCACGTAATGCAGCACTTTCTCCACCAATCGAGGGTAATTCCTCTCTCCTCTCAAGTTCGCCAATGGAGATTGGTGAAGATCATTTCCACAAATTTAGCAAACTTCGTCCGAAACTCCGTGCACCCTCCCTGACAGATGAAACAGAAGTAGTACTGGACGACGGTACCTTACAAAAACGCACAGTCTCTTTATCCACCCTACCAGAAGCGATGTACTCAGACACCTACGAACAAGACTGGGAAAGGCAAGCTCTTTTTTTTTGGTTTTTTGTTTTTAATACACCCAAAACATATCTGGATAACATTTTTTTTAAAATAAATAAAATCAAATCAGAAAGCAAGTAAAGTAGCCGAAACTTTCTCTTATTATTATTATTGATATTAATGGTTCTGTTGCTGTTGTTTTTTTTTGGGATCTTCTAAAATGCAGTCAAGACCTACCAGACACCACACCACTGATGGGACATGCCAGAAACAGCTATTCGGGTGTGGATCGAACAGGCAACTCCTCGTCTTCATCCTCTTCGTCTTCATCAGATAGTGATTCAGATGTACCTTTCTTCCCGGCCGGACGCAGACGTCGTAGCAAACATGATCGTAAACAGTCCAATTCAAACCAAGACAACCGTTACTGGAGTCAATTAAAGACTGGCTTCAAACGTTTCAAGAATCAACTTGTCCTTACACCTCAACAGCGATTGGTACTCAAGTGTTCATTTGCCTATTTCTTGGCTTCTTTATTCACATTTGTGCCCAGCCTCAATGCCTTGATTGGCCACAACCGTACCTCCAGTCATATCGTTGCCACAGCCACGGTTTTCTTTAATCCTGCAAAGACACTCGGAGGCATGGTAGAAGCCGCAATGTATGGCTGGGGATACACTCTATTCGCACTAGCCGTCTGTCTGGGATCAATGGCAACAACAGATTTCTTTGTCGATCGAGACATGTTTACCGTAGCCCATCTTATATCACTCTTTGTTTGGCTTATCCTGCCTACCTTTCTGGTCTCTTTCCTCAAGGCACATTGGAACAAGCCTCCGGTGGCCACTGGTAAGCAAAAACAAATTGACATCATCCATAAAGAATACAAAGTTAGCTCTATAAAATTAAAAGAAAAATTTACACAATGGGCGGTTTATCTTCATAAGCATCTAGTCTGTGTTTCATTATCCTATTTATCGTGGTTGTCAGAGAGGGATCAGCCAACAAAGGTGATTTCGACACTACCAGAATCCAACAAATCACTTCCGCTGTCGCCACGGGTACTCTTATCACTGTAACCTGTTGTATCGTCTTCTGGCCTGTGTCGGCAGCCAAGAAATTAAAGTAAGCTCAAATATTAGGCGACATACATCCTCTAAAACTTTTGCTAAATAATGTTCTCCAATGTCCCTTGTTTTACTTTTTCTTTTTTTTTCTTTTAAATTTTTATTAGAAAAGATCTCGAGGCTACGTTACTGTCATACCGCATCCTGCTTAAATTGCTCACAAAGACTTTTTTACTCGATGACGATCTTCCGGAATTTACCGCTAATCGGACTTTACACACTGCCATTGAATCCCACCGAACAAGCTTTACAGCTCTCCAAAAATCACTCAAAGAAGCCAAATTGGAATCCTTGTGGAACAGTGAGATGCGCGGAAGAGGTGATGAATATGACAAGGTCATAAAGAGTATGCAACGGTTAGCTCAGCATGTTGGTGGACTACGCAGTTCATGTGGTCTTCAATTTGAAGTCATGGGTGCCAAACCCACTAACCGAAGAAATCTTTACAAGAGAGCCCAGGTGTCAGAGTCCTCTTGGAACATCAGGGCTGGCTATAGACGCAGAAAGCTCGAACACGAAATGAGACGTCAGAGAACATCGACTTCTTATGTTGCAGACGACGAACACAATGGAAACGACGACATTCCATCCGTCTTTCGATCCAACTCCGGCCTAAGTGACCCTCATTCATCGTCTCGTTCTATCTTGGCCTCGGGGGATGAAGAAGCCGCTGCCGCCGCTAATGAAAGCCGTTCTTTGATCGAGTTTATCCAAACTATCAGGCAACCATTGAAATCTCTGGCTTACACATGCAAGCAAACGATTCTCCATCTCCAGACCAAATTCGGGGCCCCTGCCGCCTCGGTAGACAACAGAAACAAGACTGGTCCAGATTTTAAAACACTCAAGGATAATCTTGTAAAGGCCATTTCACTGTTTGAGGTATCCCAAAAGGAAGCCGTCCGGCGCTTGCATGCACATCGCCTGCGTAGATTGAGATCCGATGCATCTCAGGATGATTTTGTGCCTGGAGATGAAGTGTTTCTGGTTTATTTTTTTGTGTTCAATATGATGGAATTTGCACGCGAGCTGATTTGTCTGACCGAGGCTGTGGAAGCCTTATTGGATGAGACAACAAAGGAGAGCATCTGGGTATGGTTGATATTTTGGCGTAGGCCTAAAGGTAAACCTTATATTTTAAAGAAAACGAATCCAAGGGTGTATTGTATGCGTGTACCTTTTATATTATGTTTTTTATATACCTGTATACTAAAGAGCAAGATACAAACTATAGAGCCTTCGAGATCAGGAAGACGCCTTTCTTTGACTGGATTTACTCCTAATGAGCGTAACACTACAAACACACTGCATACACCCACGCCCACGACCAAGTGGCGTAAATTCTTCATTCAGATCTGGGTCACCTTTTCACTTTTTAAACTTCAAAAGGTTCGATATGCTACCAAGGCCGCTATTGCTGCAACTCTTCTGGCCACTCCTGCCTTCTTGAGCTCAACTGGCCCCTGGTTCCGTGAATGGCGTATGGAATGGGCCCTTATCACAGTAAGAACATATACAATATACAATATATATATATATATATATATATATATATCTTTATTTCTTATTGGTGAACTCTCATACTTTATTATATATGCATTTTTTTATATAGCTTATGGTTGTTATGACCCCTACTGTGGGAGGAACCAACTTGGTGGCTGTATACCGTATTTTCTCTACAATCCTTGGATGTTTTTCGGCCATGGTTCTCTATATACTATTCCCTGGTAACCATGTTATTTTGCCTATCGTTACTTGGCTATTCTCTGTCCCCAACTTTTGGTTGATCTTGAATCACAAGCACGGAAAGTTTGGCCAATTCACTCTTCTGGCTTATAATCTTGTGATGTTAAACAAATTCAACGACAGAAACGAAAACACAATTGAAGTCTGGAGATTGGCACTTCAGCGTTGCCTAGCAATTTTGGCCGGTGTGGCCTTTGGTTTGATTACCACAGCTTACATTTGGCCCTATGAAGCACGCGTTGAACTCCGAAAAGGACTTTCGGACTTTTTGCTGCGACTTGCTTGGCTCTACCAGAAATTAGTCTCACTTTATTCTGAAACATCAAACGATATTCAACATCGCCAAGAGATTGCTGACGCTACTCTCCAGCATGTACAGCAACTAGGCAGACAGGCCTCTGATGCACAGTGGCTGACTGCAGAGGCCCAGCGACGACTGGCTACCCAGAGCTTTATGGATCTAGAGCTAGGTTTACAAAGGGCACTTTTGGATCTTCAGGAACTGTTGGCTCAGACTCCCAATGAACCACGCCTCAAGGGTCCATTTCCCGCTGATACATATAGAACGATCTTGGGGTCCTGTCAAAACATTGTTGACAAGTTTCTTTCGATGCGCACGGTTGTTCTCAAAGATGCTTGGTATGAAGAGGTCCAGAGAAACTTTATCATGCCTGCAAATCAAGAAAGACGTGAGATGGTTGGGAATGTTTTGTTGTATTTCTACCTATTGGCTTCTGCATTGAGGCTCAAGACACCAATGCCACCATATTTCCCACCTGCTCGCAAGGCATGGCAGTCTCTCTTGGTTAGGTTGCGGGAGATGCCAGTAGTGCGTTCAGAGCAAACACTTGAAAAGGACAATGTGTATATGTTTTATTATGCATACGTTACCATGATGGAAGATATTATTCGTGAGCTTGACAAGGTAAGAAATATGTATATTAAAATACATTTATGAAAAGCATGTATATATATATATACAACCCAATGTTTAACCATATTTCTTTTAAATTTCTTTTTTAACAAAAGCTTGGAGATAATATGACCCAGCTGTTTGGATCACTTGTACCTGGGGATCAATGGGAGCGTTTGTTTGAATCATGGGATACTGAACACGCTTAATATTTCACTTTGTCTTAGATAAATGGCCTTTATACTTGTTCAAGGGCCATCTCACAAAAAAAATTCTTTTTTCTTTCTTTTATCGATATCGTATCTTTGCAATATTCAAATGCATAAATAGCATGTGTGACATACAGTGATTAAGTTTTTAGCAGAAAATTATAACAATCACACCTCTTTTATTTTGGTTTTTTAAAAAAAAAATATCATCAATTACTACATAAAAAAAATACTAAAAAGGTTATTCTAAAATGATATCTCAATATTCCATAAAAGACATTATACTATAAGTTATATCTTATCTTAATAGTATCTACTTTAAAGACAAGAAAGTGTCTTGAAACCATCTTTTGTTTTTGTAAGAATCTTCATATTAAAAAAAGCAGTCTGCATCTATTATGAACCCAAAAAAAAAGATAAGATAAAAAGACAGTAGCAGAAAGTTTGATTTTTAAGGGGGGGAATGATTTTTCTTATGAGAACCATTAAGCGATGTTTAAGAGAATAGAAGCAATTTTGAAACAGTCTTTCTAATTTAGTGGCATACAACCTCAGGTACACATTTGTTTTTAATATTATTATGCATTCATCATTCTGACCAAAAGCATTCTCTCGGGCATTGTATATGCTCAAAACTCTACTATATACATATGACCATCAAGAGACCTCTTAATCTATTCATAAACGAATGCTGAGCATACAGTAAAAAAAAAAAGAAATAATATTAGCATAAATACTTGTCATACCTTCCCCCTCCCTCTACATTACGTCTGCGCCCCCTGTTCTTTACAATTTCAATTGCAGATACACTTGGCATATAGGGTTCGGTTACCAAGACACTTTGAACATTTGGCTCTTGTTTTTTTTTTCTTTAAAGAAAAATAAAATAAATGTTCAACCAAGAACTTTGGCTTTATGGGACTTGTGCCTTTCCTCTCTTGACATTCTACCTGTTTACAAAAAATGACACTATTAAACTTGCACCAACATCAACCATACATAATCTCATCCTAATGACACTTGCCACGGCTCATTTTACAATTCCACTGTTGCATGACGGAAATGGCGACAAACTAGGCATGTCGGCAGTTGGCCTCATTGCGTCTTGCTTATCTGCTCGAATGGTGTTTTATACTATCGATCTTAATCGTCTTCCTGTGGGTGGCAGAATTCCACCTCTTTGGGACGTTATCACTCCTGAGCCGAGCGAGAAACCAGAAAAGATCGTAACGGTTCCTATCCAGAAAGTACGTTCGGATGCACTATGTTGGCTCCTTATGGCCAACTTATCTCTATTTATGCTGATGCCAGTAATGGTGCCATTTGATACGTTCTTACGAGTCTGTGCTGTGCCGCCAGAGACCTTCTCGTCAAAAAGCTATGGTTACGTTCTGCTCGACTTTATCACATTACGAGGAAAGCTCCCGTTAAGAAGCCTGTACTACCATATGGTAATGGGGTTTACTGTTCACTTGCATGTAGCAATTCTTTTGCCCCTTTATCGTATATTTCGGTCAGCCCAACTGTTGGCATATTCGTTCCTGCCGGTCAAGAACAAGACAGAGTTGGTTCAGCCTTACTATACAGCCTATATCTGGCTAGTAGACCAACCACCCATCTTTAACAAGCCATGGCTTTCAAGATCTGCCTATGAGCTGTGGTCAAAACGCTGGCACCAGAAGTTTCGCCCTGGATTCCTAAGAATCGGCTATTTTCCAATTAAGCGCCTGTTTGGCAAACAAACAAAAGCAGGACATATAGCTGCTGTGATGGGTGCTTTTGTTGTGTCTGGTTTGATGCATGACTACGTTCTGTTGACCATTAGAGGATATAGCCAATTCAACCAAGTCGGCGTGAAAGGTTATCAGACTATCTTTTTTGTTTTACAAGCCATCGCATCGATTGTCTCGTCCCCCGACTTTCCCTTGGGCCCTAAGCAATTGCCACTTTGGGTCGGCCGTTTACTTACAGTCAGTTGGATTGCCGTGACAGGTCCTTTATTTATGGAGCCTTATGTCCGTATTAGCTTCCAGACTACAATGGAGGTTCCTGTGTTCCCTTATATTGACAGCGCTTATGCTGCCCCCTTTTGTCCGTATGGACTAGCGAATTAGTAGATTATTTAGATAACTTGTACATATAATTAGACCATTCACTTTTACAAAAAGCTGACGTTTCTTTTTATTATTATTATCTTTAATGGATTACAATCACTTCTTCTTTTTCTTTTTTCTTTTTTTTTTACTTCATATCTTTTATGCCAGTACACGCAGACCAGTTGCACTTGCGCCGATCTGTGCTACTTCACACACTGTACACAGCTTGCCTTCTAATTCAGGCTTATAAGAAGCTTGGCAGAATGAACAGCTCGCCTTTGGAGAGCCCTTGTAGATGGGTTCAAAAGTAATGCTACAGACCACAAATGGGTTGTACTGATCATAGTTGAGCTCAATTTCATCTCTCAAAGAACGCTCACAGACAGCCTGGATCTGACGAGCCTATTTATAACAGAAAGAAAAGAAATGATGAATATTTCTTTTTTCTTCTCTCTCTCTCTCTCTCTCTCTCTCTCTCTTTCTGAGCTTTACCTCATCAGCGACTGATCTGGGGGGAGCCAACTCAAGCAGGCGACGGGCAAATTGAGAAGCAGTGCTAAAGTTCTTAAGCTTAAATGCTTGCTTGGTAGCCTGGCGAAGAGCGAGTTGGAGATGGGAGGCTTGAAGCTGGCAGTGGGTAAAGTAGGCAGCGAGTTCTAGAGCGTGCTTGACACTTTCGGGCTCTGTGCCAGTAGTGGCGCGACGCTGCTGCTCTATAGCAAGACCGGTAAGATATTCACGACAGATGTTGATGAGTTGAGTAACTTCCTCTGATTCGGTCTTGTTAGAAACAACTGTGAATAAAATAGAATGCAACAGGGTCTTGAACTGAGTAGCTGATGCAGCCAATCTACCAGAGGTAAAGAGTCTGTAACCCAGTTGAAGTTGGGTAGACACAATGTTTTGGAAGTTGTAGACAACTGCGGGAAGGCTGTTTCTTTGAGTTGATTCCTCGGGATTGCGACGGAGGGAGAATGTGAGAGTTGGGTTAGAAGCAGTTGAGGCGACATATACACGGGATGCCTGGAATATGGAAAGGAAGTAGGGCTTCAAAGGTTCAAACTGAACAATTCCCACTTGGCGGTTCAAGATCTAATATATATATATATGCCATTTACAAAACAACAATCGCATAATCACATAATCCAATACAGCTTTTTTTGTTAGCTTTGGTTCAAAACAATGGATGAAATCCTCAATATTTACCTGCATAGCAGTCTCAAAGGATCCGGCGGCAATGTGATCAACAGCAAGAGGAGAGTTTTGCACCCAAATAGCACTTTCACTTGTGCCAGCAGTAGGTGCAACAAATTCAGCGGTGGCCTGTGCAGCAGCCTGGCCAATCTCTGCATCAATGTCTACCTTGATGTCATCATCAACATCCCATCCACCAGCCTCATCTCCATTATCATGGTTTCCAAGAAGATCGTCATCATCATAAGAGGCCTTGGCCTTAGTTCCGGAGATCACATCATCATCATCAGCTCCCCAATCACCACCGGCTTCTTCAATATTATCAATCTGAGCATCATACGAGAATGTGGGGGCAGCAATAGGATTAGATGTGTTGCGTTCGGAAGTAAAGGCACCCTCAAAGAAGCTCTTTGAGACAGTCAACAAAGGCCAGTTGGGATCCTCAAGCTTAACAACTGGTTTGATTGGAGTAGGCAAATCAGCAGACATGCTAGGCAGCTCGATTTCATCCTCGGTCTTTCCTGCGGCTGCGAGAATAGCGTTTGCCTGCTCAGTAAGACCGTGGGTCTTGGCGGTCAAGTAGGCAAGAGGCAACTGCCCAACATCTTGGAGGAGGCGAACACGCTCTTCGATATCGCCCAGGTAAAGTGCGTTTTGGAAACGGGACATGGAGTCATTGCGCAATTCGGCAATCTTCATCATCTGGCGCAGATTGGTCTCATTTCCGCTGGTGAGGTAAAGGAACGAGAGGCGGTCGTAGTTCTTTGTACGCTGATAAGACATCTCTACAATTTTGTAGTTACCCTGGCGCAAGGCCTCGGTGCTCAACTTTGTCCAGCAATCAGGCTTATCGATGATCTTTGCTGTTTCGAGCGCAACGTCGAGGTTACCACATTCCAATGCCAATTCGAATCGGGTGCGTTCGTCACGGACAAAGTGCAATGCAATTTCAGGATAACCCTTCTTTTGGAGGTAAGCAATAATCGATTGTCCAACAAGGTTCGAGCTGCGAATGATGTGGAGGACTTCTTCGTACTGGCGGTTGATAAGTGCCAGCTTGAAACGGAACTCGGTGGGGTCAATGGTAATAGAGCGTGCCTTGCCCTCACGATCGAGGATGTAAAGAACCTTGCCTTTAACTGCAGTAAGATAGACAGGCTGCTCAAGGGTACGAATGATACCGTTGTCACTAAATTCGATTTAAAATCAATCATTAATTATTGTTGTTAGTATTTATGGAAATAAAAAAAAAGGAAGAGTATTAATGCAAGCACTCGATTAAATATTGGCTATTAAATAACATACCCTTGAGGAAGGGCATATTTGATGTGGTTGAGTGTGCAGTAGATAAAAACGCCAGAATCGTCCCAGGTACCACTCTTGATACGGATTGTCTCGTGGATCTGACATGTCTGCTTAAGGTTCTTGTCAGCGAGGGTGATGGTGTGTTTGCTGAGAAGAGCGACAGTGTTAAGATCAGCCGACCAGATTGCATACTTGACAGCAGCCACAGCAAGTTCTGTCACAACACGTCTCTGCTGGATATCAAACAATATTACACTTGTGGCAGTAGCCAAAAGTAAATTTCCGGTACCAGCATAGAACATATCTGTCACCATTCCTGGTGTCTTGAAAGATTTGGTAACTGCGTTTGCCAAATCACGGATCTGGATTTGCTGGTTGATTTTATCAAACACAGCAAATCGGTTGCGAGCGATAAAGACGGCCGAATGACCATTTCCGCGTTTTGCCTCATCCGCAGGTTCTTTTAAGTTACCAGTCAAGTTTCTTGGAAGTGGGTATAATTCATAAATACCACCATCGTGAGGCTAAAAGAGAGTGAGAGAGAGAGAAAATTTACTGTTAATGCATACTCTTCTTACTGTTATTGTTATTATAATTCATTTTTGCTTACAGATGTCACTAAAACAGCGCGCTCAGCTGGGTTGTAGGAAAGGGTGCGGGGCTGAACATATTGCGAGCCCAGCTTGCGGACGCTGAGAATCTCTTGGTCTGCTGTACTGGCAAGATCATGCACATGCAGGATCTTGTCCTTAATGTAATACAGTTGGTTTTGGTGGGTCTGATAAGCAGGACGTTCACGCTCCAGCTTGAATACAATCAAACCGCTATCGTGACCTGTTTTTTTGGTTATCGGGGGAATATAATGTCAATACACTAAAAACTCCTTTATTGATTGATGATGTCTCTTAATTACTCACCAGCAGCAAACAAGTTAAGTTCTGGATGAGCTGTCAGAACCCAGAAGCGGTCATGATCGCGCTTGAAAGTAGCAACAGCAGTGCGCTTGGTCATATCCCATACACGGATAGACTTATCCTCACCATCGGATAGAATTAACTCTTGGCGAGGGTGGAAGATGGCACTAGACACATTATTGAAATGGCCTCTGCAGCTATCTACTTCCCATGCCTTGGAGTCTGATATAAATATGTATCAATATTTTCCTCACTCGTTGTTATTTTGTTTTGTTTTGTTTTGCTTTTGCTTTTGCTTTTGGTTCCTTTTTTCTAAATGGCCTAAATGCTCTATGCATTGTAATGATTTGTATATTTATGTACGTACCATTCATTCTCCACAACTTAACCTGTCTATCGTCGCCTGCCGATACAATCAGGGGAAGTGTGGGGTGGAAAGTGGCCCAGTTGACGCCATGGTCATGGCCCTCAAGAACATACTTTACCATAACATCAGTAGATCCAAACAGATCTGCCTGTGAGTTCTGTCTAGAGAATGAATCCTCAAAGGCCATTGGAGTAGGAGCTTGGTTCTTCTTACGCAGGCCTGATTCTCAACATAAGCAAACAAAGACCTTTGCCTCCTCTTCTTCTTCTTCTTCTAGCTTTATCTCTCTGTTTCTTTCTCTCTCTCTTTATTTTATTTTTAGATATATCTAGCTATAGATATACATATATATATATATATATACTATTGAAGAACCCTCAAATATGACTTACCAGAAATGTCCCATACTCTTACAGTCTGGTCCATAGAAGCTGATACAACAAGGTCATTTTTGGGATGGAACTGGGCAGACATTACATAATGGTTGTGGCCAGTGAGAATTGCAATGCAATTACGTGATTGCCAGTTCCAAATGCGAATTGTCTGGTCATCCGAGGCCGAGATGATCCAAGGGTATTCGTGATGGAAGTATACAGTACGAACATAATCTAAATGACCGTTGAGCGTAAAAAGACAACGGCGAGTCTTGTAATTCCACACTTTGATCTTGTAGTCGTCACCACCTGATACGAACAGTGGCTGGGTGGGATGGAAGGCAATGCCGCGCACAGGGCCTACCAACAAGATATGAGACCGAGTCTGGCTGGCCGAGACGTACCATCATGCTCATCAAACCGCTCTAAAAGAGTGCCCATGCGGTAATCCCACAATTGGAGACAGCCATTATGCAGGGATGCCAAAATCCATGGACGTTTTGGGTGGAAGGCAATGCCTTTGACGCGATTGCTCTTGGATTCAAACTAGATCCCGGTTGTGAGCGAGATGAAGACGCGCGTGTATGTGTGTGTATGTGTGTGCGTATATGTGTATACTGTGGTTCCCTTACCTTTGTAAGCATCTGCATCGTGCGCTATTACAAAAAAGTCTGGGTTCAAGAAAGGTGGGCGGGCGTTTGGGGAGGGAGGTTGGGGGGAGGGAGGGAAGGAGGACGAGGAGGGGAGAGGGGAACGAAAATATAAAAAGGAAAATGGGTAAGAGAATAATAGGGTGGAAGTTGAACGCTTTACCCTGAGTCCGAATAAGTAATGGATGGAGATGATGAGATGGCGTCAAGGATACTTTTAAATTAGGCTCTAATATTGTTTCTAGCTGTCGATGTGCAAATACGGTGCGACGGCAAGAGAAATATAATAGACTATAGTATTGTATAGTATGGTATTCTATAGTGTGGTGATATTGTAGTATAGTGTACTATAGTTATAGTTATAATATAATATAAAAAATATATTAAAAGATTACACGTGTCGTTGCTTCAAAGGCTAGATGGAGCAAAAAGGGGTGGTAAAAATGAGAGAAGGTTCAAAAAAGCGAGTGTAGAATTGCAGCCAATCAGAGAAGGATAATGACGTCGCGGAGTAACGTCACTGGAGTTACTCTATTTGCACCACCTCTGTCACGCCAATTGCAAATCTGATGCAAGGGAAGGAAACCCAAAAAAAAAAAGAAAAGAAAAGGTACAGGGCATTACATTGCAACACGGTAAGGAACAACCGAAAGAAGGGTTGCATATAGTTCTGTAAATATACTTTTTTTGTTATTCTCTGTAAAGAACATCCCCCTCTCTATCAACCCCTTCTTTTGGCTTAACCATAGTGAATAATATATAAAAAGAGTGAAATCTTTGATGTACCTATAAAATTTATTAATAAATTTGTGCGTTTGCAGTAAACTAAAATAGAATGGCAAAGGCAAAAATAAAAAAATAAAAAAATCTTGGTTTTCTGCGTGTGCTTATGCGTGTATGCGTGTGCTTATGCGTGTGCTTATGCGTATATGTATGGGTGTGGGTTTGTATGTATGTGTTTGAAAGATCATGTTTCAAATTTTCAAATATTTGGCTATTTAAAAAAATAAAATAAAAGAGATGTGATAAGGAAGCTCGGCGATTTTTTTTTTTTTTTAAAAAAAAAAAAGAATCAATTGAAATGCGATTTTGTTTATGATGTTTGTTTTAGAGGTTGGAATATATATATATCTATATAATATATTTTAAATTTTTAATCATTATTTGTTATTTATTATTTTTTGGTCAAAATAACATATCAATGAACCAAACAGATGAGCCACGTGTAGAAAAGAACTATTGGTAGATATAGATATTTAAGAACAATAACAATTATTTATTATCAAGTGTACCCCAACACATACTCTTTCTCTCTCTCTCTCTCTCTCTCTCTCTGACACATAAAGATATTATATATATAATTGTGTGTGTACCTATTAAAGTGTATTCCCACGGCTACTGGGATTATTATTCAGCATAAGCGATCTTCTTATTTTTTTGGGTTAAAGAAACAGAAGTTGTGAGAGAGGGGGATAAGTTAAGGAGAAGGACGAAAAGCATGCGGTGACTGGGAAGCCAAAGATTGGTTCGTCTAGAAAGGGGTTCCCTTTTTGAGGCAGGGTCTACCTTTTGCACTGGATGAGAAAGAGGGAGAAATCGATCCAATCGGAAGCGCAAAGTTTGGTAAATGATACTTGCTTGGACGTATTAAACTTGCACGTCATGCAGCTGTGAAAGAGAAGTGTAAGCAATTTTGGTATAAATATCCGGCAATCAATATTCTCTCATGGACCACTTACTCTCTTTTTCCATGCAGCAAGACACTCTCACCAGTCTACCCACTTTCACAACTCCAGGATCGCCTCCACTCGTCCCGGGAGAAAAGACTCCACGTCGTGCTTCAGTCTCTACCCAGACCGCCCGTTCTCCTTCTCCCCCACGCACGCCACCTAGTGAGGAACAGAAGCACGACATCAAGGCCTACACCGTGTCCCAGGGTGAATTTGAGTCTGAGAAGCACTTTTATCCTCGCGTGCTCAATGCACAGATCCACCCTCTTGTCCAGTCTTTTTTTACTCTTGGAAATGACCGTATCATCGCCCGATACACACATCTCAACCCTCAGGTCAACCCTGATCTTCTGAAGCAAATCCTGTCTTACCGTCCAACCCACTTTCAATGGGCCGGCTCTGACCTTTTCAATGTAACCACCTCGTCTGGACAGCGCCAGATGATCGTTATCGAGACAAACTCCTGTCCGTCTGGCCAAAAGTCCATGCCGCTCCTGTCCGAGACTGACGAACATAATGAACAGGGAGGCTATAGGTTGGTTATCGAATCTGCATTCCAAGAACAGCTTTCCAAGGCAGATCCTTCTCTTGGTGGGTTGGCTGTGGTCTGTGATAAAAACATGATGGAAGCAAGTGGGTACGCGGCTGTTTTGGCTGATGTTGCCAAAGAACACGTCTGGATTGCTGAATGGCACGTTGATGATCCTGATCCCAATGTCAAATGGGCCGATCGTATTCTATATATCCGAGACCAGGACAAGGTCTGGCATCCTATCCGTGCATGCTTCCGCTACCTCACCCAGAAGCCATGGAACCGCTTTCCTTTGGTTACAAAGACAGTCGTGATGAACCAAATCATCAGCTGTCTTGCAGGAGGACGCAATAAGATGATGGCTGCCAGAGCTTATGATTTTTATAACTCTGAGCTGGTGGATTCTGGTCTCAGTATCCGTACTCCAGAAACAATCAACAATGTTACTCGTGGTGAGATTCCCCTATGGCTGCAGTCTATGGGAGGACATGCTGTACTCAAGGTTCCTTATTCTAATGCTGGTAAAGTTCTTTCTTTTGCGTATTTATTTATTATCCCTACTACTACTACTATTATTATTATTGTTGTTGTTGTTGGGTAAACAAGGCATTTAACTTTCGTTTTATTAGGTCAAGGCGTATATACGATCACCAACAAGCATGAACTTGAGAACTTTCTCGACCAGGATCACCATTATGACAAGGTATGTTTGACCACACTCCTTGTCACTCCCTCTTTCTTTCTGTTGCTATTCTGCTTTAATTTTTTTTAGAGTTAGTTTGCTATTAATTATATAAACCAGTAAGGCTTATATTATCGTAGTTTATTGTACAGTCTTTGGTTGGAAATGCTTCATGGTCCAGTATGTCACGTACTGGTCGTTTCTATCATGTCGGGACCATTCCAAACAAGAAGAGCAATACATATGTAAGCGATCTTCGTATGATGGTTACAGGCAAGTCTACATAGTATTCTAGAGTGTATATCAAGAGTAGAAAGTAAAAGTTAAAGCAAAAATTGATCGAGTTTATTGATATTAACTTCCCCTTCCCTCTTTTTTTTTCTTTTTGGTCTCCTTTAGGCAGTGAAAGCGGATTCAGACCGATCTGCATATACGGAAGAAAAGCCCGTCTTCCCCTGACTTCAAAGTTAGAGCCTGATGGTAAGAATATCTTAAAACTATTAAGTCTCCTGCTTATTACTAACCCAAAAATAAATAAATAAAAAATCATGCACCCACTCCTTTGTTTGATTGATCGTTTGATTGATTTTTATTTATTTTTCTCTTGTATAGCCAATACTTGGGATATGCTTGGAACCAACCTATCGGTCAAACTGCCAGATGGTGGCTGGACCACAGACACATCACGGCTAATTTTAATGGATCGGAAAGATTTCAATCAGCTTGGTCTTGGTATTGATGATTTGATTGACGCATACATTCAAACTGTATTGGCTGTCATAGGCATTGACAGAATGGCGGTTCGACTGATGGCCAACGGCAAGTTTGACTACCTGCTTTTCCAGAGTTTAAACCCAGATAATGCCCTTCTTAAAGAGATCCGGGAAGCCAACGAAGACTTTTAGCCTATATTTTATCTTTTTATCTTTATCTTTATCTTTTTTTTTTTTAGTTTATTCATGGTTTCATTTCATTTACATACAAGCACCACAAAAATATATATACATATATAAATACTTTACATTAAAAAAAAGACAAAAGAAAGCAACAAAAGCAAAAGCAGCAGCAACAACAACAGCAACAAAACCAGTGTTCTTTCCTTTTTACTAGTTTAAAGTAATAATCATTATAATTTTGCCTTTTTATTTTTTCTTAAAAAAAAGGAAAAAGAGGACCTCATGTGAATTAGTGAATGAATGAAAGAGAGATTAGGATGAGAGATAGGACATCCTATATCTATCAGCCTATAAACAAGGTTTGTGTGCGTCGATCGCATCTCCAATTCACTCTTTTGTGTGTGTTGTGTTCTAGTCTATTATATTTTATCTCTTTATTCACCTTGTCTTTTCTGTCTACACAGCTTATTGTGGTTTATCTTCACCTTCAAATATGGGTCACTTGATATAGATACACCGTCCAAAAAAGAAATGATTTTTTTTTAGCTTGCTATCATAATCGCACAAATTAACTAGGATATTAATGATCCGACATTCCGAGAATCCAATAACCATGGCAACAAATCTAAAGAAAAAAGTGGAAAAAAGATGTTCAGTAGATTATCAACTCCAAATGATGATTTCATACACTAACGATAGTATTATAATCATAATTACTCTAGTCATTATAGTTAGTATAGTCATTAGAAAATCAAAAGGAAGCCATGGCTAATATATAGTAATAGCTTACCAGACTACTATTGAATATATCCGTGTGTCGTTTTTATTTTATCTTTCAATTCCATTGCTCTATATGTATTAAAATGTAATAGAATCAAGGCTTAAACCAGTTAAACATCTATCGTAATATGGAATATTGGGTTCAATTATTTAATTATGATAATAAATATTCAGTGTAAGAGTTCGACTTGAATGGACTGATTGCCGGATTCCAAATATCCCAGAGATTTGTATATATCTCCTGTATCAAGCCTATGATTTAGAAGAGATATCAAACTGTACACATGTGATACAAGCCAGCCATCCTACCCTCCTTTTGCATAGTATGTGTTTATACTCATGTACACCTATATAACACACACATATATATATATAATATGTATAAAATAGGAATTATTTTCTTGGTTTATTTTATTTATTTTTTCTTTGCTTTTCTTACTTTCTATCTTGTCTTCAACAAATACTTTTTCGTCTTTCATTTTGACAGAATGAATCCAGATCACAAATTCGAAAAAGAGGTGACCATTGAGGTGGAAAAGGCATCAGACTTTGTCAGGAGCGAAGACCCTATGGAAGATTGCAAAACATGGAAGCAGAAGTTACGATACAATATAATACACTACTTCCCTCACTACAAGCTACAAACTTCAGGTAAAGAATAATTCGAAAAAGATTTTTTAAAACCACACTAACATACCATTGCTTATTGTATTCACTAAATGATCATGATAGGAATGGTAAAAACTGATGAACGGCCCAACTGGATCCAGACAATAGCATATGGAATTCAGCATGTTTTAGCCATGTTCAGTGGAACTGTTTTGATCCGTACGTTTTTCTGACTGTCGACCCTAGTTTTACTTGATTATAAGTTTAAACAATTAACTTGGCAACCACCTAACCTTTGTATATTATTATTGCTTGCCTTATTCCAGCATTACTCATGGGATTCGACACCAATAGTAAGTATCATCAAATCAAGAAAAATTAATCTTTAAAATGAAACAAAAAAAATGTTTATCTTGTACATTTAACTTACATTTTTTTTTTTGGAAATTGAAATTGTTTTTTATTAATATTTCTTATAAAGCTGCCCTTTTCTTCTCTGGAATCTCGACCATCATATTCTTTATTGTTACCAGAGGAAGGGTACCATCTTATCTCGGAAGTTCTGGCTCTTTTGTCAGTGCTGTATGCGCAGTAACAGGATATGTTTACAGCCCGAGTACATTCAACGAAAACATGCCCGTAGCACAGGGTGGCATTCTTATTCTTGGCATCATATACGTTGCTATCGCCATTTTTGTACTCGCATTCGGCCATGCCTGGCTAGAGTTTCTGATGCCACCAAGTAAATACCCATTAACCAAAAGAAAAATTTTACCCCATACACCTACTTATTCACTTATTCATACACATGCACATGCACGTACATGTAACGGTACATGCTTACACCCAAGAGTACTATACTAACAACCACCTTGATATTTATTTTTAGTTGTTACTGGTGCCATTGTAAGTGGCATTGGACTACATCTTGCCTTCTCTGCCTTTACACAAGCTACCTCAAACTCCTTTGATACATGGATGGCTGTTTCGACCGTTCTTATTATCATGCTTTTGTCAGTCTATGCACCTCTTCCCTCAATACGCCGCATGCAAGTATCGTCTGATCCACTTTAATGAATATCTTTATTTTTTGTGCTTATTTATCTATATACGTACATATACATATATTAGCTATTTATTTATGAATGTACATTAAAACATTATATTTACATCATTTATTATTATTGCTATTATTGCTATTATTTTCTTTAGGGCAATTCTTCTTGGGATGATTATCGGCTACGTTATCAACCTGATCTGTGGTCTCAAGGGGGCTGGTCCCGCAATTGATTACACATCTGTCAGTGCTGCTCCTTGGGTCCGTGGTCCGACTATTCATCATGAATTGGTGTTTGATAGCAAATCAATCAGTACCATTGCTCCTCTGATTGTTGTAGTCTTGGCAGAGAATCTAGGCCATCTCAAGGCACTGAGTTCCATGACCGAAAAACCAATGGAGAAATACCTTGGTGCTGCTTATCTTGGTGATGCTCTGTCAACCATAATGGCATCCTTTGTTGGTGCTCCACCCATGACAACCTACGCCGAGAATATTGGTGTTGTTGTAAGTAACCCATCCAAACCAAAACTAAGCTGATCTATAATTTATTTACACTTTACATTGTCATCATATATTTTTATTTATTTTTGGTTTTTTAGGCTATCACACGTATTTTCTCACCAGTAGTATTCCTTGTTGCTGCAATTGTAGCAATTATTCTGGGCTGTATTGCCAAGTTTGGTGCCGTAGTTCATACCATCCCACCTGGTGTGTTTGGTGGTGTAGCATTCGTTCTGTACACAATCATAGGCGTGACAGGTGTTCGTATATGGGTAATCAATGAGGTTGATTTCTTTGGTAAGTGCCCACTTTTTTTTTGGTTTTAAGAAAAAAAAATACTTGTAATAAAATTGATAACAAATAAGAAATCTTGTACTATCTTTGCTTATCTACTACCAGATTCCCGGAACATTTTTGTGGGGGGTATTCCTCTCATGTTGGCTGCTACTATCCAAGTACCGGTACAAATGAATAATTTCCAATTGGACGGCATTGGTAAGTTGTCAGATCATTAAAATAAACCACAGTACTATTTATTTACTTATTTATTTATTTCTTTGGACAATAACATTAGGTGCTGCAACTTTCTCTTCTATCATTTTGTATCACCTTCTGCAAGGTACAGAAGGTTGGAAGAATTATGGTAAAGCAGTTTGGCGCGTGTGTCGTCGACCTCTCAACCCTACTTCACCTGTATAAAAAAAAACATACATGATTTTTGTTTTCTTTATTTTTATTTTATTTTATTTTATTTTCTGTTTTGTTTTGTTCTTTTCTGTTCTTTTTCATTATTTTTTTAAACAAAAAATATTTTCATCACCATAATATGTAATACAATATAATAACGTTTCAATAATATCGTAATATTAAATCAAGTTAATTTAAGTTAAATTAATAACAACAAATAAACAGCAGTATCATTATGTATAATTAATCATTGATTCCAGTGGTTCATTTTTAAAAGAAAAAAGAAAACACACGCACATAAGCATTAGATAGTTAAATGAATAAATAGTAATAGTAATAGTGATAATGAAAGAAGAAGAAGAAGAAACTCGGTATATATTTTATATATATATATCGTCTTTTATGGTAAATTTTCGATTACTCAATCGCAAAAAAGAAGAAGAGATATCTCAAAGCAATTGAAGGGAAGACATAAAGCAAAGTTTGCAAAGAAAAACAACATCAACAATAAGAATAAGTATAGAGATAATAAAGAAATAATAAAGAAAGTGGTTTGACTTCACTAGGTTATTTTACAAAGAAAGAACCGATCGATGAAAGCATCAAAAAGAAAAAGAAGAAGAAGAAAAGACAATTATAGTCGAAAAATTGAAAGAAAGAATGAAAGAAAGAAGAAAAAAAGAGATAGGTAGGTAAGATAGAGGGGGGGTGGGGAGGAGGGCAATGCGATTATACTGAACATTCGTGATATTCTCTAGTTTATTTGCTCCTGTGAAATAGGCTGCTGCTGCTGCTGTTGTTGTTGTTGGTGTTGTTGTCAATGTGGTTTATAAAAATAATAATAAGTAAAGACGTAAAGAAGTGAATAGCTAAATATATAACTTACTCTGTTGCCCTGGCGGTAGTTTTGGTTAGAGTTATTGCCGTTGTTACCGTTGTTGTTGTAGTTGTTGTTGTTATTGTTGTTGTTACGGTTGCCACCACGATGGTAGCCACGACCACGGTTTCCACCCCGACCACGGTGGTTGCGGAATCTTGATTGATCAACTGTGGTTTGTCCAAAAGTCTCCATGTTCAATCTACGCTCTTCCTGGAACTTGCCACGACGATCAATGCTACTAACACACGCACACATATACATCAACTCCGTCAATACAGGTTACCCCACCCATTACACCCATCTTAACATTCCATATCCCATAACCACATATAACCATCTATAATCCATCACATCTCTCATGTATTTCTATTTGTCTAGCTTACCCATTTTGCTCTTTGCGCTCTTTGGATTCACAAGAAATATTGTCAAAGAAGCTCTTTGCTCTATCATAAAACAACTCGTCGGATACAGGAATCTGAACTTCCTCTTCCTCTTCTACAACCTCTACTTTCTGTTCCTCTTCTTCCTCATGAGGTCTGGCAACTTCCTTCAACAACTGGTCCTTGTCAAACTTTGCGTTTGAGGTCTCAAAGTCAAAGTCGGATTTAGGAATGCTGAGACTTTGCTTATTGTGCTCTTGGTTCTGGAAACGACCTCGGCCATTTCCACGATAATTATTACCATTATTGTTGTTGTTATTGTTGTTATAACGACCTCTGTTGTTGTTATTGCCGTTGTTGTTGTTTTGACGGTTGTTGTATCCAGAAGACTGCTGTTGGATTTGCTGGTTTTGGTTATGGTGCTGATGTTGCTGCTGATGCAGTTGCTGTTGCAATTGTTGTTGCTGCTGATTCTGATGGACATGAATATCCTCTACAGTCACCTTGGTTTCCTTAATCTCGAGATCCAACTCACTGACTTGCTTTGCAAGAGACTCTACTGCAGCACCATCAATCTCTTGTGCGGACCCCTCAGCCAAACCTGACTTGTGTTTTTCGAACGAGTCTCGCTTTGGTGCAATAATAGGCTCCTCACGAGACTTTGGTACTTCGACACGAGTAAGGGGCACCTGAGTCTCTGCCAAGGGTTGGTTGGGTTGCACAGCTGCCTGTGCTGCTGCCTGTGCTGCTGCTTGGGCCTGTGCTGCTGCTGCTGCTGCTTGTGCTGCTGCTTGGGCCTGTGCTGCCTGTGCTGCTTGGGCTTGTGCTGCCTGTACCTGTGCCTGTGTTTGTGCTTGGGGAGGTGGAGGAGGAGTCTGTAACGAAGTCTGTGCTGGGTGCTGGGGGATCTGCTGAGGAGGATACCCAGGCGACTGCCAATACTGAGATGTAGGCTGGTAAGGAGACATCATATAGGGGTTCATCGGAGGATAACCCTTCATAACTGAACTCTGCTACATATGTTTTTAATATTAATAAAAAAGGGAATAGGGAATGACATTAATTATTGTTGTTATAAGATAAATATAATATTTATAAAGTAAGCACATACACGCATGCATATATATGTATATATATATATATATACTTGGTTTAGCCTATAATATTATAATAAACGTACCATAATTGCAGGGTCATTTGGTACGGGTGCAGGTGGAGGAGGCGTGGGCTTGGTGGGTGCTTCAAAGACTTGAAGATCCTTGATATCTGATCCACGAAAGACAACGAAGTCGAAAACATTCTCGGAAGGTGGAATTTCTTCTTCAGGCTTGCCTCTTCTGCCTTCTGTACCAAAAGAGCGTACTATATAGTGCAACAACAGCAAGGACAATAGCGAAACAAATCAAAAAGAAAGAGAAAGAGAAAGAGAAAGAAAAGAAAAAGAAAAAACATATACACACGCGTTTAGAAATTATTGTCAAGGCAAGGCTTTTTTGCTTTATGTATATATAGTTTCCATTACGCGTTCTTTCCATCTACATGGCTACCATCATCCCCATAAGATTTAGTTTACCTTTCTCTAGGGCAACGGTAGAATCCTGGGTGTTGATGCTGTGTAAAGTTCCCACGTAGCGAATGTCACTCAAACTGATGAGCTGTTGTGAATAAACAAGATGCTGGTTAGACAGGAATCGAGTAAGATGCAATGATACATGCTGAAATCTTGGAACCAATGTAGTTCTGGCCACTCATTGTGTTAAACTTGGTTGGAACAAAACAAGAGAAAGCCGCATCCAAAAGGTGCTGACGACGTCTCTTTACCCAGTTGGTTTGTGACCTCTGAAATTTTCCCATCCCCCGGTGTTTCAATGCATTGAATGCAGAGTTTGTGTGTATGTGCGTACGTGCGTACGTGCGTGCGTGCGTGAATGCCTGAGTGCGTACCTGAGTGCCTGAGTGCGTGTGTTTTATTTTATTCAATTATATATATATATATATATGTGTATATACCTTTATTAAAATAAGGCGTGCACTAAACTTTCTTTTCAGTTATATATATATACACATCTAGGCACGAGGTAAACATGAGCATTATTATTATTATTACTAAAGGAGAGCAATACGTATAGGGGCGGGAGTAAAGATGATTAAAATGATACTCTGCTTTGTGTGTGTGTGCGTGTACGTATGTAGTTTATATGTATACGTGTTTGTGTGTACATCTTCCTAAGCCCAGATAATTTTGTTCCTATTACTGCCTTTTATATATATATATATATAATGCATCTACAAACAGATTCCTGTACCAAATATATATATGCCAGCTATACATATACATATAAATATAATTGAATGTTTTATTTTTTTGTCTCAAATAAGGAACAGTATTAATGTGTAGGATCAGGTACAAAGATCATAAAGATAATCTGTGTGACTTGATAAAAGCCATGGTGAAAGGGAAGGCGGGAGTGTGAGCGAAGGAGATTTTATATTTTGTATATTTCTGTTTGCATTATTGATTGTAAAACCCCATTGCAACTCGGTACATTCTCAAGTCCATAAACTCAAAACAAACGTTCAATTCTTTCTATTTCTCTCCCTCTCCATTTCTATCTTCCTCTCCTTCTTCTTGTCATACTCTGTGTAAATTATTAACAATATGTATTGTGCTGGTTACCATAAAGAAAGTTAAATCAAATCAAATCAAACAAAAACAAAAAAAAGAAGAAGAAGAAAAGGATGTCTTCTTGAAAGGCTATTGTATATTCTGATTTTAATAAAGAGGGAGAACGGCTTTTTCTGTTTAATTCAAAACGCACTAGCTTATAGCTTCACTGTGTTTCACGCACCGGATAATAAAATCAATTAAAATGATACCAATGCTCGTTCACATGCTACAAAGAAAAATAACAAGAGGTTTGATTTATTGACTGTCTACTTTTGACAGTAATAGGCTTTCTCTCTCTCTCTCTTTTTGTGGCGCAATTTGGGGATGTGTTTGAAAAGACAGATAGAGATAGAGATTTAAGCGGGGGTTATTACAGAGTTTTATATCTGAGCTTTCTTCTAGAATAAGAAGGTTGTGTAATAGTGGCTGTTTGGATTTTTTTGACGATATGCTTCGATTAGTGTATTAAGAAAAAAAAAGATGGAAAAAGGCTGAAATAAAAGTTGATACATACAAAGTGGTACAGGTATTGTCCAATAAGCTGAGAGAAACTTGGTACTGGCCTCGCATCTTCAAAAAATAATTAAAAGCACAATGATCACGTGAATCTGAGTATTAAGGTAAGAGATGAAGAAAAGAATAAATGAATAAATAAAATTAAGAGAAAAAGCTCAACAAACATTCGATATCATTACGGCCATCAGGAAAAAAAAGTTCCTAAAAAGCCTTTTAGGAGCCAATAAGATGAAGTTCCGGAAGCCAAACCACAACGTCTCAGACAAGCTGCTTAAAAGAATAGCGAAAAGAAGATGTGATTAAAAGTCTTTTAGCCTATGTTAGCTCTAAAATTAAATGGAAGAGCTAAATTATGGTAAAAAAAAATTAAAGGAGAAATTATGAGATAATTATACCCTTTAAGAGTCAAGATAAAAAGGAGACGAAGTAAAGATGGAGAGGCTGTTACAAAAAAGCAAAGTCTTTAATAAAGATAATATCGTCTGTAGTATTCCGTTTTTTTTAACAATATATATGTATGTATACTCAAGATAGAACAATAATTGGATATATAAATGTTTTTTTTTATCTTCGACTTTGGTTCCTGTCGTATTTACTGAAAAAAATCCTGAATTTGATGGTTGCCATGGGAATCAAAGCTGTTAAATTAATGTCATGGAGATACAAGGTTTGTTCCATTTCTCTCTCTCTCCTGGAAACAGCTGTTGTAACCAACCAAGTATGCAAACAAACAAACAAACAAACAAGCTGAAGAGAAAATTATAACTATTAAAAGAAAATAGTACAGTCATATGTTAAGGATTAAAGTAATAAATTATTATTAAATCCTTTATTGTTAAAATACAGAAAGTTAAATAGATTACTAGAATAAACTAGGTCAAGAATAAGACTTTTTACAGGTAATACTATCAGACAAGCACCAACCAAAGAGCTATCTAGCTCCATATAGTCTTCTTCTACAGCTTCAACTGCTTTTAATAAACGAAAATATCTTGGCCATCTTGAAAATATCATTTTCTTATGTTTGAACAAGCCTATAAGTTGGGTCGAAAAGGTTTCTCCCTCTCTCTCTCTCTTTAGGTTGGTTACTGAATACTGTGTTAATGGGATCATAAAGAAGACAAATAAGAATTACACAATTATGATCATACTGCACCACACAAAACTAATTACTAAATGTCAATTGATTGAATCTGGGGGTGAGAATACACGAAAGACACAAATAAAGTATATTAGTGACACCCGTTGTCGGCGGAACGGTTGGGATACACCTTGTCAAGAAAGAAATATTGAGCAAGGTATATTAAATCAAACCGCTCTTTTATATACATATATAGTAGTTATGTTCACGTTTCAGATTAGATTTTCAACCAACAAATGGTTTTTAAAACAAAATTCAGGAAGATGACCAAGGCCACTAATTTTGACTTTCTTTTATCTCTCTCTAGTTACATTTATAAATAAAGTAATAAAGTAATAATGAAAATCATGAAACGAAAAAGAAAATTGTGTAAGACGAGGTATATGATGTGCATGCTTACACACACACACACACATATATATATATATATATATATAATGACTCCGTTTTCTTTAAAGATGTATATGATTTGTGGTCAAAGATTAAAGTAGGTACATTTCTTTTGTGAGACCCACCCCCTTCTTTTGAGTACCTTTATATTTTCAAAAGAAGAATAAAATTCGACTTACAGAGTATAAACACATACATACACATTAGATCTAATTATATTGTCTTGAGCTGAGGGGGATTGTATAGCTTGTGATTGTTAAAATAGTTTGTGTGTAAGCCACAATGGTTTATTAAATCAAATTAAAATTAAATCAAATTAAATAAAATAAAATAAGCATTTTTCTTGATCCTCGAAATCAATTATCTATTGATTTACTTTAGAATTGGAGCCAATTCTTGTAATGAGCAGGTATTATTATCATTTCCATGTTCTTTATATTGTCTATAATTAACCTATATTAAAGCTTATGTTCTATTGAATTAATGATTGTATTAATGAATTGATTGATTAGTTGATGGGTTTAGGTTTTCAGTATAAGGACTCTTTAATTATATTAGCTTGTTTGATGAAATTATGACAGGACTCATCAAATTACCTCTTTCTTTCTTTCAATTCATTTATTAATTCTATTTTTGCTTGCTAGTTTGCTAGCTTGCTGGAGTTCTTTCTTGTAATTTAATAAAGACAGGTGTATATTGTTTATTAAATATATTTGTATTAGGAATGGTAAAATTCTTATTTGTTTATGTATGTAATGTATATGTATGTATATATATATATGTATATGTGTGGGTGTGTTGGTGTGTATCTATTTACATAGATTCACCCAAAGAATCAAATTAATTAAGATTTTTCTTTCTATTCTTTTTTAAAATATAAATAAGATTATTACAAGTTTCAATTCAATTCAATTCAATTCATTGTTTTTGATTTTGATTTTTTTTGTTGGTTTCTTGGCATTGAGAATTAAGCGTGCTTAGGATTCCAAAGGAGTTGGGGGTTTTTTTGCGTGCTGTTGATTTAACTGTACATGTGGATTATTATTATCGTTGCTGTTGTTACTGGTATTACTTTCTTGGTGTTGGTGGTGTATGTATAGATGATATTATGAGGAGTCTTCAGGCGTGGAGAAATAGATTGGCCGGATCCGGACAACTTTAACGGACCGGGCTTTTATATTGAGCTGTTTGGTGCTGGTGCCCTGGAGTACCCGAACAGGAGCACCCTGACATTCCGGAGACTATTTAACGACAATAGTAAGTATCGATAAAAATAGAGTGGGGCGATCATTTTTTATATATATATATTTCTAATTTATAAATACATAAAAAAAAATCTTGGTTTTCTCTTACCCTGTAGAACGTTATTTTTGTCAAGGGATCATTTAGATCTATTGAGCCTACATGCTTTGATTGCAAATTCCAACAAGGTGTAGAGACGCCTGATAGACCAAAAAGAAAATAGATAAATAAATATGAATATAAAGAGCTTTGATAAAAATTTATTAGACTCACTTCTCTTTCTCTTTGATCGAATGCGCTGTACTGTGCCTCTTCGACTGGGTCGAGAATAGACATCCATTTGAAACTGACTGGGTCTAGAGAGCTCTAATGATTCTGCTCCTCCGGACTTTCTAATTTCGTATGGTCGACATGACACCAGTAGTAGGAGTGTACAGAGGATGAACAATATCTGCATCAAGATGCTACTGCGATGGAACATGACAGAAAATATATATAACAATAAAAAAGGGGGGCTTGAGAGAAGAAGATTAAGAAGAAAAAGGAAGAAGGGTTGTCTATTCGCCTGGCGAACAATAATTGAAAATAAATGTGGGATATCTTTATATAAACAATTTATTCTGGGTTGCAAAATAAAATAGAGGGCTTCTTTTGTGGCAAAGCGACTGAGGAGTAGAACAAAAAAAAAAGGGCTTTTTCTGGAATATAAAAGATAAGAATAGCCTGGGCCAGATGGTAACACACCTCTTGGATCATGCATGTCAACTGCTGATGGCAGGGCTTAAAGTGAATGATTCAAAATGCTCCACTTGAGCCAACTTCTTTATATATCTTTAATATTTATTTATATCCTTGGTTTCTTCTTTACATATATGTTTTGTCTTGGCTGCTTGGCTGCTTGGTTGGTTGGCTTCGATTCTTTTTACTTTTTTACTTTTACTTACGCCGTAACAGTTTCGGAATTATAAATCATGTCACAAAGATGTCTCACTCTTTGTCTCCCCTCTGTCTCTCTGACTCTCTGTCTTCCGCCCAACCATGCACGTTCTTTTTATGGTTTTTACTTTTATTTTTATTTTCAGACCATCACACATACACACACTTTTCATTTTGGTTGAGTTACACACCATTACTATCACAATATATATAAAAAGAATCTTTTGATTTTAGTGATAGGCCTCTCATATTAAATGTGATTATAATCATTTATACATTTGTTTCTTATCTGACCAATGTTTCTTTTTCTCTTCACAATATTCAGGCCATTTGTCTTTATAATCACAACAGCAAGAAAATAATTAATTGGATTTTTGTTCAAATACACACAATCTTTATACTATATATTATATATGTACATCTATACTTCTTTTAGTTTGTTCAATATCTAGGGTTTCCTTCTCTTCTTTTTCTGCAACATCGTCCAAAGTCCTACGTTACCATATATCTTTCTCTATTGAAAACCAAATGGACCTCGATATCCGATTAGGTATTTCCTGCTCTTATATACAATTATATACATATATAAATATTGTATGGGATTGCTTTAAGTTTGATCGGATTCCAGTCCACCACCGACTCTTATGTCGTGCGAGACATATTGCTTTATTTTATTTTACTTTAAACTATATCTATATATAAATAATCGGTAAACCTTTTATTCTTCTTCTTGTTCTTCTTCTTTTAAGCTTCATGTGTAAGGCTTTAAAATATAATATAGCATAAAACCCAAGTTCAATTTCAAGTTCAATATAATATAACAGACGTTTATCAAGACAATAATCAATGTGATCTGCATCGATCTTGTGGTGCTGCAAATATAATATAAAAATAATTATAGCAAAATAAAAATGAAGCATATTTTTATATATAGTGATACAGTTATTTATAGATGTGTATGTGTGTAGGCTTGTCCTTTAGTGACAAATCCTGTATTTATATATATTATATATATACAATCAATCAATCAATCAATCAATCAACCAATATATTTCCTTGGTTACCACAGCAATTTTTTTTTGACTGCCAGAAGAATAATAATGTTTCCAAGGTTACAGAATAAACCAAATTTGGGTAATCTAAGATCGAACAAGAGGCTTTTTCTTATATTGTACTATACTGTATTATATATTTAAGATCAAAAAATAAAGAAGCACAAAATACTACGGCAGTAAAGTGAGATTAGCAAGACTAGTAAATCTGGCAGTTGCCGCATTTACATCATAGATTTAGATTGACGATAAACCAGCCTCGTCAACTATTATACTTTATTTTATATAGAGAGAGATATCCAACTCCTTTTGTAAAGGATTTGGCACATTGCTATATATAAAGTGAAAGGAAGAAGATGCTCTTTGCTAAAAGCCGAAATTACACAAATAATGACTGACAAAATTAATACCTAAAGAATATACACACAGTTTATGTTTTATTTAAAAAAAGAAAAGGAAGGTTGAACGTGTAGTAAACCAGGGACCTTTATTTCAATTCATATCAGCTGTCATGAATTCCCCCAAAAATGGTCTTGGCGGGTACAACCAAGAATACAGAACATAATATATACACACTTGATAACCACAAATCCATTATTATGTAACAATTTTCTCGTATAATTAAATAGCTAATAGTAACAATAATAAACAAGCACTAGGAATCGAGTCAAAGCTAGGAATAAAACAGGTAAAGAACCTTAAGTATGGGTGTGTCTGTTTATGCCTGTCTACACAAGAAAATAACTGTATAACTAGAGATTATCAATTATTCATATACATTATGTATATAAAGCAGATCAATAATAATAACGGTATTAGTAATTTGACAACCAAGATTGTGTATTTCTAGTACAACACATGTGCCAACACGCTATCGACAGTTTGGATTGTGGATTATCTTACAGAACGGAATTCCCTTATTTTTTGGATGGCTAGAGCGATATAGGAAGGAGCCGAGCTACACATTTAAGCAAAGCAATGACTGTACGACTCATTCGACCCCTTTGTATACATACATATATATGTATGTATGTGCATATAATAATGATTGTAGGCTTGCTTTGGTTAGTAACCGAAAATTCAGATTTCAAGAGTTGTACAAATAAAATAAAATAACATCTTTGTACTTCATAAATCATAATTGGCTCATAAGAGTTTCATGCTTTAGGATTTGTGTAAATCTATGGTTAGTATCTGATGGTCTTAATAACTAAACCAAAGAGAGAGAGAGAGAATAGCCAATTGTCACTATATTTATTATCATCTAAATCTACATCTGTAACTGTATCAACATCAACATCAACATCTACTGCCTACTGCCTATTATCTATTATCTACATTTACACCTGCATTTCCTCCTTCCTTTTCTTTCTTTCTTTCTTTCTTTCTTTCGTTTTGCTCCATTTCCTATGCAATTATTCTAATGTATCTAATTAATTTTCGCCGCTTATTTGTACTACACTCCTCTAACAACTTTCAACCTAGACATCATCTCCTATCATATCATTTACTTATATATATATAAAAGTAAAGTAAAATTTAATCATAAAAAATGAACGAGAGAACGAGAATATGTAATTACCTAAGAGTCAATTGGAGCCAAAGTAATAAAAATAATATGCGGCTGTTTTCCCACATTATAATAATTGTGGGAGTTCCATCTTTTTCCTCACATCAATTTGTTTTCATATATATATATACTGTGTAGGTTTCGAATCATCATACTCACAGAATGCTTGTTTATTTAGAATGAAAATTGATAAAAACAGAAAATTTATTTTGTAGCTTAACAAAGAGAATATTATCAATACAAGTGTATTCGTTGTCATAGTGATCCATAATTACACTGAAAAGATTGTCTGGTCCAGAATCAATCAATAAAAATATATAAGCTTTTAGTGTGTAATAAGCATATATGCTTAATATTGGACTAAGATTATGTCATACATAGCTTGGAAAATGAATAGGAAAAGACTACATTAAGAGAGAGAAAGAGAGAGAAAGTCTTTGATTGACATATACAAAATAAATTAGTTTCTAATTAAATCTAACCAAGAAAATAGTACTCAAAATAGGTTTCTTTTTAATCTGGGGTTATTTTCTGTACTGGTTAATCCGTAAAAATATTAAGGCCTTTTTCTTTTTCTTTTAACATATCATCATGTCAGAAAATATTACTTTTACTACTACTACTGTTACTACTGCTTCAAGTACTTGCTTCTATATACTATTTGGCATCAAAAACAAGCTTACAGATCTATAATTCTTGTATGCGACATGCACCAACAGGTTTTCTGGTATTTAAACATTATACAAATGTCTACTTGCAGTCTGTAATAAGGTCTAATTATATCTTTTTTCTGGAGTAATCGTATATTATCAATGTCTACAGACTGTCTTACAAGATACGCTACAAAGAATCTCTTGATATTTAATAGAAGAAGAAGGAAAAAAGTCATTACCTTTTATATATACATATATGTATATGAAAGAATAATTGTCTATTTTAAGACAAATTTCCGTATTTTTTTTATAAAAAAAAAAGAAACGCTACACTAGAATCTGAACTTGAGCTTATTTTTTCTATAAAAGTCATTTGCCGGTTTAAACAAAACCCTTTATCAATACAAGACGTCTTTCAAATTCTAAAAACAAACCAAACCAAATAAAACCAAAGAAAAAAGGTTCAAAAAAATATTCAAATCTTATATACACATGTGTATGAATATATTTATGTATATATATATTTACGCGTACAAAACCCATGTAATTGTGTAATGGGATAATGAGGATTAACGTATTTAATGTATTATATATTTTTTGAAACTCCCTATTCGTCCTACTTATTCTCATCCTGCCTCATCTTTTTCCTCATCCTCATCCTCCTCATCCTTCTCATTTCTCCACATGTAGAAACGAGAGTACGATCGAATTCCGGAAATATTTCTCAATGGTCAATTTTTAGTAGTATCATCGTTTTTTTTAACCAACCCGAGGTTACTGGTGTAACTATTTGTTAAGTATAAATATATAGATACGAACTCATATGTCTTGGTAAAGGCTATCTTTAGATATAAACTTTGTAGTAGTAGTAGTAGTAGTAGTAGTAGTAGTAGTTTCTGTTTTTATAAAGGACGAACTGTTTCCCATACTTTTTATTAATTTATAATAGTAACCATACAATATTTATAGTGGAAAACTATAATTTTTCTTTCTTTATTTTTATACTTGATTATTTGTTTTATGATTATGATTATGATTTATTGTGTCTATGTGCGATGCCTTTTATATATAAAAACCCGGTCAAGTAGAACCCACATGAAATTTTACAAAATATCACCAATTTGTTGTTGTAGCTGTTGTGATGTGTGAGATATGAGATTAGTGAGTAAGTGAGTGATTGGGTGATTGGGTGAGTGGGTGAGTGGGTGGGTAGGAGGGTGTGAATAGTTTGTGATCATTTAGGGGTTATTTTTTTTCTTGCTTTTTTTTTTTCTTTTTCTTTTGCTTTGGAAGTAAACCACTTCCAGATTTACTACTGTTATTATTATTCTTATTTGTAGAATCTTCTTTGTAGACAAATGTTTTTAGCTTTTCTTTGTAAAGAGGAATTTCGATAGGCGCGCTGGGTGACATGTCAAGTGCAAATGCAAAATCATTGCAATCAATAGAAGAAGTGTGCGAATATGATAATGATGACAATGGTGATAGTGAGGTTGTTTTGAAAAGAGAATTCATGTCGGCAAATTTGTTGTATGTATCCAAACGTTCTCCATAGCTTGAGTGCGTGCCATTTTCATTAATGTGAGATGAGATTGACAGACCAACCGGTCGATTTACCCGACGTTTTGTGATGATGTCGGATATAATGTTTTTTAAAAAGATCTTTTTTTTTGTTTTGTTTTTGGCCGAGTAATAGATATATAGATATATATATTATAATATAATAATGAAGGTGTAACCCAACCACAAAGAAAAAGAAAAAGAAAATACGATGAATATACTTCATTATTAGGTTGGTCTTTTTGATTGCTATCAAAAACATTCATTAGCATTCGTACCTGCAGTGCCAGAGCCATAACATCCACTACATCATCTTCTAGCTTATCCAGTAAACCATGTTGTAGGGATATAAGTTTCATTCGCACATTGAGTGTGTATTGGTCCGGTAACTCTTTAGCTTCACGGCAAATTGGCGGAGGTAATGATTCAAGACCTGTCCAAATATCCATTGTTTAACAATGGATCAGTAACACACACAATTGTATATGTTTTTCTGCCACTTACTAGAGTCATTGTTAAGGCGTGTAATCAAAGAACAAGGTGATTGGCCTGTGAGATTACCAAGGGCTTTGTCTACAAATGCCTTCAATTGGATTGTATTCCCAGCCTACTCAATTAATACCATACACACACAGAGAGAGAGATATAGATATACATAAATACATACAAAGTTTAACAAACAAAAAAATAAGGGAAATTATAAATTCAATTTCCATCATAGTGTGTCTTACTTTAACCAGCTTATTTAAACTTTCGCGATCAGCTCTACTTAATGACATGACATCCATCTTCAATTTCTTTCGTGCCTCTAATTCTTGCACCTCCCGACTTTCTTTTATGCGCTTTCGTTTGGAATTGAGTTGTGGGTTGGGTTTTCGTACTGGTTGTGAATTCACTTTTGAATTTTGAATTGTACTGAGGATGAATGCGTTGTGAAGATAAGCTACAAATTGGTTTTTTTTTTTCAAAAAAATAAAATAAAATAAAAAAAAAAAATCGCTTGTTAGAGTGTGAATTTTTATGAAATTTTGTGTATCTATATCTACCTTTTATTTATTATATATTTACCATTCTGTCTATTCAAGTATAGATTAGCATAAAAATCAAATTCTATGCGGCTGAGATTTCCAGTAATGAATTCCTTCATTGCGCTCCAATATAATGGTCCGTTGTCTCCAAGTGCATCAGCTAATCGTTGCTTAATCGTACGCATTTCTTGCATTGTATTGGTTGAACGTATTGAAGATTGTTTTGAGGCGTCATTGGAATGTTGACAAGGAATCTCGGACTCTGTGTTGCTCATGTTTAATTTTTTATTTTATTTTAAAAGTTTTTATTTTGTTTTATTTTTGAAGATTTTATATACACATATATTCTTTTTTTGGACAAGCGCTGTAGAAAATATATAATATTTTATATATATATTTAAAAGGTGATAGTAATGATAATAGTAATTGAAGCCCAAGACCGATATTTTCTTATGCTTAGAGAAAGACCAAGAAGATAGAAAAGGAAAAGGAAAGGGAAAGAATGAAAGCAATTGAATGTTTATATTATTATAATTATAAGCAGTGATTAAATATATCTATATTAACAAATAAAATATCTAATTATATAATGGTGTTATATATATATATATGTATAATTGTATTAAATATTCTTAATTCAAATAAAATAAGATGAAAGCATAGCTAGCCCCAGACGTCTTCATTGAATCGCTTGGAATCTATCCAGCTTTGTATAAGAAGCTTGGCTTCTTGGTCGTCTTGAGTCTCACCAAAATATGTGGCCATTGTGTAGAATGTACGGCGTACTTCACGACTCATTGCACCTCCGCCACATACATATATATGTGCAGGCTTTGAATCCTTTTTGGTGGTCGGCATCACCAGATTCCAGATTTCGGAGGAGTGGGCCAGCAACTGATGCTGAACATATCTGACGGCAGTAGGACGAGAAGAAGTATTCCGAGAGAAGGAAACATAAAGTCTCGACAGAACCCCATCTCTTTCATATTGGTCCAGCTCATCTGAAAAAATGTAGTCCTGTTCAGGATGACGGCATCCAAAGAAAAGAATACTTGATCCTGTCTTCACACCCTGTGCACGCTGAGCCGCTCGCTCTTGAAGGAATCCTCGAAAGGGAGCTAAACCGGTACCGGCTGCAATCATAACTATAGGCACACTTGGGTCAGACGGAAGCTCAAAAACACCCTTGGACGACTTTAGAGATGCCCTGATAGACACTCCGTTGGATCGATAGAGATAAGACGAACCAAGCCCGTAGTAGTGGAACCCATTCACGACATCGTCAACCAGACCTACTACAACATGTGCTTCTTTAGGGTGAGCCAAAGGAGAAGATGCAATAGAGTAGCGGCGCGGCTGAATGCACCCCACAGCAGTCAAAAATTGTCCTAGGTCAAGACTGTTGACTAACGGGTAAGCCTTCTGTAGATCAAGAAGGGTGCGGTGGCGTTTTATAAATGCAGGGTATGGATCGCTGTTACTAAAGTTTGGTGTGATGAGTTGATCAAATTCATCTGCAGTATCGGGAGCAAGCTTGCGAAGCTGGGAAGAGAAACAGGAAACCATACTGCGGGAAGGAGGAGATGATATGTCAGCAAAGCAAGTCAGAGCATTTCTGACAGTACAAGGACCAGAAATTATGGCGGCAATAGACCGGGATGAAGCACCGGCCAGTGAGCCAGGGTCGACCTCAAATACAGAATCAAGCACCCATCCAAAGTTTAGTGCAACAGCCTCGACAATATCTGGACTGTTCTTTGGCCAGATCTCCAGATGATCGCCAGCCTTGTACAAGAACCCATCTTCCGCAGGAGTAAAGTTTGAAATGTCAATCTGTATGTGGCGTGTACTTCGGTTTGAACCTATGCATTGCAGCTCTTGATTAACAAGAATCTTGGCATGCTGGCTCCCATTCTTGTTTTCTATCGCAACCTTCCATTTGTCTTCTTCACTTGGGCGGATGTGAATGACTTTGGCTTTGGCCTTTGTTTTGTGACCTCTATTAGATGTTTGGTCAAAAGAGCTTTCTACGGAAACGGCAGCACCGTAATATTTGAGAGTATGAGTCCAGAAATTGACGCACCTTTATAAAAACAAGAAATTCGAGAGGGAGTATTTGGTGAGTATTTCACCCTTTTTTTTTTTGAAAGGAGGCAAAGTTTTTTTTTTTATAAATAATACAAAGCAAAAACCTTTTTTTTTACCATTCATTGAATTGGGAATCGATATCTTTATCTGCATTTCCTTTACCAGCAGGGAAAATGCGCTCTGCGCCAAAGGTTTCGAATAGTCGATCAATTTTGATAGGAAAGTATTGATATGTACGCCAATTCTTGTTTCCAATACCAAACACGGTGTACATCAGACCACTGAATCCAGAGTAATTCAAGTCATTGGATTTTTTATCCAAAAATTTGCTAAAGATTTCGGCATTGTCGGGCGGGAGACCATTGTAGGTAGCCGAACAAATGACAATAAGCTCCTTTTGGTCGTTATTGTCCTCGTTATTTTCTTTTTCCTTGGGTCCATCAATATTTTCAGACCATATTACACTCCACTTGTCTAGTTCACAAAGAGTGATGTCCTTGAACCCAAACCCTTGTGCTTGTACAGAAAGCTGCGTTGCATAATCTTGGGCTGCACCTGTCTGAGAGCCATACAGAAATGTAATCTTGGGTAAATCTATAGTGACTGAATTTGAGACTAACTGAGGAAGTGTTCGTATCACTAGGCTGGTTGGCTCTGTGGGAGTATTTTTTAGAGAAACATTGGACTGTGGAAAGCTAGTACGAGGTTTGACTGTCATCATAAAGCTGTAAGGTTTTGTGGTAGCCATTTTAGGATCAAATTGGATAGGTGGGCCGTCTAAAACATACAACAAGTAAGTAAGTGATTATGCATAAGTGATTATGCATTCATACATATATGTATGTATGTATGTGTGTACGCAAGTATTTTTTTATAGAAAAAAAAAGAAATAGGCGTTGATTGTTACTATTAACATCATTATTTTAGGGTTTTAGAAGAAACATGATACACACCATAAATAAAGCGGTACTTCTGTAAGAGCATAGCCAAGCTCGTTTTCATTTCTTGAAGAGAAAATGCCATGCCAATGCAAGCGCGAGGTCCGGTACTGAATGGCATCCATGAGTATCTAGATCGTTTTTGTTCTTCTTCGGGTGTCCATCGATCAGGATTCCATCGATAAGGATTGGGGTAAATCTCAGGGTTGTGGTGGAGAGAGTAAAGATGAACGCCTACTGAACTGCCCTTTTTGATTAGATAGCCGCCCGGAATAACGCAGTTCTTTTTGCAGATTCGGGATATTATTCTAATGGGGGGATATCGTCGAAGGGTTTCTTTAATCACTTGTGTGATGTATTTCAGGTCACTGATTTGTTCACTTGTCGGCAATTCTTCAGCCGTAATGCCAGCATTCACTATTTCTTGAACAATCTTTGCCTCGACTTCTGGACTGCGCGATATCTCATACAAGGCCCAAGCAACAGTATTGGCGGTTGTGTCGTGTCCGGCAATGAGAAAAGTAACCACTTGATCACGCATGTTTTCGTCTGATAATCCCAAGTTATTTTCGTCTCGTGCATACAGCATAAAGTCAAGAAGGTCCTTATTATTATTACTATCACTATCACTATCACTCTCGCTGTTGTCTGTGTCACTTTTGGGGACCCGTTTACGATCCTGGATAACTTTGTCTACAATGTCGTGCATCAATTTGAGCGACCGGTCAAAGGTCCGGTTGGCTTCGGTGGGTAAAGAACGAACGAACCTAGCTTGCTGTGTCCTGACGACAGCCTGTTGCAAACAGTAACTCATGGCACCAATAAAAGGGTGGGAAGGTGAATTGAGGGAATCAATCAAGCCAAATTTGTATCCAAATCCGATCCGACCAATGGTTTCAAAAGTTAATTTGGTAGATAAGTCAATGATGTCTACTGGACCATCTTGTGGAATTTGTTCAATGATGCGTATAGTTTGTTGGACAAGTCTACCCATTTCTATCTGATACGCCTACAGATACATATAAATAAATACAGCAACAAATATGCGGGTAGCTTGTTTGTAGATTAGATTAAGACCTAAGACTTACTTTGATAGCCCGAGAGCTGAAAGCAGGCATGAGAAGCTGGTGTGCCAATCTCCAGTCGGTTTCATCTGTGTCAGTCGTAAAGAGACCCTGGAGACCGACTCTCTTGGCTTCACTCAACACTGAGCCTTTTATTCTCTTTGTAAAGTACTCTGACTCTTTTGAGAATATCTCTGCGATATCGACATTGTTTGTGTTTATCATTTCGGTTCCAAGTATTGAGACCGACACAAGGGGACCATATTTCTCGAATTGTCTTACCCATGATTCTGTACTAAGATATACATATACATACATATACATACATACATATATACATATATATTAATAAATATAAGACAAGACAAGACAATAAGTATATATATGAATATGATTTACTTACATATTGGGAAGCATTTCATATAAGGATCCCACAAAGGGTATGTTTAATGGGCCAGGTATGGTGTGCTTGATATGATCCTTGAGGTCGACATAAACCAGTTGCTGATTTTGAATCGATGCCCGGCTATTCAGGATGTTTTCACTGTCGTCAAGCAACAAGATTTCCTCCTTTGGACTCATGATCGAGAGTGCGTCTGCAATATGGCTACGAATGGTATCAAGGTTATCGCTCGAATCAAAGCAGACCATTCTTCCATCCCTCTCGATATTATCCGAGCCTTTGAGAGCAACAAACAGAGACGTCTTGGACTTTGGCATATTAATAGGTGGAGATGTATATTTATGTTTTTAAGGTAAAATAAAATAAAATAAAATAAATAGTTGATCAAAAATAATAAATGATCAACTTGTTTGACAAGCTAAATAATACTCTTGTTTGAATTTCTTTTTATTTTATAGATACTTTTAAATGCGATATAAAGTAGTGTGTCAAGTTTTGATAATGTTCTTCGGGGAAAATAGGCAGTAAATTGATGCTATAGAGGATCTATGGATTTGACAAAGTAGATAAAGATGTACTCGGCATTAAAGATATATCAACTATAGATCTAATTATAGTTCTAATCATATATGTGTGTTGTAAGATAATGATAATGAAGTAGCCTAATCATTCGCAAATCCGATTGCTATTTTGTAGTGATGTATTAGTTTTGATGCCTTTAAGATAAGAAGCAAAGTAGACCCTGTAAATTACGTACTCTCGGCTACGTTTTGAATATCTGGCATATATTCTGGTAGTTAAATTATTTGAATGAGCAGTAGTTGAATAAATGTTATTCAATAACGATCTATGTAATAAACCAAATCAAAGTAGAGTAGATTAGAGTATAGAAAATTATTGTTGTCTATTTTCATAATAGGATTTATACCTCAAATCAAACATCAAGAGCTCTATGGCGCGATTTACAGATAGACTCAAGAAGAGTGAATATATATATATGCATGTGTATGTGTGTGTGTGTCTTTGTTGAAATTTATACTAAAGATTAACATTGTGCTTATGCTATAGTTTATTTTCTACCAAGATATCAATGTCAGCATGAAGATTAGAAATGGCCATATTTCTTCATTTCTTAATTATTGTCTTATTTATTGGTATAGTAGAGATATTTTAAGGATTACGGTTAGATTAGGGCAGATCTGATTGATGCATTCTGACTTCAAATCAGGGAACCATATTACTGTGTACGGCAGGAGTATGCAGAAAAGCAAAGAAGCAAAGAGAGGAATAGTTGGACTTTGGATAAAAAACTCACATCAATCTATTCATCCCTTGGATCTTGACAGCATCAAGCGATCTAATCTTCAATATCCTTTATTTATGGTTTATTAGATGCTTAGCCATACACTCTATTCTTAATCTGTTATACTCTAGCTGCAATATAGATATACGAACATCAACATAGTTATAATCAGGTATATCCTAACCAAGCCCTTTTTCTGTGTATTACTACTCTATACTGGTGGGTTTACTTGGCTTATAATGGTTGATACCAGCCAGCAATACTTGAGTCTATACATTCAAAGGAACAAGACCAAATCCCCTCCTCTCCAACCCCTTGTTCCAAAATACACACACACAAGATTAAGCAAAAGTATGTGTATATTTTTTTATACTATTTACTTTGAAGAGTTTGGTTGATGATTAAGTAAAATATAATTCATAAGAAAAAGTACTAGAGGTAATGCATTAGGGATAGTATATAATACTGAAATCAAATATTACTTGATAAAGTATAAATTATAATATATTGGCTTTCACACCCATATGTATATTCCCACATTGAGTCTTGGATATATTACAGGTATATAAATTATAAATTATATCATCTGCTTCTAGACCAAGAACCATAGATTATGTATCTTATTTACTGTCAAATTGAGATTTTGTACATCTGGATTATTCTAAATTTATTAAAATCATCAATCTTGTATACATATACCTAAAAGAAGCACCAATTATATTGTTTTTCTCTCATTTTTTTTCTGGATAAATCAATAAACATAAAAAGTGTATTTTGGTTTTGGGTTGTGCTTAACCCTGCTTATAGTATTTAAGGAAAAAGGGTATTATTTCAATTGGTGAGTAGTAAGTAGAGTTCTGGTTTTTGCCTTAAGAGTCAAAAAGTGAAACTCTTTTTTTTTTTTGGTTGTTGTTGTTGTTGGTTTTATTGATTCATGGATTCTAACCTTTGAGGGATAATGGAGTGGAAGGGGAGGAGGAGGAATAAAAGGAGAATCAATATTTTTTATAGACTTTATTGTCCTATTCTATCAACCATCTCCTTTATGCCAACCATGTGATTACTGCATGCTACCCCACTGCCAGGGTTTAATATGAATGGAGACCTTTTTTATGTCAAGCAAGGTAAATAAATAAATATATATATATATATGTTTTTCAAAAATAAAATCGTCTTTGAGTGAATGAATGAATGAATGAATGTGTAAAAGTAATTTGAACAAAGCAAAGGAAAATATCTGTTCATCAATATTATGTAATTATATTTAATATGAGCAGAAAGAATCGTTAACAATTGAATTGAATGTTAAAAGTTGGTATTTGTCCTAATCTATAGTGTGTGGTTTATTTATTTATGTATTTATGTATTGTTGCTGTTATTTCCTTCCTAATGTTAAGAAAGGGAAATACAGCATCAGACTAGTATCTACTTTTGGAATTTACATAGCTATAAAGTGTACGTGCCTCTCCTCTCTCTCTCTCTCTCTCTCTTTCTGTCTTTTCACTTACTCTTTCCCTTCTTTCCTTCATTCTCCTTCTAAATTTAATTATTAAAGATAAAGAACGATCGATCATAAGAATGCATATCTCTTATGAAAGAAAGAAAAATATAGAAAATCATACGATATTTTCCCATTCAGGCTTAAAGTTACCAGTCTGACTGGAATAGTATTATTATTATTATTATTGCTTTTTAGAAAAAAGAAAATCCAACTTTTAAGTTTCAACAAACGCACCTCAAGTTGAAATAAGATTATTATAGATATATGCACACCCTGATCTCCCACATGAATGACCTTTTGTATTTTGTAGGTACATAATGGCAAATATATACTATCAACATTTAACACGCGTACCCTCCCACCAACCCCTTATTTTATTTATATATTTTTATTTTTATTATCAATATATAAAATATACACATACTTTACTTGAAAGGCATTTGCTTATATGGTATCGATATTCATTACAAAAGAGAAAGCATTTTATAGCCTTGTATATTTAATAATACACGGTACATTTATTGAGACATTATGTTGTGCGTAATATCATACTTGCAACTATTGCCACCTTTTGACAGCACTTGTTATACTTTATGATTATTGAATTATTGTGGTATATAATTTATTTAATTTTTATTTTATTTTTTATTTTCTTGTGTATCTTGACGTTTTCAAAAAAGAAAAGTAACCCATTCTTCTTTTATTTCAAATATAGCATTTTAGCAAACTAGGCAATCGATTCATTTATCTCCCTTTCATTCTCTCCCTAACCACATTCCCTTTTTTTTTCATTGTTGTTGTTGTTCCTGTTATATTAAATGCATATATATATGGCTGGTAGATCTCCATTGATTAAATCCTCCCAAATATAAAATATAAAGAAAATGAGGCTCACACTTAAATCTCTAATAGATTATCACCTATTTATAAATATATATATATATATATAAAATACCAAAACTAATTCATACGTAATGTAAAAAAAAAAAGCTTAGATCTTTTAAGGTTGTATTGTATAAGTTACTATATATCAGCATTTATCCACTAGCAGTAGATCCCTGATATAAATTGGATTTGTGGAGTGTAAAGAATAATTTTGCCTTGACATTTATACACTAAATAATCTGAGTTTATACAAACATAACTCAGATTGTATTCTGGAATTAAATAATTTATACGGTAAATCATTTATTACATTCTCCGTCTTGCTATTTAAAGCACCGTATCTTAAAAGCAAAAAAAAAAAAAAAAAAAAATGAACCCTAGGAGTAGATTTAATATGTTTCAATTTTTTTCTTGCTTTATTGTATTTTTTTTATGTATTTGTAATCAATGAGCATTTGTTTCTTATTTATTATAGTTCAGCATTTTATATGAAACAATCATGTCTTTTTTTTTTAAAAAAAAAAAACGCCCCTTTGTTTCTTAACCCCTCCTCAACCTCCTACTCGCTTATAAAAAACAAACAAACATACTTACATTTACCTTTGAAACGTTTGTGCAAGTAATATACAGGTATAAAATAAATAAATAAGTAAGTAAGTAAGAGAGACAGAAAAGAAAAGAAAAGAAAATGTGCGAAATGCTTTCTTTATTTAGAAAAATGGTTATAGTTTTTAAGGACTGGTAAAATTTAAATTTCCCACTCTTGTGTTACAGAGATTGTGATTCTGAGAATTCTCAGGCCAATAAAAACTAAGCAAGATTTTTTTTTAAAAGAATAAAATAGATAAAAATCACAAGATTGGGGATTTGTAATTCATCATTCATTCATTCATTCATTCATTCATTCATTCGTTTCTTTTTCTGTTATTTTATATTTTTGTTGAAAAACACAAAAAAAACACAAAAAAACAAACAAACAACAATTAAAATGTACAAAAAAAATTTTTCTTTGTGTATATTTGTGATATAATCTGTAATACTATAAATGGAGTAATAAAATATTATCTTTTTGATCGTCTTTTGTGTACAAATTTATAAATGTACAAATGTGCATTATTTATTTATTTTATTTTATTTTATAAAATAAAATAAAAGCTATACCATATCACTTGAACCATATACATACACATGTAAATATGTATTCACTAGGGCTGTACCAAATAGAGAAAAGTACACGTCCGAACAAACACACTCATAAGCACACATGTCTTGTTTTCTTTAGGTTTGTAAATGGCTTAAAAATATGTGCATGTCACTAGGCCCTTTTATAAGGTCTGATGTGCTTAAATACAGTTGGCTTATATTTTATTATTTTGATTTTGGCTTTGATAAATTTGTTCATTTCTCTTTGTATACTTGTGATCGTACGTGTGGGTTTATTAGAGTTAAAATGGTAAATGGGGAAAATATAATCAAAGAGAACCAGGGTCTTTTTTTTTTTTTTTTTTTGGCTTTTCTTAGCTTATTCCGGAATTGGTTACTTGATAGTTTTATACTATAGATATATATATAATGTTTGCTTGTGATCTGAGTACTAGACTTGTGCTTGTTGGAAATGACACTTACTAATTTACACAACGACAGAGGAAGAAAGAGAAAGAAAGGAAGAAAGACAACGAAAGGGTATTGATATCTATTTATTTATTTGCTTATTTATTTATTTATTTTGAGGAGGTACACAATTCAATCGTACTTGATTGCTTGTTGGGAATCAAAATTGCAATATATATTAGTATTGATAAAGAGAAAGATAAAAAGAAATTTGGGGGGAGGGGGAAATGATGGCGTCTGTTCGGGAGTGTCCAAATATCTCTCGGAACAATGGTTGCTATTCGTTTTATGAAGCAAGATTTTCCAAGATAAAATAAAATAATAATTTGAAATAGAGCTACATAAGAATGAAACAAAGGTACGGTAAGCTGATATGTAATAGGAATACTCTTCTGGTTTATGCACAAAAAAATGGCTGCAGTTACAAATCAAAATGGCCGTGTACGGATTATACAATCATATTTTCTCTTTTCTTTTCTTTTCTAGTTGTTGGTGTTGCTTTGGGTTCTTTGTCACTCGCGAGAATTCAATAGGCTGTATAATTCAATACGCGCTTATAATGCTATTTGCTATACACCAAAACAGAAAAAAAAATGGTGATTTTGTACCCCAATCTATATATTTTGTAATAACAGAAAATAATCCCAATAATCATATTTTGTAAACGACACAATTCAAAGTACAACAACCAAAAATAAAAATCAAAAATTTTAAAAAGACTGAAGAGCTATATTTGTATATTTTGAATACATTTATAAATTGGCGTCAGTTTCAGTACTAATACTAGTGCTAGGACTATAATATTGGTTATTTAGGATGTATACTTTTGGTTGTTCCATTGTTTAAGCATCACTTGTGTAATACGTGGACTCTTTGGTTGGTACGACAGACAGAACCAACAAGGGGGAACTAGGGTGCCAAACCTACTCTAACTCAGAAAAGAAACAAAAAGGTTAATGGTTTCAAACAACAAACAGGCATTTTATTTCAGATTTACCTCCTTTATATCACAAATGTACACTCTAATCTTCCAAATTAACAAATACCGCCATTATATATATATATATATCAATATTTTTGTACTTGATTATTTAGAAGTACTACGTACATACATACATACATACATACTTACATACTTACATACATGCATGTAATTATATACACAAGGCAAGCAATTGCATTATAAAATAAAATAAAGCAATTAGATAGAAAGGGATATAAAGATATATACAGTACTTAATAAATAATAGTGATAGCAATAGCAATAGCAATAAAGATGGCATGACTCGGGGCAAGCACGCAGTTCGGAATATTGAATGGCCTAATCACTATTGTATACTTGGCTTGAACGATATTTTCTTTTTTTTCTTTTACACAATGACCTTTTGTACAACACGAATATCATCGCTTTTAGTTTATAATATTATTTTATATTATTTTCTTGTTAATTGGGATTGGGATTATGATCAGGCCAGGCCAGGTCAGGCCAGACCAGGCCCAAGCTAGGTCAATCCAAAGCAAACTAAAGAAAAACAGAACAGAACCGAACGGACCAGGTCAAGCTAAAACACTATATGTACACTGAAGACGTTTAATTTAATTTAATTTACTTTAATTTAATTTAATAAACATAATGGTGATGGTCAATAATGATAATAAGTGTAGAATAGTATCCGATCTTCATTTGCCTTTTGCTTTTATTTTATTTTATTTTATTATATCATATTATATAATATATATATATAATATGGGCAGTCACAACAATATTTATATTTATATCTATACACATAGACACATAGATACATGGATACATAAATATACATATACATACATAATACATAATATATAATATATAATATATATATATATATATAATGTGTATATAGTAAAAGGAGTGAAAGAGCCAAAAATAATAATAGTCGAACAAATACAATCGCATCTTACTTATAGTGCATTAAATGATGGTAATCTTTTGTGGGTGCACACACACAGTTATATCCAATATTTTACTTTCTACCTCTTGCTTTCAACACACAGATATAAAATAATATAATAAAAAATAGGGATTTTTATTTTAACTTATTTTTATTTTGGTTTTGCAACACTCAGCACTTTGACTTCCTCCTTTTTCTTTTTTTGGAAAAACAACAAGCCTGATAATCGAAGAATACGCAGCCTTGAGCTGATTGAAGGGAGTTGATATATGGGGCAGATGGTTACCCAAGTTATTTTTTTTTTCTTATTTTTTTTTTATACGTGTATAAAATTTTATAATACAAAGGTCGCCTACTCAAACTGTATACTTTATATATTTTAGAGGGGAGAACTAAAATAAAATAAAATAAAAAAAAATAATAGAAATGGATGCTAAATAAAATAAAAACAAAAATTTCCTACTCCAGAATCCGCATCTCATTTGAATCGGCAAATAATGATTTTCCCATCACAGTAGAAAAAAGGTGGTTTTTTCCAATTTCGAGAATTTCGCTTTTCTTCCCTCTATACTTTTCTTATTATTTTATTTCTTTTTTTTTATTATATATATATATTTCTTTTTCTTTTTATTTAAAATTTTAATTTTTATTTTTTTACGAAAAAAAAATCCTTTTTTTTTTCCTACTTCACCACAAAAAGGTACACTTCCCTTTTTCAGCAAAATCCCAACCAACTTATTTTTCAATCATCACCAGTACACTAACCTAAACCACTTTTAAATATCTCCTTTGTCAATACAGATAATAATTATATAAACCATATATATATATATATTCACACAGACGCACATAATTACTCTACAAACCACGAATACCAATACCAATACCTATACCAATACCAGTGCTAGTACCAATACAAATACCATCACAGCCACAGCCACAGTCACCACCACAACCACTACCACTACCACTAGCAGAAACGATAACAAAAGACACAGAAGCAAAAGTAGAAACAGAAACAGTAGAAAACAGCAGCGGCAATAGCAGCAGCCATAGCAGCAGCCATAGCAACAAACAGCCAAAGAAAGAGAGAGAGAAAAAAAAAAGAAATCTTTCACTAAAGCTTATCCTCTTTTTACAAGCTTCTCTCCACCTTTTATACCTTTGCTATATAAATATTAAAGGCACAAAATAATATTATGGACTTTCCACATCGCCATAACTCGACAAAAAAGAATATGACCAACTCATCAAACAGGAAACGATCTCGATCATCTGTGTCGTCTTCTTCGGCCTCTCCCCCCGAGACTATGTTTTCTGCAAATAGTTCGTCTGACTCTGGATCTTCATCCATGACTTCAGCAGGTTCAAAACCCTATACCAAGAAAAAGCGACAAAACAACAACAACACCACCACTACTACCACAAATACTGGAAGTATTAGTACCAGCACCAGCACCAACACCAACACCAACACTACCACTACCACTGGTAGTAATAATAGCAGCAGGAGTAGTAGTACGAGTAGTACCAGTCCAGATTCCAGCACGGCACAGTCACAGTCTGGTCTATCCGAGCCCTCTTCACCATCATTTAGTCCACCTGGGATGATTCCGCATAGACTGACAGCTCAACGTAGTGTACCCGCTTTCTTAAACAAACTTTACAAGTAAGCTTTTATAAAACATAATAGCTATATATCTATATTATTTTTTATTAACCTTGAAAATTCTGCTACCATTACTATCATGATTACTATCATTTGTCATTATTTTAATAGTATGGTCGAAGATACTACTACAAAAGACCTTATCAGATGGGCAACAGACGGTGCTTCTTTTATAGGTAAAGAAAAAAAGAACTTTTTTTTTTTAAAAAAAAAAAGGCTTAATTTTATGTACAAAACACATGTATTTTTACATTATCATCACTATCATTTCCTCTATACTTTTGCTCTATCTTTGTACATATTATCGCATTTTTGAATAGACTAATCGATATTTGCACGCACACACACACACATATATATATAAGAAATAAGAATTAATAAGAAATTATTGCTATAATTAAACAATTAATTTTAGTTGAACGACATGAAGAATTCGCAAAGGCCGTGCTTCCTCGGTTTTACAAACACAACACATTTGCATCGTTTGTGAGGCAGCTGAATATGTACGATTTCCACAAAGTGCCCCACATCCAGCAAGGAGTCTTGATCGCCGACAATGAAAACGAAATCTGGGAATTCAGCAACCCGCACTTCCAACGTGAGCGACCCGACCTTCTTGCGCTCGTGACACGTAAACGAAGCCGCGAACGTGACACTGTCGAGACGGACTCGATCAATATAGCTACCTTGGTAAAAGACATCAGCGCCATCCGAAAGCACCAGACAACCATCAGCTCAGATATCCACACTTTGCACAGCGACAACGAGGTTCTCTGGAAAGAGACCCTGTCGGCCAGAGAAAAACAGCAGCAGCACCAAGACGCAATCGAGAAGATCCTCCAGTTCCTGACCACCATATTCTCGAATGACAACAAGGCCGCAATTGGCATGAGTAAGCAAAAGCCCTTTATGTTGAAAAAGAACAATGAGTGCCTTAGTCTCCCGTGTCAGTCCACGAGCAATATTGGTATTCTATCCAAAGGAACACGACAAGGGTATGCAGGTATGCCTGATTTTCGACCAGCAAAAAAAAAAGAAACACAAAAAAAAATCAAAGAGGAAGAAGAATAAGAAGATATATCCAGACACACACACACACACAATTATATGTAAAGTCTGCATTCTACGCTTTTTTTTTTGGGTCTTCATAAAAAAAAATTGATGGAAGGGGTGTTACAACCTTGTCCATCTTCTTATTTTATGCCAATCAATTTAGCAACATGCAAATCTCTTACACGACGTACAAAGTCGAAATATACATACATACATACATACATATATATATATATGTGTGTGTGTGTATGTACGTGTGTGTGTGTTTGGATATCCAAGACCTTTTTGCTCGATCGAACATTGAACACGGAGACAGAGTCTCATTGTTTCTAAACCCTATATTCTCGCTGGTTGATAGCCGGCCATCGTTCTAGACTACGTTTTTCTTTTTAATTGTGTTATGATGTTCTAATGATTGTTATTTTTTATCTTTGTCTTTCTTTACAGATGCAAGTATAGATGGTGCCATTACCACCGGGTTAATCGAAGAAGCAGCCTCATTAGCCGGAATCTCTGTAAAATCTAACGATTCCAAAGATAAAACGGGTATGTATTCTAGTACTTTACAAGAAACCATGGCCGGTGTTCTGGCATCAACTGTGAGATTATCGTCATACTCAACCAATAATCCGATATCTTCACTACCCAAACCCACTACAGAAGTACCAAAAGAATCCGCACCAGTCAATGCTTTGCAGCAACACAGTTATCCCTCGCAACAGCAACAGCAGTATCGACAACAGCATAATAACAGTTATCAAGATCAAGATAATCAACAGCAGCTCCAAAGACAATATCAACAGCAGCAGCAGCAGCAGCAGCAGCAGCAAGCTCAAGGTCAAGCACAAATGCAGGCTCAATTACAGGCTCAATTACAGGCACAGGCACAAGCACAGGCACAGGCACAAGCACAAGCACAGGCACAAGCGCAGGATATCAAGTCAGGCAATTATTCTCAGTCAAGACCACTGGCCGTGACTCATATAAAACAAAACGAGCTGAATGACAACTCAAACATTGATATCTATTCTCAAACACTCAATACGGCAACTGATTCGGCCCATTCGATCTCAAGAGATATCGACGATCTTCAAAGCAATATCGAATCTTTAGCAGCTGATCTGGGTATTGATCCAAGTCAGTTTACCGAAGATTTTGTGATGCAAATGGACCAATACGAAGAAAATTTTGACAATCTGATCTCACAGGAGGGTATTAATCACAACAGCAGGAATTCAATAGGAGGGGCCGGATCAGGGTCAGGATCTGGATCTGGATCTGGATCTAGATCTGGATCAATATCAGGAGTAGGAACAGGAACAGGACCTGTCTCAGGAGGAAGAGGAGGAAGAGGAGTAGGAGGCCTTGTGGGTGATGTACTTACCAAAGAAATGTACGCAAAGTCTATTCATGATGCGCAACTTTACCAGCAACAGCAACAGCAACAGCACCAACAGCGCTCCGAAAATATATCCTATCAAACTATCAATCGTAGCCCGCACAAGGGAAAATCTCCTGTAAACTATATGTCTCAATCCAACAACACTAACACAGTCAGCAGCAGTAACCATAACAACAGTAACAACAACCCTTCATCTTTCGGACAAGATATCAATACTGTCCAGGCTGCACTTTTACATCAAGCTAGACTTGCCACCGAGACTGTGGCTTCTGCAAAGATGTTCAACTACCCAAACGAGTCAATTGGACCAATGCCTTCGGTAAGAATTCTTTTTATTTATTTATTTATATAAATATTTATAATAAATTAACTCATATCGATTAATAGAATAATGTCAGTAATGTACGGCCTTCTATTTATTGGCAATCCTCTTCTTCTTCCGCCTCTTCGCGATCTAATAGCAATCTTACTGCAACATCACCACCGCCGCACCGGACATTATCACAAATTCACCAGCAACAGCAACAGCAACAACAGCAGCAGAATATCAACAATCAGCGTGGACCTGTACCAGCTTTCTACAATATTAGGCGTAATCCAAACCACTCTGGTGGACCAGCTGTAGTGTCTAGGCCAATGGACGAAATATCTGGAGACCCGAGGTTCAGGAATGTTGTGCATCAAGAGAACCACAACAATGGCTACCTATCTTCACAGCCCTGTCCAAACACCAATGATGATCCAAATGCCATCATGGTACCCTTTTCGGCTACTTCCCCAGATATGGCTTATGAAAACGAGGCTCAGTGAAGAGAAAGAGGCGTCGATAAGAGAGGAAGACGAAGAAGAAGTAAAAAAAAAAAAATAATAATACTAATAATGAAAGTAAAGCTTGTATATTCCATGGTCAACAGTAAGATAATCCCAATTTCATATCCCAAGTAATCATTATACACTTGCATACACACTACACACATATACACTTACATACATCCTCACCCACCCAAACACCCTCACCCAAACACGCACACTTCATGACATTTGTTCTCTTCATCATTTTCATATCTTTACAAAAAAAATAATCTTTTATGTTAACTAATTGGAAAACCTCCCTCACCTTTCATTTCATCCTTCATCCTTCATATATATGTATGTATGTTTATGTACATATATAAATATTCTTGCTGTTTATTGTATCTTTCAGTGTGTTTTGTACATCTATCCACCCACTCCACTCTACCTACCTACCTACCTATTTATTTACTTATTTATATATATCTATTTTTTACCAATATTACTATTACCACTGCCACCATTATTGTTACCATCATTTTGTTTTTTTTTTGGTGCAAAGTTATGCCATCAACATTTCCTACTCCTTTGTGCCTAAAACCTAATCTTTTATATATATACATATTATACGTATATCACTTGAACACCCCCACCAAAAAAAAAAGTTTCCCTTTTTGATTTTGATCTTTTTTTTTTTTTATATCTCTCTCTTTCTTTTATTTGTACATACCAGCAAATCCATTCTTTTATGTGTCTACCCCTACAAAACAATTGTCCATCAATTAAATTTACTTTGATAGATAAGTGAAGCTCTATGAAATCAACAATAAAAATATAATATAATATAATTTAATATAATATAATAATACCAATAGTAGTAGCATTATTATAACACTTTTTCCTTCTTTGGAATTGGATATATAAATGAGATATTCGCTTGTGTGACGTCAATTAAAAAAAGGGCAAAGTGATCATTTTCCTTGCACATCTTTCTTTTTCTTTACTTCTTTAAATAAATCTAATTGTATTTTTTAGCTTTATATATATATATATATATATATTCATCTCCTTTTTAAACTTGTACAATAAGAGAGAGAGAGAGAGAGCGAGCAAAAAAGAGAGCAAAAAAGAGCATGGTGAGCCAAAAAACACACATACATAAAACATAATACTTTGGAACAATTTATTCACCAACCAACCAACCAAAAAATAATAATAATAATTTACATTTCAATAGACATTTGACCTTGATGAGAACCTGAGGCGTCTTAGTAATCGCAAAGGAGTAAAAGGAGTTGTGATTCTAAATGGCGATGGACAAGCGATCCGATCGACACTCGACAAAGATCTTACAAAACTTTACGGTCAGCTCATCAGTCAATTGGTCACCCAGGCACGCACAACAGTTGCTGATCTAGATGAGGATGTAAGAAATACTAACAAGTTCTGTTGTTGCTACAAAAAAAAAGGGAGAGAGACTATAAAGAAGACTCGTATAAATTCATATATTAATTTGCCTTTATATAATAATATTGAATACTTGTACCATAAAAAGAACGACGTTACATTTCTACGTATCCGAACAAAGAAGCATGAAATTATGGTTGCACCAGGTACGAAGAAATAAAAGCAAAAAGAAGTGTGGCTGTGTAGAGCATTCTGAGCTTATTATTTGTAATCCAACAAGAACCTCATTCTAATATTATTCTCTAAAAAATATATGTATGTATGCATGTATTAGACCATGAATATCTGCTCGTAGTTGTCCAGGATCCATTAGAGTCAGCACAAAGTGGAAATCCTTAAACACTTCTTTGTATTCTCTTATTCCCTTACATACCAAACCAATATAAAACTAGATAATTATAATAATGCCAGGATTTAATACTTTTTATTCTTCTTCTTCTTTATACACATACATAAATATACTTTCTCAGGCATTTATACATTTTATCTATCTATTTATCTATATCTATAATATCGCTATTGGTTGGATTCTTGCTCTATACCATCATTGTGGGGAATTGGCGATAGTTCATGGTCAGAATCAACCTTTTGTTTCTTGTTAACACTGGTTTCTCTATCATCATCATCATCGTTATCATTATCATTATCATGGTCGATAACTGACTTGTCCTCCTTTCCGGCAATGTTCTTCTCATAATACTCTACGTCTGGCTTGTGGGCTTTGCTAGTAATGTGCAGCTGAAGCGTATAACTTGTTGTGAATGTTGATGTACACCCTTCAAATGGGCATACAAGCTTTCTCTCGAATCCAAAAGGCCGTACTGCTTTCTTTCGTGATCTCTGAAATACATACATACATACATACATACATATATATAGCCAATAGTCGTGTCTAGTAAGCCAATGAAGTATTCCTTATTCTTTTTTTTTTTTAAAAAAAAAGAAATGATAATAATCTTAAAAGCCTTACACTGTGATGAGCCAAATGTCTTTCAAATATACTCTTGTAAGGAAAACCCTTTTGGCATCCAGGAAATGTACACATGAATTTGTTGATACGTTCATGGACCAGATTAATGTGCATATCATAGGCCTTTATCTATTATTATTATTATTATTATTAATAAAGAAAAAGAAAAAAAAAGGCACCCAACAAATCCATTCAACTTACTGAAGAAAAGACCTTGCCACATCCTGAATATATACATTTGACAGGATCCTTTTCGGCATGCTTGTTTTTTATATGTTGATTCAATCGAGTCTGACGATTGAATTCTTTACCACAAGCCTTGCAAATCTTTGGATGCTTCTCTCGTATGTGCTTACACAATTCGGTCCAATTAATAAAAGTGGTATCACAATCATCAAGAGAACAAAGGTATCTTGGTGTTTCTAAAAAGAAATATATATATATATATATTCAAAAAAAAAACACGCACACACGCATACACACACGATTGAATTGGCCATAATTCTCTATCCTCTTTCTGCCTTGTACGTATGTGTATATCTTTACCAGAATGAACAGTCATCTTGTGTTTCTTTAATTTCGAAGGTACCATAAAACTGGCATCACAATTCTCAACGTCGCATGGCCATAATAGTTTATGAGTGTGGGTGACCATGTGGGATCGTAATTGATGCTTCTTTTGAAATGCGGCTGTACAATCAGGCCAGGTACACTACAACTCAACCAATGTTAGAATATAATATAAAGTATGTATAATACAACATACTTTGATTGGAGAAGAATTTTTATGCGTCAATTCATGTCGTTTGAGGTGATGAGAAATAAAATAGGCTTGAGAACATTCGGGAAATGAGCATTTGTAGGTTGGTTCTTCATGAGTCCGTGCATGGACACTAAGATGCTTTGCTGCTCTATATGTCTTGTCACAGCCTGGGTGTGTACAAACAAAAGGTCGCTACAGGCAAATGAGTATCTGGTTTCGTAAAGAGCTTTTCGTTGTTTATTCTGGTTACATATACAAATATACAATTATATATATATTTGTTATTATGATTTTTACTTGGCCAGTGTGAATCAAGACATGTTCATGAAGTTTCCATTCTTTTGCATATATTTTTGTACAGTCTGTATAGGGACATTCAAAACGAAGGACTTTTGAATTTTTGCTATTAACATTCTGTTGAGCTGAATTCATGGCAGACAAACAACAGACAACACAGGGCAACGCAGATAATTAAATAGAGAAAAGAAAAAAAGAGAGAAATAAATAATAATCAATTTTTATTCGTTAATCTTTTTTTTTTTATTTTATTTTTTTGGGAAATTAAATTTCATAAATATCTATTTTATATGTATTTTATATTCAAATGCAAATAGAAATTTATACCTATAGTAATCGATTGATATAATTTATATTGCTATATCAATCTGTGAATTTATACTAAAACTTATAACAAAACCAAGGGTACAATAGCAAGCTCAATATACCAAATAAATAATAATCAATTGATTAATCATTCTTGCGAAATATTGTGCGAGAATATTCGCGACACAAACACACAGCAATTCTGATATTCGCTTTGGCACTTTGTAGAACCAGGCAGCAAATCTTAAAAAAAAAAAAAAAAAAAAAAACTCAAAATTGTGATCGATTGTTAATATTATTTTTTTTTTTAAAAAAAAAAAATGTAAATTTATACACTTCATGACAGAGAATTTTGTATTGGACAATGTGGTCAGAATTAGCAAAGATCCAAAATAATAATAATAAATTATAAATTATAAATTATTAATTATTTAAAAAAAAAAAAAAAAAGAAAGAAAACTCATCTGACCGCGTGGGAAATGAGATCCTTCTTTTTTATACTAGAGTGCATGATTGACTCTCACGCCCAATGAAAGGGATGAAATGGCGTAACGCAAATTATTTCAAAAAATAAAATAAAAATGAGCAAAAGGCATACAAAAAAGAGAAAGAAAGAAAGAAAAGAAAAAAGTGGGAAATTTCTTAATTTTAATTTTTGCTTTTTTATTTTTATAATTTTTTATTATTGAACAAGTGACTATTTAAGCTGCCTGATTGGCCGAATATACACAAAATGACAGGGAAAGATATATGTATATAAATGAATGGGTAGATAGATAGATAGATAGATAGAGTAAGAGGAAGTGAATATGTGAGTGAGTGAATATTTTATATATATATATATATGTGTGTGTGTGTGGGTGTGTGGTTTATTTGAAAGTAGATCCATAGGACATGGACCGCCTTCTGGCCCCTTCGAATGCATTGTGGAGTGAGAGTGCGGTTGGCATAAAGAAGTTTGATTTTCGAAGAGACTCAGCCATATCCTGGGTTGGTGAGTCTGACTGGGAGAACAGGCCAAAGGACGATGATGATGTCTGTAGTGGAGGCGGCACAGTTGTCTCAGACATGCGCCTATGATGGAATGGAGCACAGGAAGAAGTGTGAGAGGCAAAAGAATCGGTCTTTTCGAATGTTCGTCCACATTTGCATCGGAACGGCATGATAGAGAGAATAAGACCATCAAAAGAACCAAATACCCATCTCACTTTTTATATCCGCCAAAAAAATTAAAAAAAAATTAAAATAAAGAGGGAAAGAGCTTTGATCAGGAGGGAAGTCATGTGACACCGCTTGTTCCTATATATATATTATCGCAGCCAATTAGATCAATGTGTCCTACATTGATAAGATTTTCTTTTTTGTGCCTTTTTTTTTTGCTTTCTTTCTTTTTTTTTTCCTTTTTTTATTGGTTAGAATTTGGCAAAAAGGGCCGTTGTCGGTTGAGCTGCCGTCGTGAACACACAGCCTCGAGTCGTACAGCGCAAAGCATTAATGCTCCATCTACTATGTGTAATCCACACAGCATTCGATTGATACCCAATCGAAGGGCAGAACAGTCGCTTGGACAGCCTTTGGAGTTTTCACACTTCTTCCACAATTCATGGTTTATGTTTGCCAGTGAGTCTATTTCTTGGCCATCTACAACTAGTCCACAGTCTGGGTGAAGATAGAGCCGCTCACACACACCATTGGCCACCTTGAGACTCTGCCCGACCTTTGCAAGTTTGTCACGGCTGGGATCTCGGGCAGGCCAGACAAGCAAGATTCCCTTTAGACTATGGATTTCAGCGCACACATTCGACAATTGCACCACAAGCGATTGGGACCTGTCCTGATGCTTGTACTGGACCTGACATTTGGTCCAGGTGTTGGCACAGCTGCTAAGCACTTCTGTAGTGCGCCCAAGAGTGGCAGGTATCTGAAGCTGGGCCACACGAATGTCCTTGAGGTGGAGCGAGACCTCTTGGATAGGGGTTGGGCTAAAGTTATCCACGACCACATGAGAGCACATGAGCTTGTCCGTGAGCTGACGGAACACATAGTACTGTGCATCTCTGAGCAGATTCCTTCGATGGGCCTCATCCCGGATTGAGAGTGTGTATCCTCTCAAGAGGTGGACCAGATCGGCAAATATGTCCGGATCACGGTCGATGTAGACCGGAGGGCGTTCACTAGAGCCTGGTTCATGGTGGGGTGCATAGAGCGAGTCCATGAGAGGACCATTAAAGAAATTTTGTTTGCCGTCTTTCTGGAATAGATCCCAGGGTAGTCTAAACACACGCCCGCCCACATTGACATTCAGATATTCTCGCAGGATTTTGTCCAGCCGCTTCAATCCATAGTATCGTGCATCATTCAACAGCGCCTGGTTCTCAACATCATCTTTTGGGCGTATATAGTAGCCACGCAAATGCTGTACAATCGACTCAAACGTAGACGCACTCCTGTCAATGTGCATCACACGAGTCTTATGTTTCTGAAAATGAAGTGTGAAATAATTGTCTGGCCCGTCGCTCTTTAGAGACTCCCAGCTAAGTCTGAACGGCTTTCCTCCTACCACAATGGTGTGTGCAGTGGTGTCAAGTGGGTCGGCATCTACTTTCTGTCGCTTGGTTGGCTTTGGTGACTCGGTGTAAGTGACGCTGGTCGATTGTGGAGTCGTTCCGGCACTCTTTCCCGAGTTTATGTCTGGACTGATGGTTGCTATGGATGAAGAATTCGGTTGGTCATCAGCTACAAAGCGGAAAAAGTCATCTGGTAAGGGCTCATTAAAAAATGAAACATCTCCAAGAGGTAGATTGTAATCAAGGTTGAACATCTCCAGACCGCCCGTAAATTGCAACGAGGTATCCAATACAGGTCTGTCAGTTGGATTCATATCGAGAGATTATTACTGTTATTATTATTATTATTATTAATATTATTATTTAAGTGGTGAGGACAGTTGCAGTAATTTTTTTTTTTTTACTATTATTTTATTTTAATTTTTTATTTTAATTTTATGTAATTTTAATTTTAATTTTTTAATTTAATTTAATTTAATTGCGGCGGCGGTTGTGATTGTGGTTGTGGTGGTGGTGGTGGTAGCTTCAGTGGCGGTAGTTAGTAGTGGTTAGTAGTTAGTAAGTAGTATTGGCGGTGGCAGTGGTGGTTGTGTCGAATTACTTTTCCAGACAAGAGAGAACGAGAGGAAAGAGCATTGTGAATAAAGCAGTCTCGTGTGACCGTAAAGACCAAGGTTTCTTATCAGTTTTTTATATATCACTATTTTTTTTTGAAGTGATGGGAACTTTTTAACATATAATGATTCCTTCTTTCTTGAGACCAAGTTGGTTAGTATATTAACTAGTAGATTAATAAGACAAAATGCATGAATAAGCAAGTAAACAAGTCAATGGGTGAGTGAGTCAGTGAGTGAATTGGTGAAATTGGCTAGTGAGTAAATGAATGAGTGGAGCAAGCGAGAGAAAGTTTGGTGGATGACAGAAGTATATATTATATTGGCTTCACAAAAACCCAAAAGAAGAAAGGTATCCATATGACACGCTTGAACTTGGAAACACAAAAGAATTGCAGCAACCATCTCGTCACTGCCACAGCACCCCCCCCCCCCCCCCCCCCCCCTCTTTCTTTCTTTTTTCTCTTGGTTTGAAGAATCAACCTCCTCTCTCTCTCTCTCTCTTATCCCTTGCGTGCTGTCCTCCCTGTTTAGGAATAAGCTTAGACGCCAATCTCTATATATCACATCAGTCCAATTGCACACTTGTGTAATGCATTGTTGTGTAAGCAACAAAAAAAAAAGAATAAAGAAGATAGGACGGTCAAAATGTAGGTAGGTAGCCTAGTAATTCGCCTTTCTCCTTTTCTCCCTCCCTCTTTCAGTTTGTCCTTCTGTCTGTATTGCTTTAATTATAATGGTTATAACTGTAATCAGAACTGTAATTCAAACTCTAATTTTTGCCTCGCCTTTTATATTCTTCAATCAATCAAAGAAAAGAAGAAGAAATCACAAGGTGACATGTTTATTACTTAATGATTGTACTATTTTTTTTGGAGTAATGAAGAATACCAATGATACTTTGTTTGACCATACTGGCATGTTGTAATAACTCCCTTTATTGTGTGGGCGGGTTACATGCATATACACACAAAGCAAATAAATAAATAACATATATGCGTGTGCTGTGTATCTGCATGTACACAACATAGAAAGATACAATACACGTTTCATATTTGTGGTTTTTATTAGTTTTACAAAAATACCAATATCATATTTAGCGCAATAAATATCGTAATTTTTGCTTACTATTCTAAAGCAACTATAATAATAATAATAAAGAGTGAGAAATTACAAGTTCGAACTGTTAAAAGCTTATTCTAGGATACTTGATAAAGAATCTTGATTTTGTAATTTTGTGATTTTGTGATTTAACTGATTAATTGACTGACTGCCTGATTGACTGATGAATTGATAAATAAATAAATAATTAAATAGTGAGTATAAGTGTGGGAGTGAGTGTGAGTGTGAGTGTGAGTGTGAGTGTGTGAATATTTTCTCTTTCTATCTATTGATCTATTGATCTATTTATCTATCTATCCATTCTTGTGTGTGTGTGCGTGTGTGTGTGTGTGTGAGAGTATGTAAGTGTATTATCGACTCTTATCTTCCGAATCCACAATAGTGGGGAATATAAGAACCTTATTAGCTACCAAACGTGTTGAATACAAGTGGCTGTTTGTCTGTGACCTTTTTGTGCATTCAAATATCCATTGCACAAACTGAGAAACAAGTAGGTGGGAATTGTCCAAGTTTGATGTCGATGCTGAGGTTGAGGTTGAGGTTGAGATCGATGTTTATTTTGGTTGAATACCAAGATTTTTTTTCTTCTCTCTGTTACTCACAAGGTAACCCTAATAACGTATCAGTCATTAAAACAAGTTAGTCTCAAGTAATATTAATTGTAATGAAGAAGGAATTGATTCTAATTCAAATTAGAATAATTACTGTTGATTTTTTGGGTTTTGATTTTTTGATTTTTTGATTTTTGATTTTGGTTTCAGGAATACATTTCTTCTTCTTTTTCATTATTATTTATAAAGAAGCCTTTTGCCTGTTCACACACTTGTCTTTTTTCTTTTGTGCTCACAACCAATTATCTGCTTTATTCTTCTTTAAAATATATGTACCTGATACTTTTGATGGAGCTCTTTAGTCTTAATAGTAAGCTAAAAAGATAAAAAGACAACACCTCAAGAAAGAAAGAAAAAGAAGAAGAAAAAGGTGCGATTCCGATGGAGATTTTGTTAAAAATGCCTATGGTGCTTTCCAAAATATCTCCAACGGAATCACTGTCAACTTTCCAGTGTAAAGACTATATTCTTAATTAAACTCCCTAGTGATTGGCCAATTAGTTTTGAATTCACAGCTATTAATTTCAAAATTGTTTCAAATTCTCGGTCCATCTTTTTCAGTGTCATTTTAGGCTGTTTCGTTAACACTAAACCGTAACAAAATAATAAGCAATACTGAAACTTTAAGACTAAGATGAATATTAATATTGAAACCAATCTATATACTAGATAGTTTGAAAGGTAATTCATATAGAAAAATAAAATAAAATAATCTAAGGTGTATCAATTATGATTTTCAGAGTTGGGTGGAGATCGGCGGTCTCCAAAGATCTGTAGCTAGCCTATACTCTTTTGCATTTTTATTTTTATTTTTTTATTTTTTATTTTTTATTTTTTTTCTTCTGGCAAATTCTTTGGAAGTGACTGTAATCTGAGAACAGGGAGGGCAAGGCCTAAATGGGTATTTTTTTTTGTGTTGTATTTCTGACACCTCTTTGCTATCCAACGGCACTTGCCACAGTCAACTCTCTTTCTTTCTTCCCTTTTTTTTCCTAGGGGTCTTTTTCTTCTTTTTCTTCTTCTTCTCTTTCCTGTCTAAGCCATGTCAGATACATCAATGGATATCGACACACCTCCTGTGTAAGTCTTAGTCAAACAAGGCAGAGATGAAAGATATCTTTGTACATATAAAAGGACGAAGGAACAAAGACACACATAAACAGACAAACCAGAACGAACCAATATACACCAACTCCTACACACACACACATATATATGTATATGTGTGTGTGTGTGTACAAAAATAAATAAATAAATAGATAAATAATCATTTTCTTGTATGAATCGAGCACACTACTGCCAAGTCAGTCAAGCTCTTCTTATTCGTAATCATCAACTAATCTCATCTCCATAGGTCTGCCGAAGAGATCAAGAACCAAGCCAACCAGCAGTACAAAGATGGCAATTACAGAGAAGCAGTAGAACTTTACTCAAAGGCTATTGGTAAATAGATAGATAGATATCTATACACGACTATACAGGAGCAAATTAGAAATTAAATAAACTAATTCTTTTACTTTACTTCTAGAGTTGTCCCCAAAGACCCCGACCTACTACTCCAACCGTGCTGCTGCACTGATGATGCTCTCCAAATACAAGGAAGCCGCATCTGACTGCCGTGTTGCCACTGAACTCGATCCCGAAAACACAAAGGCATACGCACGTGGAGGAAAGTGTCATTTGTATCTTGGAAACCTCGAGGCTGCAACCCGCCAGTACGAGATTGCACTCCAAAAGGAACCCAACAACCCACAGTTCCAAAAGGAGCACAACACCCTTTTGCACGTCAAACATTATCTCCAGCAGGTCGAGATGTACATGAAGAACAACCAGTGGGGTCTTGCCCGTAACAGTCTCGACAGAGCCATTTCCTTTGTAGACAGTTCCCAGACCCCTTACAAATGGCGCCTGTGGGAAGGTGAATGTGCTCTAGGTCAAAAGAACTACTCTGAAGCTAGTCGTATTGCCAGGTAAGAAAATTGATTGATTGGCTCATATAAAATAAGTAAACAATTGGAAAAACAACAACAAAAAAGGAGATATATAAATATATAAAGAAAAAGGAAAAGAATGTGGAAATCTAAAATAAATATTAACGAATTTTATTTTATCTTTCTCTCTCCTTCACCATATATGTGTATCTGTGTGTCTGTGTCTGTGCGTATGTGTTTAGTAACATTGTTCGTATGGATACCAAGAACCCCGATGGTGTTTACTTGAGAGCACGCGTTTTGTACAGTCAGGGCGACAACGCTAATGCGGTCGCACATTGTCTGGAGGCTCTGCGCTGTGATCCCGACTTTACCCAGGCACGCACTCTCCTAAAAAAGGCTCGTGCGATAGAAGCTCAGAAAGAGTCGGGTAATGCTGCATTCAAGGCCAACAATCTCCAAGAGGCCTATGATGCCTATACTGCAGCCTTGGCAATGGACGAAGAAAACAGTGCCATGAACGCAAAGCTCTATTCCAACAGAGCTGCTGTTCTCCAAAAGGTAAATATAAAGAAATATATAGAAAGGATTAAGAGAATGAGATATACAGAGAAAGTCTTTTATTGCTTGTGTGTGTGTGTGTGTGCTTATTACAAAAAAAAAGAGCCAATAATCTCCAGACTTAATAATAAAACAATCTTTGTGTGTGTGTGTGTATGTGTGTTTATATATTATTGTAGCTCAAGCAATTTGAGGATGCTCTCAAGGACTGTGACAAGGCTCTCGAACTTGATCCTGACTTTATCAAGGTTTACAGTCGACGCGCCGCATGTTACATGGAGTTGGAGCAGTATGAAGAAGCTGTACGTGACTATAAGAAGTTGACGGAATCTGATGGTAGCAACCGAGGTAAGATAAGAAATAAATAAATAGATAAATAAAAGAGAGTACAAATTGGGGATAATATAAATATATAATTCATATGAAAAGCATGGACATCTTTGACTGATCATTTGAAATGGGGTTTTATTAATATTAATATTAATTTTCATGTTATCGTATGATTTCTTCTTTGTTTAGAATACATCAACTTGTTGCGCAAGGCTGAACTTGAGTACAAAAAGTCTTTACGCAAGGATTACTACAAGGTGCTTGAATTGTCAAAGTCTGCAACAGACTCAGAGATCAAGAAGGCCTACCGTAAACTTGCTCTTCAGTACCATCCTGATAAGAATGCCGGTGATGACAAGGCAGAGGCACGCTTCAAGGAGATTGGTGAGGCATACACCATTCTTAGCGATCCCCAGAAGAAGGCACGCTTCGACTCTGGAGCCGACATGGACGGTGGTATGGGCGGTATGGGCGGTGGATTTGATTCTGGAGGAGTAGATATCAACGACGTGTTTACCCAGATGTTTGGCATGGGCGGCATGGGCGGTATGGGTGGCCAGCAAGGCTTCCCGGGAGGAGGATTTCCCGGAGGAGGAGGAGGAGGAAGACGCTCAGGTTTTGGACAAGGCGGACATTCTTTCCACTTTGGATAGACAAGCACCCAAAGAAAAAAAAGAAAAAGAAAGAAAGAAAGAAAGAAAAATCATTGATAATCAATCGATCAATCAATCGATTACTATACACACACATACACACAACACTTACTCACTTACTCAAACACTTCTTTACTATTTCTACCTCTCCCCTCATTTCCAACTTCCATTTCCCACTTCTACCTCTCACATCTCTTCACCTTTCTTTACCTCTTTATATTTTTTTTACGCGCACTACATTCACAGCTTACAACCTCATTTGTATAGCGTTTTTCCAGCGTTAATCTCGGTTACAAAATATTTTATTTTTATTTTTTAATATGGTTTTCATAGCTGCCTGTAAATAAAACATTAATACAATAAACTTAAAGTATTATATATATATATTATAACTGTATGCAACATTTTATATATATGCTGATAAGCAAAATAAATAAATAAATAAATAAATAAAAATGAGGCATTTTTGAGGATATCTTGGCTTTGGCGGGATTTAGAGTAGTACAGCAGCTCCACCCCCCAATGTTCGTTTTTGGACAATCCAATGTTCGTTTTTGTTATTACCAGAGCCGCTTATTCATGCTACCATATCCAACCCTTCTTGAATCCAATAGAATAATACTGGTTTAAAATCAAGGCAAATACAAAGCGGCAACCCCAACGGAAGATTATCAAGGGTGGGTTGGACATTCAATTTCCTTTTTTGGGATCGCTGTATAGCTAATTGACGCCCTATATCTTAAATAATAACAAAATACCCTTTGAACCTTTATAATGTCTCAGAATTAAAAGAAGGCATGTATAATCCTTGTCATGGCTCTTTCGCACTTATCTCACTTTGGTCATGAAAAATAGTATAAGAGGTTAGTCAATATGTAATAACCTTATATGTCCTCCTCACCAACCCACCCATATTCTTGGTAACTTTCTTAAACAACCATCTCTCAAAAAGATCACATAACAAATAAAATCCAAAAACTAATTCAGTGACGTCTTCTTTTGTTTCACAGCAATCATAAAGCATATCAAACCTCTTGAGCACAAAGCTTCTTACAAACCAACTGAATGGGAAAATCATACAAGATCGGATGTAGTTTAGTGCCCAGTTAACCGCGAAGAAGCCAAAACATTACTGCCTATGCTCATCAAAGTCCAATATGCAGTCAATGGTACCATTTTCGGTCGCTTAAATGAATATTGTTTGATGATCAGAAAACAATATCCAATGTTACCTGTTTCAATAGGTTTCTGTATTAACAGCACGAATCAGGAGTTCAAGGATCTCACTTACGAATGTGAGAGACCATTCAGTAAGCGGGTGAATTTTCATTGATGGGCATAAAAGATTCATTATATTAGTGCAGAAACTACTTTTGCATATTTAGACCAACAACCGCTACATCCTCTAAATGCACTCGGGCGTTTTTTTAAATATAGAAACAGAAAGAAAGAGATGCAACTTTTAGACTGTAGTACGGAATTGCTGGACGTGTATTCCGAGATGAAGCAGCTAATGAAGAATGAAAGCAAGGAGCAATTGACATTGTTTGCAGCAAGTCGACATCACATTTCACCCGAGTGATATCATTTCTGCTGGAGGAAGTTCCTGAGCCTAGAGCTGAAAAGAAATGAACAGGGGGCTATCTTCAGAATGTGCTGCATTTGATAGAAGAATTACATTAGAAATACATCACTGCGATACCATCATCCAAAACCATTTCTAAGACCAATGATTGGAAATTCATCGAGAAATATAGAAAAGAACATTGGACAAAGGTGAATTGGGTTGTGTGCTATGAAGCTAGACAAGAAAGAAGAAACCTTGACCTTTCCAATAATATAAATCGCTGAAAAGTGTCCGAGCGGCATATTATTGTGCTGTAAATAAAAAAATAAATAAAAAGAAATAAGCACGCTTATCATACCGTAAAGTGTGGGCAGATAGTTGTTTTCTTTTTATGGAATGATAATGTGATAGTATCTTGAAATTAATAGAAGAGATCGAAAAAAAAAGACTCAAAGTATGATGAAACTTCTTATAGACTTAATTAGGAAAAGAGAACAAAAGAAGGTCTTTGAAAAAAGCGAGGCATCGTTTGGGACACTACCTTTGGCAGGATTTATATATGAACGAATAGACAGTAGGTTTAGATGATAAGTATAATACAACATACTCACTCAGTACTGATAGATACTATTTTTATTATAAGAACTTTTTTACAGATATGAAAGATGTATGTCTCACTATTATTTGCTACATTGTAATCTGGCCAAGGTAGTTCCACTTGTGGAAAAAATTGGTAATCCCAATGATAATTTTGAAAATCCCCATTCTTGTCACCACCTTTACCGCATAGTATAGATTCAAATTTTCTTTATAATCTTGTCTTTTATATAGATATATATATACCTTTTATCTTGTCGCGTTAAGAATACATTGATATAGTAATTAGGCTTGGTTTAAAGGAAGAGGTGTAAGATATACATATGTAATTATTATTATTTTAGAATCATATTAATAATCAAATGGCTGGAATTCATTGTATAAATGTTTGTATAAAGATTCAAACGTATGATTTCTGCATTTATTTCTGTCAGTTTTTTTTTATTGTTGTTAAATTGGTATTTGATTTTTATTGATTACAGTCATTTAGACTTTGTGTATAATGAAGTGAAATATGCATTGGTGCGCTTCGTGTACCTCTATACATATATTTTACTTTATTATTATTTTTGGAGAAGGTAGTAGAAGGTGTAATAAAATGTGTTAGAAAAAAAGATCTTACTCTTTCTAACATAGTACAACCACAATCATAATAATAATAATAATAATAATAATCATGGTCATGATCATGATCCTAGTCATAAGCATAAACATAAGCATACGCATAAGTTTTAATATTAAACTTATGAAGAAAAAGAATAACCATGCATTCTTTCTAACACACTGTTTGTGATAGTTAATGTGTCAGCTGGGTGTGTAAAGAAAACCAAGTGGGTACAGAGCTTAGTGTGGGTGACAAGTACAAGTACAAAGACAAGTACAAAGACAAGTACAAGTGACATGTACAGGTACAAGAACAGATACAGGTACAGATACAGATACAGGTACAAGTACAGGTACAAATACAGGTCCAAATACAGGTCCAAATACAGGTACAAGTACAAGTACAGAAGAATATATATGAGTAGTAAGTAGCGTACAAGAATCCGAATTTGAGGTAGCTGTAATATTCTGATTTACTTTGATAACATGAAATTTGGAGTTTTGATTTCAATTCAAATAAGTAAAATTTATTTTTTATTTAAATAAATTTATAATTATATATGTACGTAATAATTATATGCGTATTGACAAGAATAGAAGTATAGTGTAGTATAATTTAGTGGAGTGGAGTGTAGTGTAGTATAATTTGGTAATAATCGTAATAATCGTAATAATTTGATAGGAGCGGCATTGAATTCTTATTGCTATCATCTTCTTTTGACTATAGTTAACAATAAACATGTGTCGAACAGAAAACTAAAAGGACACAGAGTAAAGGTCAATTGAAACAAATTGAAACAAATAATATTCATAATTCATAATTCCTAATTCATACAGTATCTGTGTGTACTTTTGAGTGTAGAATAAATAGGTTATTATTGTTTCGATTCAAAAACCTCCACTCTTTTACTGTATTTGTTTTTTTGGGAACATATTAATCATTACATATTTATGATAAGTTGATATCTATACACATATAACATTTTGTTATCAACCTCTCTTCACTTTCCCTCCATTTCCCCCCCACTCCCACTCCAACTCCCCCCAATGTGCCACGCGTGTAAAGGGTGTAACCTTGTGCAAGATCCAAATGGAGATCTTTGACAAAAGTCCATCAACAATCGAAAATAGAGGACCCACAATATATAAATATATAAATATATAAATATATAAATATATAAATATATAATTGAATTGAATAGAATTGAATTGGACTGAATTGAATTGACACTTGGAATTATATATAAAAAGAGCCTTGTTTTTTTTTCTCTTACTTTTTTTAAATAAAGAAGAACATTCAAAAATAATACCTATATTCTTTTTAATTCATATATAAATATAACCTCTTTACATCAAAAAATAAATAAAAAAAAGAAGCTACATTTACTTTAGCTATCGAAAAAAAAATTATAAAATATATAAAAAATTTATAAAATATATTTGCCATGTTGAACCCTATTACTTTGGTTAAAGATGATGCCAAATCAAAGGGCACCTTTTGCGTGAACCAGGCTGTCTGGGTTGGCTCAGCATCATGTCAGATTTGCGGTTCCCACGTTCACCAGACAAGAGTAAGTCAATTGAACTAAGAAACAAAGAAAAAAAATTAATTCAAATGAATTGAATTAAATATAATTGACGCAGTTTTTATTTAAATTTCTTGTAGTATTGTCCCGTTTCTCCTCGTTCTTAAAATCTCCAATTCAAAAGGCCATTCCACTTTGCTTATCTCCAGATCACTCCCTTAGACAAAATACAGACGACAGACCTTTATCCATATATACGTACATTTGCCCATCAAAAATCATCATCATTATCACCATTATCAACAGCAACAACAACAACAACAACAACATCATCATCATCATCATCATCATCATCATCATAATCAACCACCTATCAAAAATCATTGATCCAAAAAAGAAATCCTAAAAAACAAAAACAAAAAAACAAAAAAAAAAACAATGAAATTGCACACACAATTCTTCTCACTTTTTCTTATCTCCCTTCTTTACATCTTATCTACTTACTCCTTTTCCTTACTTACTTCTTGATTTTATACTTCTTTACACATCATTCTGTATTTTATTTTTATATATTTCTGTTTTATCAACGCTTTGACTTTTTATCGGTGCACAGACATCCCACGCTTTTTTTCCCCACAACTAAATTACTCATTTTGGAAACACCATTGTATTGTTCATTATCTCTATTCTTCTTCTTATATTATATCATCTTTATATATATACATATATATATGTTTTAATATTTATTCTTATTATTGAATGTAGACATTTCAATTTATTCTGTTATTTTCATGTAAAATTCTTATTGTTATTCTTCTTATTTTACAGCGTTGGATGATTTTTTATTTAGCCTTTTTACATCATACATTTCTTTTACTTATGCCAAACAAGAAAGCATGCTTTCTTTGCTTTTGATTTTGATTTTATATATTATTTGTATTCTTTATATGCCCGAACGACATTATATATACATTCTTCTGAATAAAATAGACATATGCCCATAATAAGGACTCATAAATTCAAGTCCACAAACGTCGTACCACAGGTACACCATAAAGACCAGACCATAAATATATTTATTATTATTTTTTTTAATTTAATATTTTTTTTGAAGTAGCGTGGCTAACATGTTCACAAAGATATGCAGTTGGCATTCTTTATTAGACTTTCACAAAGATAGGTAGATATGGAGAAAGATAAACATAAAGGGAGATAGATAGTTTTTAGTGGGGGGGAAGACAAATGAGGGAGGGAGAATTTTTTGTTGATATAGCTCCTTATTATCTTTGTGATCTTCCGCGGTTTCCCTCTTTTGTGTATTTAACCCAAAATTTGTTCCAAAAACAACAAGACTCTCAACCTTTTGACATGTGAGTAAAGTAGTGTAACCGTTTAGTCCTTTTTATCATCCTCATCATCATTTAGTTTTTCTTTGAAAGACGCTTTCACTAGTTATTTTCGGGTTGGTTGAGTTTGTTGCTATGTATTGCAGTAAGATAATTCAATAGATAGGAGGAATACAATGCTAGTAATTTTTTTATTTGCCCACGTTTCTGGGTACCCAATTTATGTAATATAGATATATTATTATATTAAAGACGGTTAATTGCTATGATTATTATCCAACCAACTTGCAATCGTGCTTCTGTCACCATCGCATGAAATAGATAACTCGCATATTAGATAATGTCCAAAATAATAGTAAAAATAAAAATTGCAAAAATATTGAACCTTCTTTTCTTGTTTGTTGAGTCTCTTTCACATGTATTCAAGCACCTAAAAGCACACACACACACACAAAAAGTATACGCAATCTTAGACTTGTATGACACCGATAGTAAATGATTATAGATGTATATGCAGCTATATGTGTCTCTTTCCTTATTGTCCTCCTTTTCTATTTTATATAAATGTTTACATCATTAAGATTTAAATTACTCTCTAATCAAAGAAGTACATTTACAAAACCAATTCACATCATGTTTTTTTTTTTAATATTTTTTTAAAAAAATTTCTTCTCAAATGTACATTGACAATACCAACGATAGTAGTATTTTATTCTATATCTCATATTGTTCTTCATTTATCTTGTAAAGATAAAGAAGTATGTGCTACAATCCGCACGTGTAATTCAACAGCTTCAGCAAGAAAAACAAAAACAAAAAAAAACAAGACTAATAATAATTGATACAATTATAATCTGGCCAAGACAAACATTGTCCAACCCGATCCTCCGTTTGACACGTTATATGATCGCACCAAGTACTTGGCTTTCGTTCGTTCGTTCGTTCGTTCGTTCTTTTCTTCTTTGGAATCATATGAAGTTAACCTCTTTGTATCATATTTGAGACACCCAATTATTGAAATTATTTTGGTTACTAGAGTGAATAGTTTATACGCACAATTGTTATTAACTATTGATGGTGTGAGATTATGTAAGAAGCAATTGAATCACCCGACAATCTCGTATCCCAAAAATAAATATAAAAGAAAAAGAACTCATTATTTTGCCTAGAATTAGAACCCGATCAAATGTTGCCCAAGTGTTTATTTTATTATTAATATTTTGTTATTTTAAAGAAGCTTGTAGGACAAACCAGGAATTATTACCGTTTTACTGATCGATTTTTTTTTAGAAAACGAGGGCAACCAAAGAATTGATAAAATTATATATATTATATATTGTATATTGTATATATATAAAAGTAGTGTATAATTATACTAGGATATAATCCCATTGTTCATTCTGTCACTTGGAGTTAAAGGGTTTGACGATCTGATTCTTTTGGTGGTGCAGTTTTATTCCTCTTTGGTTAGGAAATACAATGACCTTTTTATGGACCAATTTTTTTTATGGTTATTTAGTTTTAAAACCTTGTAATAAAATTTTATCCTTTAAATTGTATTTGATTTTACTCTGCTCTTATTGTTTGTACATTTTTCACTTGATTTTATTACAAATTATTCATGGTGCATTTATGGGACCACTAGATGTGTAATATGTATAATTGACAGAACATAACACACCACACACTGAATTGTACTGTGCTGTACTGTACTGTATTGATTTTCTTTTAAAAAAAAAGAAAATTTACACTGTGCAATCACGAAAAATAAAATAAAGAAAGAAAGCAAAAGAGAAACCTTTATTTTGTCTAGCGTGTTTTAATGTAGTATGTTTCCAATTCTAATTTGTTTTGATGTGTCAAATTTTAATTATTAAACACAAAAGGGCTCCCAGGTCAGGACCCTACTTTCTATTTTTTCTCTCTCTCTCTTTCTTCTTCTTCTTTTTCTTCTTCTGTCTTTTTCTCTGTTTGAATGCAAGAAAATTTTCATACACTTTTCATGTGATATTTAATTATCTTGAATTTTAATTGTTTTTTTATTTTTACTTTGCTTTATTTTAGAACTGTGTGCTTGTGTGTGTGTGTGTGTGTGTGCATGTGTGAGTGTGAATGTGTGGGTGTGCGTGAGTGTGAGTGTGTGAGTGTAATTGGGGTTGTAATTGTAATTGTAACTGTAACTGTAATTGTGAATTCGTTTCAATTTTTTTGATATGATTTATTCTACATTCTTTTTAATGATTTTGTGCTCAAATGGTCTGGGGTTCCTGGAGTGTCTGAGCGAGGGCACGTACACTAGGATCATAATGATTCTACAAGCAGATATAAATTAATATTAAATTATATTGTATTCACTTATATTGCATTTATTTTTGAAGCTATGTATATATACCTATCTACCTATCTATCTCTTTATCTATCGGTGTATCTGTGTATCTGTGTATTTGTATATATAGATATTTACCTGGTAGAGGAAAAGCTCATACAAGCTTGTTCCAAACGGATTACACAATTCGGGATCTCCCAACAGAGGAAGATAAACGCCACTGGCGGCTCTATCTTCGGATTGAACTAATGCGTCAAGACGACGGTCTTTCTATAAAAGCACAATAATGCAAAAAACAAACAAACAAACAAACAAACAAACAAAACAAACAACAGTAGCAGCAAAATATTAGAACAAATTTTTTTTAAAAAAAAACACCCCCAAGATTTTATCAAATAAGGAAACAAAAAAATAGCTTTTATATATATGTATATGATTTAGTTACCTGTAACAGTCTGTGAATGATACCGAGGCATTGGAGTACAATCTTATTAGGCATGTACAATGCTGACATAGCCAGGCGTTTTGCAAAAGCTGCCATACGATTGATAGGAATCTGGATCGAATTTCCACATTATATCATATAAATATTTATCAGTAATTAATCTTCATTCGTCCATTCTTTTATCAAGTCTTTCCCTTTCCTCTTTTCTCTCTCTCTCTCTCTCTCTCTGTGCGTGTTTTTATATTTACCTGTCTCTTTTTGAGGAACATGAGCTCTAAACTCTTGATCATCAATTCACTCTCAGCATCATGCATTGTATCGGGCTTATCTTCAAGGTTGGTATGGAAACCGGCCTTGAGAAGGAAGACATACATCTCATTGTAGAACTCCTTGAGATCATAGTTGAGTGCCTCACCTACAATGCGTATAAATATAAATAAATTTAAAAGGTAATTAAATAGACTAATCTCTTTCTTTACCTTGACCAGACAACAACTGGAATGCTGTAATAATACAGAGCAGGCGCTTTCTAGACAGACTACCTGCCTTTGTATCAACATTAACTTCCATAGAATGCATAACATCCTTGATTGCATTGAGCAAATCATCAAAAAAGTCAACGTTGATCAAATGAGCAAATCTGGCAAGTCCTTCAAGAACAGCCGGAAGCAAAGGAGATGTGGTTTGTTTTTTGAGGATACGGAAGTAGAATGCAAAGATCAGCTTGAGAGTTTCTGTGTGCTATAGTTTCGCAAGTTAGTAAAGAATGTATTATGTGTATTGTGGAAAAAACTTACATTCTTATCCTTTTCTTCTTTGCTGACAACTGCCTCGGCCTCTTGGAACTCCTTCTCAATTTCACGAGTTTCCTTTCGTGCCTTTCGTGCCTTCTTTGTCAAGAAAGGCTTGTCTTCTCTCTTTCTCTTCTTGTTCTTGTCTTGCTCATCAGCCTGGTTTGCAACAGGTGCCATCTCATCCTTGAGGCGCAGGTACAAGAAAGAGTTGATAACCTTTTCATGTACTGCATAACCCTTGGACTTGATCATTCGAGTCATCATCTTGACAGCATCGAGCGAAGTACGACCAGATTCATCATTGATAAATACAGTAATGATTGCCTGGTTACACATTTCTGCAATCTATAAATAAAAATGCATAGATATAGATATTAGACAAGAGTAAAAAGAAACCAGTCATGCGTGAGCCTAAAGTTTTGTGATCTACAGCATCAAATCATCGCTATTATTATCTCGGAAATCTTGCCTCATTCCACTTCAAGGTGCTCATACGAGTCACTATGGCAACCATGATATTGAGACGGAAGTTAAAGTGTGTCTTGGTTGTCAGCAATTCACACAAACAACGGGTAGCAATCATGGCAGTCTCATAATCTTCATCAATCTTTCTCTCTAAAAAAAGTAAAATAAACCAAATTAATAATCATAGCAACACCCACACCCAAACACACAGCCGTAATAATAATAAAAATACAAAAAATCAACATTTAAATCTATCGATAGGAAACTTACTTGTAATCAAAGACTCCAAGTCCTTCAAGTACTCTTCATAGTTGTGAAGCAATTGTCGCTCGTAGTCTCTCAACTTTTTAACTTCCTTGGAAACCTGGATACCCTCTTCCTTGTCAGACAAAGGACGAATACGGTAGCTGCGACGTTTGAGTACTTTTTTTCTTCTCCCTTTTCATATTATCATTACAGCTATAAATTATCTTACCCAGGAATAATATCTTTATAGACAGCCAATTGAGTCAAAATAACAAGTTTCTTCACAGTTGTGTTTTCATCCTTGAAAGCTTCACGAAGGAATCTCAATTGCCCGGCCTGTCCAACCAAGAGAGAGAAAAATATTATTTAATATCCCATCCAATTCCAAAAATAGCAATAATAATATGATCTCGCTTAAAACTTACACTGGCCTCAGGGTCTTCCTGAATTTCGGATGCCATCTGTGCAAGCTCTTCCTTTTTCTTCATGATATACTGCTTTTTTGTGAGAGCAACTTCATTATCGCTGTCCTCTTTTTCCTCAGCTTCTTCAACGTCTTCTTCTTCGACAACTTCTTCGACAACTTCTTCCTCTTCTACATCCGAATCGTGCTTTTCCTCAACCTGTTTGATCTTTCCACCGGGCAACTTGATGGGCAATTTGGTGTGGTAGTCTTTACGTGTCCACTCATTTGCAATCTTACGGGGTTTTGTCTCGTAATCCATTTCTTCGTCAGATTCGTCGTCCAATTTCTGTGCCTTTTTCTGGGATGGCTCTCTGGTGTCGTAAAGCATCATTTCCTCTTCGTCCATCTCAAGATCGTCGAGATCGGCCAATTCGTCTGAGTCGCCAATTACCTCATCTTCCTCACTATCGTCAGCTCCACTCAAACCTTCTACATCGCTGTCAAGTCCATCTGCAGCTTCAAAGTCGTAATCGAGTTCGTCTTCGGAAGATGATAACTCGGTGGGTTCAGGTACAGGAGCACGAGTGGCTGTTTTTTTGGCGGGACTCTTTTTGGCCTTTTTGGTATTTCTGCATAATTGTTGTTTATTAAAGATGATAATAATGAGTATCGATAAATAATCTTTGACTAAAAAGATATAACTGAAATTATCCAAAAACACATACACACACACACACATTCAAATTCACACAATTGTACTACATACTTTTTTTAAAAAAAAAGAAAATATGTATATGCATATATCTGTGTTATTACCTTGTGAGTTCCTTTGGATCCATAGAGTGTAAAAAGGACTTGAAATCTTGGTTCTCAGTAAAGAACTCAACATCGTCTTCAGAGAATTCGACATCCTCATTGTTTGCGCTTTCGGGAACAGGAACGAATTGACGAGATTTCTCCTAATATTTTAATTTCATTTAATTTTATTAGTAAAAATAATTATAATTATAATAAACACAAAACATTATGATTGAGTTAGGATTCAAATGCGTGCATATGTTTTGTTTGTGTTCTGATTGTAAAGAGTGATCATCAGCAAAGTCTAACCTTTTCTTTGTCTTTTTGATCCTTTGTAAGCTCTCCAGGTTTCTTGTTGTTTTTGGGAGCCGAGTCTTTCTTTCCCTTCTGGGATCCCGTACTGGGTTTAGAGACGGGTTTCTTGCTGACTTTCTTAGGAGGCATGATCGAGATTAGGACAAAGTGTAGATTTTGAATTGAATTTTTTTTCTTCTTCTTTTCTTTCTGAGCCATTTTCTTGACCTATTTTTTGACAAAAGGACGGCTTTTGTGACGGCCCATAAATGTCGATTTTAGAAGCCAAAAAAAGAGGGAGTGTAGTTTAATTCAACACCCCCTCCCCCTTTTATTCTAGTTTTTAATTTTCAAACCAAAACCACCAAAAAAATCTGAAGATTTCGATGGAATGAGCAAAGAAGAAAATTGAAGAAAATAGCAAAAAAAAAAAGAAAGATAAAAGTTAACTCCAATATAACTATGCAAAGGCAAAATTTGTGCTTATTTTTTTTTCTTTAAGATAGGTTGGCACTAATTCCATTTTTTGTGCTTTAGGATTTTATTTTATAATACAGTTTATACATTAGTCGTGATATTTCAAAACACAAAAATCCATGCCATCATACACAAATCAAAAAGAAAAAAGAAAAGGTACAACCTGGATTCCCCACCTTTTTTTTTATAATTTTTTATTTGTAGAAAAAAAATTGAAAATGATTATTGAAATTAAAAATCCAAATGGTTTTTTTTGGTTATTCATTGGTTAGCTTTAATAGAAGTTTTTGAGAAATTGGCGTTGTGTGCCTGAGATTAAGAACTTTGTTTAGTACAATAAAGAGGTGTAAAAAAGAGAAAGAATGAGGGATAGAGACAGAGCAAAAACAAAAGAATATTACAAGCTACACATATTATTTTAGGATTATCGTATCACCATCGTTGTCATGACAACTTTGGTAACCAAGATGAGTTACATTCATACACAGCATAATATAATAAAATACAATACAATACAAAACAAGAAAAGAGCCTGTGTGTAAAAAACAATTACTTTATTCTTGCTTCAATCAATTGAATACAGTTGTTGACCTGCTTGTTCACCTTTGATATATACATATATATATTTATTACTATTGTTACTTCAATTAAACCATCGAGTGAGTCAATTCAACAAAACATTCAACTCCTTCACCCCCCAAATCTTCATATAATTTTATTGTCATTTTCTATATAAAGGAAGTTTTCCATTGTTGCACCTGCCTACACACACATGTAGAATATATGTATCACACCCAAAGATTTTTTTTTGTAAACCTTAAGATTGTTTTTGGAATAACGCACTATTCTATAAACAGTAGTCAAGTTGGCCAACAAACCTTCCTTATATAGAATACACAGCAGCCGTGAGGACCCCCCAACCCCCTCCCCCCATTTTGTGAAATGGCCAAAAAATGTTCCTCATTTGTAAAATCTGTATTACGTAAAATCTGGTCTGAAAAGGTTTGAAATTTTTATTTGAGAAATAAATTGAGAAACAAAAAAGCGCAAAAAAGTGCAGAACTAAAAATTAGAGCAAAAATACCCTTGCAATACTAAATAATAATGTAAACAATATAAGAAAAAACTATGTAATAGCCCAAAATTGTAGTAGTAACGACTGTTTACTACGATGGGAACGGAGGCAGTAAAGAAACAGCAACAGATGGAGAATATCAAAAACTATAGAAATGAAGACAAAGATTAATATTAATAATAAAATGGGACATGTTCAAACATTGAAATCTTACCTCTTGAAAGCAATAAAGAATAGATTCCACTATGACTTACCTAAAGCAAAAAGAAGCACAAAGTTAATAATAGAAAAACAAACTCAAGCTATTAAGATAAAGATATTTACCTTCGCTAAAGAACACAATGGAGCTACTCAAAATGACCGTAATCTAGAAAACAAAAGCATTAGTAAAGGCTTTATAAACCTATAAATGTACTCTGTTAAGAAAAATACCTTGTTTCAAAGTAAAAGGGCTTCTAATAACAAAGTAGATACATATTATATTTATTAGTACTTACTTGAACTAAAAATGAAAAGAAAGAAAAAAGAAATAAAAGAAATATACTAATCCTTCAGTTAAAATGTCAAGTGCGTGACGTCGGTTGGGATTTTTTTTGGGGACTTAAAGTTTTTTTTCTTGGTTTTTATTAACTTAGTATTTTTTTCTACAATACAACACATTTTACAATGAGTGGGAATAATCACGGTCTTTACAAATATTTTTGTAGGTATTGGTCTGATACGGTGCAAAGTACTAAGAAATTGATATTACAGACAGATGAGAGGGAAAAAAACCATAAAATAAGAAACTAGAAAGCTTATTCCAAGAAAAGCCTTATCACCATGAATACCTTGGCTGCTGGCCTTCGCAAGTACGAAAGTCTTTGGTCAATTCTGAATATCCTAAGCCAATACAATCTCTCATTTTTCTTTTTTTGCATTTGCTCTGTCGCAAAATATATTTTTTTCTTTTTCTCTGTCACAAAACTTCTTTTTTTTTTTTTTTTCTGTCGCAAAAGGGTTTATTCTCTTTTGCTCAGTCGCATATAAAATATTTTTGCGAAAAATCTACCCAAAATAGTCTAAGACCCTTTTTTCTTCTGCTTTTCTTATTTTTATTTATTTATTTACAAGTAATCAGCCAATTGAAATAGATATTTTCGTTTGAGTAACTGTCTGAAACTCAAAACTTCTACGTATTTTTTTATTTTTGAGCTTGAACCTTATTACAGCCAATAAGCACCCTTAACTCAAAATTTGGCCAAAAAAATTACCATAAACAGGTCAAAAGTCTTTGGGTGTGATGGAAACCAAAAACCAAAAGCCAAAATTAGTTACATAAAGTAAATTCTTCCAAACGTCAGTCTTTTATAGTCTTTTCTGACCTTATGTATCCATAGCTATATATCCAATATCCAATATCCAATATCTATATCATTCCTTTATTTATTTATTTATTTATTGTTGTTTCATTTCTGGCTTTGAATATTTGTCCAGTCAAAAGAAGAAGAAAAAACAACAACAACAAAAAATTACAGTGGTAATTTTTACTAGTATTTTTTTATAGTCCTTCCCACCCCCACCCCCCCACACACACCCCCTCTCCACTCCCCCCAAAAACCATGAACAGAAAATAACAAACTTCAAGTTCGAAAAACCTTGAGCCTGATTATTTGATTTCCTTCTTCTTCTTCCTTTCTATTACTATAACTATTTATATTGCCGCTGCTATTATTACTTCATACCGTTCTTTTATTCACTTTATATTATTCTCCTTGTCTTTTCTTAAATGCTTTCCATTCCAAAGGAATTAGCAATCCTCAACAATTCTCTTTACTGTGAGAACCAACAGCTAATCATACGTCTAGAAGCCAAACTGCTACAAGACATTCGGCTACTTGATTTATCGCCTACCGAGCTTGCCAATGTCACAGATTATGTGCGCGACAGAGGTGTGGATCCCTAATTATTTATTTTTATTTTTATAAATGTTTATTTTATATTTTAATTCCTTTTTTGGGGAATATTCATACTTACCTATTTTCTCCTTTTCTCTCTCTCTATCTATCTGTAGTAACACTGTTTAGATTTCTAAATGACAGCGACTTTATCGAAGACGTAGCTAGGGAACGTGTATTGGATACAATCCAGTGGAGAATTCAAACTGGAATCGACAAACTTACATGGAATTCACTCGCGAATGAATTTTACAACGGTAGTGGATTTGCCTTTTTCCATAAACACGACCAGCTCGGACGTCCTGTCGCAGTGATCCGTATGCGGCATTTTCCTCAATTCACTGATAAATCCAAAAACCTGTCAGCGTACATGCACCCCTTTGCCTGCTTTGTAATGGAAATGGCTCGAAAAATAACCTGGCAATCAACACAAGAAAGAGAAAACTCTCACCATGAAATGCCACTTGTATCACAAATTGTGGTGATTATTGACATTGCAAAGGCACCCTTTATTGCTGTGGTGAGTACCAACAAATCAATTGAATCAGAAGAGATTGTCATTTATTATCCTCTTTATATTACTTTTGCTCTTGCTTCTTCTTTTTTTATTAAGAATGTGTATATGTATATGTGTTTCGGTTTATTTCTTTCTTAGGATTCTCAATTGATTACTACACTCAAAGATGTCACCAATACAAGATTCCCTGGATTTATTGGATCTGTTTATGTGATGAACTTTGGGTGGATGTATCAAGGTGTATGGCAAATGGTGAAATTGCTGCTGACCGAACAAGCAAAAAGTAAAGTCAATTTTCCGTCATCAAAAGAAGTCCAGCAAGTCATCAGCAAGGAAAATCTTTTAAAAGGTAAAAATAATGAATATATAAATAAATAATATTCGCACGCTGCGCTACACTACACTACGTACGCACACAATACGCCGAGTTTCACAAACTAATCCATTCAATTCAATTTAAACATTTATCGATTTGTAGAACTAGGTGGTGATGACGATTTTCAATGGAGCATCGAGACAGACAATGCTCTACAGTCCCATGGCTGCGGTCAGCCGGTGATACCTTCTCCCATTATGTCCCCTATTATGTCTCCCATTATGTCTCCGCTACCTTCACCGCAACTGCAACCTCAAGAACGATCCCGTAGTCCCTCCATATCATCCACAATATCTGACGACACCTTCTTTGACGCAAAAGAATACGTCTCCAACACACCATCAAACTATCAGACACCATATTCAGCAGAGCTCAGATCATTGAGCTCGAGTGTGTATGCTACCCCTGGAACACTCACACCTCTCCCAATGCCTACGTTGTGCGACATGCCGTGGTCAGTACCAAACAGACAAGTAGTACCACACCAACACGTACAACCAACCTATCACTGGAATGGTCTGCATATGGGCGAGGCATTCCTGACATCCTTTCTCAGCAAGGGGCGCATAAAAAGCAACGGAATATCTGCACTTGCACTTGCTAACCGACTGGCAATGGTCGAAAAAGAACAGCAGCAACAGATGCGACAATTAGGACTCGAAGACGATTTTGTCAACGACCAGGACATCCTGCTCGATTTCCAAGTAGTCTTACCCCACTTTCCTCATCTCTTGCCACCAAACAACCCGCAGTCTAGCTACGCAAGTTCGCCTGTCAGAATGCGTCTTTTGCGATCGGAACAACGTGCGCTACGTTTGGCTCGCCAGTTGTTCAGACTAACCTTCCGTTACAATGGTGCGCTCTATTGGGTTCTTTTGTATATTTTCTTGCGTGGACCTGTAGAACAAAGTGTTCGAAAGGCTCTGGCTCGCATTCTCGCTCAGTCTCCTCAGAACATCGCTTATACAACAGTCGGGATCACAGCTACTGTGGCAGCTGCCATGGGTGCTTCCTTGTCTGCCACATTGAACCAGCGAGATAGCTATTGATTTCTTCTTCATTTATTTTACATCTGAAAAAAAAAGAACTCCTTGCTTTTTAGATTCTACCCTTAGTTCTTTCCTCTTCCATCGCCCCTTTTACCATCTTCCCCTCCCACCTCTCCACTCTGTATACTTCTTTTCTTCTTCTTTTCTTAAATTTATCTACCCCCCTCTCATCCTTCCTCTCCATGTGTTAATAATACCATCACCTCTTCATGCACTTTCACACACAATTATACAATTATACAATCACTATTCTAAAAACAAAACTTGATATCATAATAAAAATACTCTCTCAAGTATATATATATATATATATACATATAATATTATAAAATGGTTTTTTTTTCTTATTTTTTTTAAAGGCTCAAGTTCATAAACTTTCTCTTTTGGAAGCACATCCACCACTTGCTTGGTTTTCCATCCACATAAATCTGTTCTACCAATCGAATGGCAAGTTCCTGACGAAGTTTCTGAATATATTGTTTCATTTGGTCTAAAAATAACAAATAAACTCATAAGCTAATTCGACTCTTTCTTATAATTGATGATCTCTATCCACTTAATTTCCTTTCTATATATATATATAGCTACTGCTAAACAAAATAATGGTAACAATGATTTCTCTACTCACCAGCCTGGTATCTATCAGCTGGAGGGGCATACATGGCGTTCAAGGGGAATCCTGGATCACCGGGAATAGAGAAGCTCGAGACAGCTAATGTGCTGAGCTGTTTCAACGCGTCGCCTTGAGGTGTGAGCTTGTTGAGTTTTCCGAGACACTCGGAAATAAACAGAATCAGATAAATCAAAACACGGTCTGCATTTCCCTTGATTTCAAAGTTACGGAAAAGGCAGTTTGCGCGGAAGAGTTGAATGGCTTCATCGATAATATCTTCACCCAGAATATCAGCTATTGAAAAAAAGAAAGCATGTTTTATATGTGGTTATAATAAATTCATTTTTTTGTTTGGTTTCTCTTCTCTTATTATTACTAATATTCTTATTCATACCAGCACCTGCATTATTTCTAGAGTTTGTTTTGATGGGCAACACAAACATATTGCCAATCGATTGGTAGTCACCATCGTTGAATTTTGAGTGATAGGCCTAAGAATAAAACAAAGAAACAAGGAAGATGAGCAAGACTTGGAAAAAGTACCAATAATACAATAATACAATAATGAATAATGAATAATGAATAAAATTCAGCTGTGTTTTATTTGTGAGTGTAGGCGTGTAGGCGTATAGACATGTGTATGTATGTATTTGTGTGTGCGTGTTTGCCCATTCATATTTTTATTTCATCATTTCTTTCTGCTTAGCATGTAGACTCTGATGATAGTGCAGCCAGTTGACTCGTTATAGTGTTGTACAACTCTTTAGTCGTAATGATATGCGCGAAGAATTGAATAATCAAAGTGACCAAGGTAAAAAAAAAGTAATGGTAGTAGAAGAAGAAAAAGAATGAGTGCTTACCGGCATAACTAATGTAGATAAGGAAATGAATAAAAAATAAATAAATAAGCCGTAAAGAGAAATAAGTACGTGTTAATGAGGCCTTTCAAGGCTAATTACAGCATATTAAGGACCGGATGAACGTACTAATTGAGATAAAGGAGGTAGCTTTTTTTTTATTAATTAAAATAAAAAAAATGAAGCTTGTTCTTGGCTCCCGAGCGTCTTGTTTTAATTGATTCTCAGATATTCAAAGACCACTCCATGCACAGCTGCCTCGAGTGTGTGAATGAATGACGTGGTTCGCCGTTATTTTTTAGCCATCCGATCATCTTCTTCCGTTGTTAGCAAGTGTGTACAAGACGAATACTGGATACAATACTGTCTGTTCATCTATCTGTTGAATAAATATTAAGAGATGACGACTAGAAGTATATTTACTGATCATATAAATTTATTCGCAAAGTACCTGCCGTATATATTCATACAATTGTCCTCGTTTTTTTATTTTTTTTACTAATGCTAATTTTAGTAGTATTAATGCGATTGGCTAACTGTCTAACCCTGACCAGCCTCCCGCACACATACACAAGTTCTATTTGTAGATTTTTATATAAGTTACATAGTTAGAGGCAATAGGTAGTAGTGAGACCTATTGAGGGGATGCTTTAGTCCTTGCTTCCTCTTCTTGCAGCCAAAAAAATAAATCAATTTTACTAAAAGTAAGTCGGGTATTTAATATATAATTTATTTAAAGGTTGAATTTAACTGAAACCATTTACACTATGAGGGGAGGATCAATTAAAAAATAAATAAAAAAAGTTCAACCGAAGATTAGAGTGGATTCGAACCAATAATATCAATTTCAAATTGTCCCTTTCACTTTGAAAAGTCCAACTTTTCTCTCTCTAAAGAATATTTATAATTTTAAATTATGGTAAATGAACATAGTTGACTCCATATGTTATGATAGAACAACATACAGACTTGTCCTTCTTAATACTTCATGTATCTCATTATTATTATAATTATAAAAAAGTATAAAAAAGACTATAGCATTTTGTAGCCAGAAAATTAGTCGTGATCTTCCTTTGATGATAACTGGTACAAAAAGTGGTCTTTCACCATATTATATGCTTTTTCTAAAGGAGCTTTTATTCATTACAAGCTGTTCTACATGTCCCATATCGCTCTATAGCATCTACTGGCTGAAAGTATATCGTTGTATCATAAAAGTAACGACAACAACAAAATATCTTAATAAATATTAAGAAAAACAAATGCTTTTTTTATATACCTATTCAAAACTCTATTTACCTAATAATCGCTATATTTAAATAACACGCTATTATCATTACTCCATAAGCTTCTTTTTCTCCTCTCTCTCTCAAAGGAAATAATTAATAATGACATTTTGACCGATCGGCTTCGTTGAACTTATTTTTTTTTGAACTTCGTTTTCAAAGTTTGAATTGTTTTAAATAGAAAAAAATGTTCAAACACTTGTCCAATAAGATTTCTTAATGACTAAAGTTCGTTCAAACGGTATATGTGTTTTTTTTTCCGAAAAATAATAATAATAAGAACTGACCCCCCCTTATTATAAGAAAAAGAAAAGAAAAAGGCAGATTGGTTACTGATTTTATTGCTGGCAAAAAAATCAAGTTTCATAATTTGTTACGTCATACAATAATCGCTTATTGGACAGTTCCTGATTTAATTTTTTTTTGAACTATAAATTTCTTTAGATCTTTGTTGGAATCGGTTGTCATCGTGATGCCTCAACTTCTCAACCTCAACAATGAGCTCCTTACAGCCATCGCTGGTCATTTGTCTATCGATGACTTGAAAACCTTTTCGATCGTCTGTCACAAATTTGCAATGATTGCCCACGATGATTCAGTCTGGAGAGAGATGCTCTACAATAACTTTGGTATAACCTACAAGCTGCCTGAAGAGACATGGAAGTCAATGTATGCCCGTAAACATGAGGATCCGACAAATAATCGTATGTGCCCACATGTGTGTCGATTGACTCGCCCTGCCCTGGAGCCATACGTTCGCAAGTATCAACAGGTACTGAATTGGTTACCCAAGAATCTCAACTGCACAACATGTGGACAGAATCAGCATCATGCTGGTGTTTGCATGTACATGTGGCAAGGCAACACTAGACTTCGTAAGTAAAAAAAACTTTTATAAGCACTTGTTGTATTGTGGGTATTTCTTATATATATCTATATACTAAATTACCTTTCCTATTATTATTATTATTATTATTTTAAAAAAAATTATAGGTTGCAGAGATTGTGCTTACAAATTCCACACTACTTTCAACGATCGTCGTGGTATTCTTTTCCGCTTACCGAGACTTCAATTATTTTGCTTTGCATGCTCTCGACAGGTATACATCACACTATCCTGATAATATCTATTTATTTTATTGTATATTTATTAATAATTATTTATATGTGTATCTGTGAATTATTTATTACAGTTGGGTGAGACTCGAGGTGATTCAAGTGAAGCACATTTTGTGCATGGTATCCTCAAGACATTAACACACGACAGCGAGATCGGCCAGGAATCCTTAAGACAAAAAGAACAGTGCCTGCGCGAACGTGAATTGTATGCTACGGATGCTGATCGAGCCTCTGTTCTTGAATCCGACCCTCACTATTACTTTGTCGATCGAATGTGGCTGACGACCTGGTTCTTGCGCACATGCGATGGTGATATTGGAAAGGGCCCTATTCCAAATCACACCCTGGCTGGACCAGACGATAAATTAAATCCAGATGCAAGACCTCGAGGAAACTTTGCAGGTGGTATCAGTATAGTAACACCATACCTATGGAAATATTTGGTGGACACCTATGGTTTGTCTGGAAATGTTTACACATCAGGTAATAATTATGGAACAATCAAAGTGAAGTGAAGCAAAGTGATTATATTATATATATATGTGTGAGTGTGTAAGCAACAACAACTCAATAATGCCCTTTTATTTATAGATGATATCAAAGGTCCCGAATATTGCGAGTTACGCCAGTCAATTGCAGACTGGAGACTGAATTAGATTTTCCCTCTTTAGAAGAAAGAAGAAGTGTACATTCATCATAGAAAGATTAATAGTCGCCTGCTTTTACCTTTGGTTGAGTGTACAATTAATACCCTGCATAGTACTGAATACGCACCACCCAAACATAAGCATACGGATAATAATAACAATAAAAACAAATCATATTACTATATATACAGACTACAACTGAAGGAGAGTACATCAACAAAAGAGAGAGACAGACAATACTTTGAAAGTTTATCCCAAAGTGCTACAATATTCTGATTTGTTTCTGAATATTTTAAATTGGTATCTTCCAATCACGTTCGGATAGGTAAATGTATGTATTACAAATGAGTTTCTTTTCTGCATAATCGATGTTTGTACTGAAGTACAAGCAAGAAAAAAAACTGTTTAGACTGAAGCTGTTGTAGAAAAAGGGATACTATTTTTTTCGGTTTGAGCCTAGGCGATCTATCCGTAGGATAAGGCGTGGAGTTGAAAGAAGTTATATTTTGTTTTTAGGCTAATGAGAATTAATTTTTAGACAAAAGAGAGGGTTTTGGATGGTTTGAATTTGAACAATTTCATGAATTGTGGAAAATAAAAGAAAACCCCGATACCGATTTGGTCGGTGAAGTCCCAAACACTTGGTAATCCAGCTTGCTAAGCGTAAACGGAATTGATTAATTCATTGTAGACTTTAAGGCTAAGCATATTTTGAGAGACATGTATATTTTGAAGTTTTATTTAATCTGCTTTAATGAGTTGGCTGTAATTCACTTTCTACATATCTTTTAGTGCGAGTAAGTGAATGAGGGAGTAATTGAGTAAAGGTGTATGTACTTGAATTTTCTCCGAATAATTAAGGTCTTTTGAAACAAATAATATGTTGTCTAAATTATCTTTTTCTTGGTCTGTGTGGTATCTGTTTGCCTGTCTTTCTTTTTATTTTTAGGGAGAGAATACAATGATCTTTAAAAGAACGCAGCCAGCTTAGAAATTCCTTAGGATTTACACTTCCTGCGTGTGTGCGTGTATGTGTGTAAAAACCGAGAGCTGTCAAAGAAACTCTATATATTTTTTTATTAGCCCTAGAATAAAGTCGGGTACTTGAATATCGATTTAAAGTTGCAGAAGTTTGAAGCATCTTCTCAAAAGAGCGCCTTGTCACATCATTTACTCCTAAACCCACCGAGAGTTTGATATTCTTAGCGAGGAATGGATAGTGGTCAGAGTATCAACAAGTCACTGTTTGATCTCTTTCGCCTACGTCACCCGGCGCTTTTGACTGGGCTTGGGTATAAATGGAGATCTTCTTTGTCCGCCTCTTAGATGATTACTAACCATGAGTGAAAAGACATTTGAAAAAGGCGTTTCTGCTCCCACCACCAAGCTTGACGGGAAAAATCTCCGAATTGCTATTGTCCACACTCGCTGGAACCACACTCTCGTTCAGAATTTGTACAAATGTGTTCATGACACCTTAATCAACAAGTACAATGTTCGTCCTGAGAACGTGTTCACCGTAAGAATCATCACTACCAAAATAAATAACGTCAAACTGATTAAAAATATGATATACAGGACACTGTTTCCGGTGCATACGAGCTTCCTATGGCCGCCAAGCAACTTATTGACCTTTCAAAGGCCCAGGCTTCCGAGACTGCCAGTGACTTGCTCGGCTCTCCTTCCCCTCAACAGCCCAAGCCCGGAAAGAAGACTGGTCCTTTTGATGCTGTTATTTGCATTGGTCTGGTTATCAAGGGCTCAACAGCTCATTTTGAGTACATTTGCGACGCTGTAACCCACGGTATTATGCGTGTACAACTCGACACTGGCGTACCTGTCATGTTTGGTGTCTTGACCTGCTACAACGACGAGCAGGCTATTGCCAGATCAAGCACCGAGGAAGGTTTCCACCATGCAGAGGAGTGGGCTGCTGCCGCTGTCGAATCGGCTCTCAGATCCACCCGTAGACTGTGAACTTGATTATCTCTTGCTTTAATACACATACATATCTATATAAGCTTTAAGTCAAACAAAACCAAAGAAAGATAGACAAAGTGTCTGCGTAGACCATTCCAAAAAGTCGTCAAAAAAGAATGATGATGCTGCGGCGCTTTAAACAGCGAAGGATAAATCAAGCCTTTCCTTCTCCTTTCTACTATTTTTCCCTCTTTACTTTTACCTTTCCCCCCCCTCTTGTGTGCGTACGTGCGTGTGTGTGTTTAAGTGATCAAAATGTCAGAAGATCGCCTGGAGCTTATTCGCTCCAACATGATGGGCAGTAGTGGAGTAGAGGAGAAAGTTGAAGGTACTAATTACTTCAATCTCGATCACACTATACATTATTCCTGATTCACACATGGCAATTTAGTGAACCAACGACATCTCATCGATAAGATTCTCGCAAGATATTCTGCAGAGTATGTTCTATACAGAGAGCTTATGCAAAATTCAGGTCTGTGCATACTGCACCCAAGTCTTCTTTTAGGCCTCTTGACTAACCTTCTGTAACTTTAGATGATGCCTCGTCTTCTTCTGTCCAAATTATGTTCCACTCTGCTGATTCAGCAATAGACTCCAAAGTCCCTAATTTAGCGGCCAAGTGCAATAGAATAACTTTCAAGAATAATGGAATGCCATTTAGAACTGAAGACTGGAATAGATTGAAGCGTATCGCAGAAGGAAATCCCGGTAAGACATATACATATATTCAGTGGAGTTTAAACTCATTCGTTTTACAGACGAGCAAAAGATTGGTGCATTTGGCGTGGGTTTCTATTCCTTGTTCTCTGTCTGTGAGAGTCCATTGTAAGTTGAATAAAATTCATCACGTAATATGGTCCATACTAAGCTCTTTTTCGCTATTCTCATTATCATTATTATTATCATTATCCCGTTAGCGTTTTCTCTGGATCACAATGCATGGCATTCTATTTTAAAGGAGATCAGTTATTTGCCAAACGTGCAGACGTACCTGATACACAAGTCAATGAATGGACATCGTTTTTGATGGACTTGCGTGAACCCATGGAGATGCCTGATTTAGATGATTTTGCGAAATTTCTGACAACAAGCATGGTTAGCCAAGAAAGAAAATAAGATATTTAATACGCAATCTCATTGTTTTGTTGGGGGTTCCTTTTCATTTTTTTAGGGATTTACGGCCAATCTTCGTCAAATAACGGTCTATTTTGACCAACACAAGATCTTTGAAATTACCAAAAAGACTGCCGAGCCTAGAGCCATGGTTGTAGATCCACAAAGACTTCACACCGTTACTCCAAAGAGAATGTTCAGCATTACGGGTGTGGATATGCGTAAACTTCAACTTGATGCAGAAAAATACACTCCGCCAACAATGTTCACACCTTTCGCAAACCTCATATCACTATCTAATAGTAAAGCAAGAGACTCTAGTCAAAACTCGGGATTACCAGTGGAGAAATCTAGTATTTTTTTGAGTGTTATTACTGCGGCTCTTTCTGTAAATGTTCCACGAGACTTTGAAAAGGAAATGGAGAGAGCGACAAAAAAGAAGCCTCCAAAAACCACAAAATTTCAACTTGTTTATACTGGAAAAGATGAGCTCGATGCTTCCGAGAATAATAATAAGATCTTTAAGGATCTCATGCCATTTCCACATCAGGGACGTGTATTTATCGGCTTTCCGACCCATCAGACCACTGGTTGCTGTTCCCACATGGCAGCTAGATTTATACCCACAGTTGAGCGTGAAAGCATTGATTTTGCTGATCGGTATATTAGTGTGTGGAACAGAGAGCTTCTGGCTGCCGGAGGCTTGCTTTCGAGGCTTGTGTATGATGACGAAATGGATCAAATTGCTCGACTATACAAAGAGCTTGTCGGCTGTACAGATATTGTAGACAAGTCCAAACATGATGATGGCATAGACAGTGCCAAGCATATGCTTGAGAGCCGTGCCTCTCATGCTCTACGCGCCTTTACTTTCCACCATTCAACACCGAGTCCAATTGTAGGAAAGGAGCATGAGAACAGATTTTTCAATTCTAGCAAGGTGTCCCTTCAACTTATGACTTCTCACGGGATTCAGAGTATCACAGCAGCCAGAACACTCCCAGAAGATAGTTTTATCAGTCGAAGCGTTACAGAACTTTTGGATGCTTTTGTAAAGACAGTCCCAACTCTCACTTCTTCTTTTACAAGAGATTGCAAAGAAGGTCTGACAAAGTTGACAGGATTTGGGCTTCTTCAGCCTCTTGGGATGGGTGATATTCTGAAAGAGCTTAATACGCGTGCACTCAATGAAGACGAAATGGTTGCTTGCATGAAGTGGTGGGTAGAGTGCAACAAAAAGAATCCCTCTATTCCGTCCGCCTTTATAGAAAGTCTTGATATTACTGTAAAGAACCGTTTCCTTGATGCTGCTATATTGAATTGCAACGGTGAAAGACTCTTAACCTTGTCTGCAGCAAAATGGTGGGTGAATCCAAAGATTATCCCACTTGATGTCAAACACCCTGACACCACACTGCCTTTCAACATAACCAAAAACTTTGTTGGACCTGATTTGGGCTCTTATTTTGGGTAAGTTATATGTATTGATTGTTTTGTGGGAGATTTTATATATCCTAGATTCTTATTCGCTAAAATTACTTGTAGTGACTTAAAAGAGCTACCTGTTCTGGAGTGGGTACGGTTTATAGCCAGCAAAAAGGAACTGGAGGAGTCTCCTGTATTTGCTGAACAAGTTTTGGCTATTTCTTCCCGCGGATACCAACACTCTTCGGTGAGCGCCCAATCCGGAATATCTTCAATTCTCCAGAGTAAGACGTGTATTCCGACAAAATACGGAATGAAACTCCCGACAGAAGCCTATTTTACAAGTGTGAATCTATTTGATGACCTCCCAATTGTCAACTTTAAAGCACCCAGAACCATTACTGATCAATTTTTGACTTCACTGGGTGTTAGAAAGGTAAATATGTATACTAATATTCTTTAGATTACACTTTATATATAGTATATGAGAAAAGAATACAAAACAAAAAAACTGACAATGTGACAAATACTATTTTGTAGCATGTCGAACTTCAAATGGTTTTTGACAGACTTGTATCAGAAGGAAGTTGGTCTCACGTCGAACTTGTAAAATATCTGACGTCTGTTCAGACAACATTATCTTCTGTCGAATTAGCCAGGCTGAAGGCTTCTCAAATATTTACAAAAGAAGGAGAAGAACCAAGAATTAAAGAGTTTATGAAAAACACTGGGCGCCTAGGCGAGAACGGGAAACCAATTTCCGAGAAACATAAGAAGAGTATTCATCGTCGGTATAAAGCAAGTGATCTATATGCTCCAACCGAAGCTTTACGAACTCTTAACCTACCCCTAATTCAATGGGATAACCGCTGGCGTCAATCAAGTGAGGAAGTAAAGTTCCTCGAGAAGCTCGGATTACAAACAAAGCCTGTTCTTTCGGACCTCTTACAACTTGCGTCACCTGCAACAAATAACCAGTACCTACAGAATAAAGCATTGAGCTATTTTGTTGACAATTACACTCAATACAGCAATGACTACAATCCATCCACCATTGATATCGATTTTATTCCTTGTTTAGACGGAAAAACATACACGTCTCCGAAGAACTGTTTCACCAACCCAGAGGTACAAATACTTGGTTTTTATGCTCTTCACCCCGATCTTGCCTCTGTGAGAGAAAAACTCGGAGTTTTGGAAAACCCTAATGCCGATCGTCTTGTAAGCGCGTTTTTGCAAAATGTCGGCCAGGAATACAGTGAAGTCAAGCGTATTTTTGAATATATGGCCGGTAGAATGGGAGAATTTAGCTACACTCATTGGCAAAAGCTGCGGCAAGCAAAATTTGTTCCTGTTCTTGACAAGAGGAATGAAAATGATTCAACAAGCAAACCTATAATGTTGGTTGTAGAACCAACGCAATGTTACTTTGAGTCTGAGGAATCAAATTTTCACAAGGAGCTTTTTCTTTACGTCAATTTTGGACAACTCGCAAATTCGTTTTTAAGATCATGCGGAGTGAAAGACGAACCAACAACGATAGAGCTGGCAGCTATGTTGGTTAAAGATCCTCAACGTTTTTGGAATCTCAGTGGTGGCGGTGAAAGATACCTGACTGTATTGAGACAGATTGCAGGACAATACTACCAAATAAAATCTCAGCGAACTCTACTTGCTGAAATGAAATCTACTGCATTTCTTGTTGGCTTAAAACGGAGTAACATGAGTGACAAGTTATTGGGCGATGAAGAAAAAGAAGATAGGGATGATTTTGATGCTGAGAAGGAAGACTTTGTTCAATATCGTCTTGCCAAGGCTTCCGATATATTTATCAGCGATGATACTATGGGGCAACAGATATTCTCACCGCTATCTGCACCAATGGAGCCACTTTTGGAGGAATTTTATGCAAATCTAGGAAGCAGTCATTTATCAAAGTAAGTACAGCCCTACACATTATAGTTTAACGCCTTTTAATTTTAGTAATATGCCATTTCGATAGAAACATCAAAGAGTCGTACACATTTCGGGATGCTATTGGAGCAACCGCCCGATCAAAGGCAATTGCAGAGGCAATTTTAGAACGTACACCTATTATTATTTATCAGATGATGAATGATAATCCTCAACGTCAAAAAGAGCTTTTACACGACGAGATTTATGTCAAGCGTAATTTAAAGGCAAGTAGCTATAACACTTTAAAGAGAATATGTCCTAATTTCTAGGCTTAGGTCATACAAGCTAAAGAGCTCAAGATGCTCAGACTATTTAAGCACACGGGAGAAAAGCATGTTCAAACTACAACAGCGTGTGCAGACAGAAGCAGTTTCACTGTATACATTGCTGGCACCGGGGAGATCGACTTTTATGACGTTTCCAACGCTCTTTGTACTTTACTTTTTGCGCGCGTCCGATTCAACGATGCCATTATTGTTGAGAGATATCTTACAGCAAGCCTGAACAATTTGCGGCGAAAGGGTGTTCCAGTGGACCGTATCCTAAACATTCGCAAGAATATGGAAAAAGTGAAAGCCCCAGAACTCACTAAAAGTCAAATGAGTCCACAGGAACGTATATCACCTCAAGAAATGGATGAATATACAAAGAAGGTTATGGACGTTTTTGGGGATTGTCAAGAAGGATATATTCGACAGTTACTTTCCCAGCAGCGAGAGAACCATGTCGAAAATGTCATCAATCAGTTGCTGCAAGATGATTATCCTCGAAAACAACTCACGAAAGAAAAAATTAAACCAGACGAGTCAAATGTGGCGCCACCCACTATTCAACAGCCCAAACCATCTGAAAGCAAAAGAGCTACAAAATTATTAGATAGAATCTGGTCACCATGGAGTAAGCCATCCCCACCACAGCCTCCTCTGGAAACAAAACCAGTGGAAACCATTCAACCGCCAGAACCTCCAAAGAAACCAAAGCTGCCTAAATCAGAAACGACAATTACACCAAATTATACCGAAAACATTAAGCAAAACTTGAAAAAGGCCATCCACTCATGTAAACCATACTCTGACCAGACATTATTTTCACCCCCTCGTATCGACAAAGTTGTTGAATCAACCGACTACTGCGATTCCACTTCCGGGAAAAATTTGACATATGTTGGAAACATTGCTGGGATGGACTTTTATGTGAACCGTGGCATAAATCCAGAAGACGTTTTAGAACAGTACGGCCATGCAATGTCTCGCTTTACAAGTATCTCTGGAGTTCTTTCCAAAGTCTTTAATCTCAAAAAATCAAGCCTGCATATATTTTACGACACAGAAGGCACAACTATTGCTTTCAACACGAATGCTAGTTTGTTTTTGAATTTGCGGTTCTATCTCGCCTTACATGAACCAGAGTCAACGGAAGATATAAAGCTGGTTAAAAGCAAACGTAAAGAAGCATTGATCTATTGGTTTATGACAATTTGCCACGAGTTGGCTCACAATTTTGTTAGTGAACACAATTCAAAGCATGAATTCTATATGTCTTCATTTGCAGAAGTCTACTTGGAGGCATTCATTGCCTCTTTGGCTAGTTCTAATACACCACTCATCGGAGAACAAGACGCTACGGTGAACAGTTCTTCTGAAAATTGATTTTAAAGCTTTTCTAATAGTCTCTATTTTTTTCTCTGTGTGTGTACGTATGTTTAATAAATGTAAACTTGCATGCTATCCGTTTTAATGGATATTCATTGATCTCAATCATCGCCAAGTGAGAACATTATGCTGAGAAAATAAAATGTGTTAAATAATAATTAAGATACTTTTTCTTCAAAAATAACTGATACATATGTAACATCCGTTTTTTTGTGAGTAGATAAAAGTTAGTCTACTATGTGTTGCACACATTACAATTAAGTAAATATAACAATACAAATCTCACGATCTAGAGAAAATCACATACTACACACTGCAAAAATTATACAATTTCACTCTCAGAAACATCAGTCACCATAGGAGATTTTTGATATCAAATTTGGAGATATTTTACTCACATATATTTTGATTGGTCTATATAACCCAGATTAATCGGGATATCGAATTTGACCCATTTTATAAGACTTGTCAACTACATAAGGTAATTTTAAAAAGGCAAGTATCCATAAATGGACTCTCTCAATATTTTGGCAAAACTGAAAAATGACTAGGTGAAAATCACAATTTTTTTTATTGAATAATTTTTTTTATTAATAAAGATAAAAAAAAAATCAATATTGTCGATTCGAAAACAAGGAAACAAAGAACCAGTAGGAGCCAAATTTACTGAGATTCATGACAAGCTTGTGGTTAAATTCTGTGTGCATATCAAGCTTACATACAATCTTCAGCTGATTGAGTGGAGTAGATGCATCATTGGAAACCCTTTGCGCGAGGAGGTAGTTGTTAACTTGAGCATGGGGACTACTCTCAACTCGATAGTATTCTACTCTCAAAGAGGAGACCTTTCCAATAAATGAACGGACATGTTGGTCTCTACTCTCCTTGAGCATGAACACTGCAAAGGTATTGTCACAGAGTGCTTTTGCTATAATGTCATCAGTGTCGTTATTATCAGCAAAGTCTCTTGATCTACCAAACAGGATATTCTTAACATTGTCGTTAAAGTTTTCTTTAAGAAATTCTGCCGTGGAATTACCATACTTCTCTCTCATTTTGTCTTTGCTCACCCATGAACCACCATCAATGATATGTTTCATTGCAGATTGCTTGGCGAACTTGAGACATATATCTCTTGAGGTGTTTAACCTATTGATATGCATTAGGTGTTCACGGATGTGTTTGTTAAACTGCTCATCTTTTTTGGTCTCATAGTGTAGAGCAGTTCCAAATCTTTATAGATTGTCAGGCAGATGTGTGAGCAGGGGAACCTTGGGCTTCGAGGAATACGGATTATGTCCTTCGATTTCACAGGTAATGTCATAATGATGCAGTTATTTGATAAGGCTTGTAACTGCCTTTTCAACTTCGTCGATATACATATTATAATCATACCTTACTGCTCTAACAAACACCAAGGAGCAAAGACAGCCAAGACGGACAAAAGATGGAGTTATGAGAGAGAGTATACTATCATTTGCAAATTCTGTAACTAAGATAGCGGGTAGAATTTGCAGAAGAACTTTGTAATACCTCCCAAGGAATGAGCCATAGTGTCGTAACTCTCGAGTGAACTTTCTTGACATTCCTTGAGAGTTTTCATAATCCTTGAGGGCTTTGGACAATCTAGCCATTTGGTTAGGATTTTTCTTTAGTACAACCTTTACCAAATCATTGACTAGATACTTAGCAACTCCAAGAAGTATGTTATGCAGAGCTTCAACTGGAGTATCTATTGATGGATCGAATGACTGTAGTTCCAACAATGCATCTGTTGCCCTAATTGCGAAGCATAGATCACTTGCTGTCAGAGCATTTCCAGTCGAAGAAACATCTGGAATAGTCGATCCACGTCCCGAGGTAGACGCAGCAGTAAGATAGTGTGCCTTTGTTCTTGCTGTGTGTCTACCAGTATAATACGAAGAGCTTTTGAGATTGGGCATGGATCTTTGTAAACGGACATAACATTTGCAGCATGGGTACATACTTGTTGGCGCGCGCAAACCACATAGTTCAGAATGGCATGAAGTATCTGCCTCAATCCAAAGGAGTGGTGATGCTACTAAGACGTTTTTGTTGTCTTTGGCAGAGAACATCACCAGTCTGTTTTTGAGCCTTTTGAAATCTTCGACGATTTTAGGAAACAAGGACATCCCACTTGCCCCCTTTTTCGTGGGAATAGCAGAGAGAAAGTGGATGTTTTCAATTGAAGACTTCTCTTCGTAGGAGAGAGCAGCAAACTTCATTGACCAGCTTTCGTACGGGTTATATTGCTTTGATCAGTTTCTGGAGGTGTCATTGGTGAAGAGTATAATGGGCAATATCCTCATCTTGTAAAACAACTTTGGATCGATCAGCTTTCCAGTTTCATCCAGTTCGTGCCGTTTTAAGAAATGAGGCTCTTCCAGCAAGGACTTGTGCCTGGGAATCAAATGAAAGACTTTCCCAGGTGAGATGCTGTAGCATAGGGCAACATCAACAGGGGTCGAGCCAACACCGAGAAGATTTTCAAGCTTTATGCTAGTAGATTCAACTTCGACGCCAATTAACTGACCGCCTTCCAGAATATAAACTATGTAGCCTTGAACAAAAACGGCTGAGTTATCCATGGTATGGAACGATTCTACTAGGAAACGGGCTGGAGTAGAACCATTCATAAAGTTAACAATATCACCAGACCAAAAATCTATGCGGTTGTGGGTGAACATAGGTTGTTGATAGTATCAATGTTTTCTTCACTTTTCGCCTTGTTGTAGACAAATGGACTGGTTAGGAGTGCGATCAGAGAGGGAAAACATGTTTCTTGCTTTCTTGAGGTTGACAGCAAGAAACTGGACGTGGACTGAAGGCAAGTTGATATAAGCAGACGTGGTCTTGTTTTCCGGCAACTGGATATTGACTTCTATGGACAGAAATACAGGAATCTTGAACTTTTTCTTGGTCTGATAGTTCAAGAGGGCATCCAAACGAGGTAACTTGAATGGGACTTCTTTTGGATAGCTTCCTCGTGAAGCTTAAGGACAAGACTTATGGCAAACAGGATCTTTTTCAAGATCCTGCGAGATACCATGTCATTATTGCCATCAACAAAAGCAAGCAGTACCATAGACTGGAGATCTGGGAACAGGTGGGTATCTGATTTATACTGGTTCCATGTCATATGCGATCCAGTTGCTTCTCTCAGTAAATCAAGATCTGCATCCAACGATGAGCTGGTATTGGATGCAGAAGACAACATACTATTTCTTATATGCATGTATAGGTGGTTGCCTGGACTTGGACTTTCAAAGGGCCTGGTGTCCTCATCCATCTCGATAATACTTTCACTGGCATCGAGTTCAATCTCGCTAACATTATTGTCACCATTGCTGTTCATGTTGACAACATTGCTGCTGTCATCATCCTCCAAATCGGATTCAACGTGTAGGTCTTCGTTAACGAAATCGTCTTTGTGATCAGGGGTGGTCGGCTCAGCAGTGTTCGTAGTCTGTCGTTGTGATGCTAGGTTTCTATCGGCATATTGAGGGCTAATATCGTTAGCAATATGAGCTGCTAACTTATGATATTTGGTAAGGTGGCGTCGTAGATTTTATACGCAATCAAAATCTTTTCCACAAAGTGAGCAGGTCTTTCCGATATTGTCAAAGGCAAAATTGTGTTGACCTGGTCCTTTGGGAGCAGAAACTACCACCCTAGAATTTTTTGGGTAATTAATAATATGCTGCATCACAGGGCTTTCGTGATGCAATGTATTGTCTAACGTGATAAAGGAGTATAGACGACCACCATATATTTATTTATTTCTGCATCTTTAAACAACAAGTCGATTTCTTTCAGAAACCAATGAAAAGTATTATTCATGTAACCAGTAATAAGCGTATAATGGTCTTCAAAAACCAATGAAATCTGTTGTGAATAAGTATTGATTACTGCTGAATCTGAGAGTAAGACTGAAGGATAAAATAATATCCTCAACTATTCCAGTCAAACGGATCTGCCTTTATGATATTATCTAATACACAGATCATCATACACATAATTGATTATTTATTATTATCACCATGACATGGGATATACAAATACATATACATTATATATATGGCACCATTATATTTTATCTACATATTTCTTTTATTAGACAAATACTTAATTGAGAGACTACAACTACAACTATTTAATATTATGAAACATTACCCAAGTGTCTGGGTCGGAATAGTAAAATATTACCAATAGCATAAATGCTCTTCTTTACCAAAACTCTTGGACTGATCTGACTGGAGAAGTATCATATCAATTGGTCTTTCCGGATCTTTCCAGAAGAACAATACTCCTGGAATATGACTCATCGTAATAAAGATTACTTAAGCACACACTGAATTACAAATTAGAAAAACATATAAATATCAGTAGACATTGCCCTTTAAGAGAAAAGAAAAATACAAAGAATAGTTTTACGGAAATTCATATAACCGACACAAGTTAATACCAATTAACATTTTCTGACATGAGTACCCCTGAGGGATTGAACCCACAGGACAGGGCACACATGTTACGGCAAGGTAACCTACCTAACCGTGCCCAGTCTACAACACTACGTCCAAAGAACAAATCTTTGCACATCTTCACTGCTCCCAACTTTGACGAGAATATGATTGTGGATCTTGCATCCGCTGCATGGGCTAGTACCATCCATCCAATGAGTGTCTTGTTTAATCTCGGAAAACTCGTTCCCTCAAGGGACGTGGATGATGTTCTCTCTGACCGTGTAGGCCGGATGACCTCTCTCACTCTCCGTTATACTCGCTCAAAAGACCTTCTGGCAGAAGCCTTCTTTACTGACCCTTCCTCCCGCACCAAAGCAACGTCCAACGGGTTGACCTATCAGAACACCCGAATCATTGCTACACCAAGATTGCCTTCTAACAGCCACATTGTTAAGGTTAATCTTTACCGTATTAACGCCTGCGATCCTAGCACAGATCTACTCGAGCCCATCGAAAATGCATTCTGGCCTTTTGGCAAAATCGTTCAGCTGAGAGCTTATCTCTCACACCATGGTACTTTCTGTGGCAAAGCCACTATCTATTTAGACACCTCTGGACAAGATGAAGTCTGCAGTCTCCCAAGCCGTCTCCACCTTGGTGGGTCTCTTTCCTGCCTTGCTGAGCTCCGCTCCACCGATATCACACCTGTGTGTGGATACTGCCAAGAGGAAGGGCATTATCTACGCTCCTGCACAAAACGTCCTCCCTGCGCACCTCGCTACCAACGATGCGGTGTTCTTGGTCACACCATAGACAGTCGCGAGTGCCCCACTCATCCAGACAATATCGAAGCCGAGCGGGCTATCCAAGAGCAGCAGCAGATTGCACTTGCCAATACTGCGTCCCTTCGCGCACACCAATACTCGGTCGCTATGATAGAGACACCCGTACTACCAGTCACTTCATCAACCTTGACTCCTACCCATGCTTCCCCCATTCTCAACCCACCTACTACACACACAATACGTTGCTGTTCCATATCAGTGATGAATACTCGCGCCATGACAATCAGAAACCGGACCCCACACAACGGCAATCCCCCAATTCAATTTGATACAACTATGTATGACCCGACTGGCCGTGGGCTCAATGCCAGCAAGCACTCACCAGGCGCCCGAGGCCTACATAGTCGCGATGATGGCATTAACCCAGCAATTTACACTGATGACGAACTTCGACAGTCTCTTTTTGAGGCCACTCTCCGGACTCGCGCCCAAGGTGCATTCCCGTATACTGATCTGGATGGTAACACACCTATGACTGATGGAACTGAAAAGTCTGACCGCTCAGGTCAGCCAAGTTCATAAATGACTGTACAACATCTTCGCATAGGAACCTTGAATGTTTGAGGTCTCCTCTCTACCATCAATAACCCACAATCCCCAAAACTTCTTTTCATCCAACACCTTCGTACCCTTTCCCCTTCCCTTTCATTACTTGCTCTCCAAGAGACTCATTTACTCCCTATACATCACTCATCTATTCACCTTACATTCCAAGCACAGGCCAGCCTATGGACCCCACATTGCGGCCTCGTCTCTTTCGATCCCCTCCTCCAATTATCTCAACTGCATGTTTCTCCTGACAACCGTGCACTCGTTGTCAAGGTTACACATACCAACCATCGTGTTAATCCTTTTGTAGTTGTGGTTATTTATGCACCCAACATTCCTTCCCACCGGCATACTTTCTTCTCCTCATTAGCACGCACTCTCCCTACTGTCATTCCTTCCCTGCCCGCCTTTATTCTGGGGGACTTTAACTGTGATCTTAGCCATCGTCGCAGCCATCCACCGGACTGGAAAGGATACATTCAGGGTAATTGCGTGGATGCCATCACTAATTCTTCTTCACCTCCGTTACCCACTTTCCACAGCTCTCGCACCCACACACACATCGACTACATTTTCCATCCACACAGCATTGTTACCAAACGCCCTGAGGTAACATTTATCAATCCTTTATGGACTGACCACTGCCTTCTTGCGGTCTCCATTCCTTTCTCTCGCCCCCACCAGGTCCTGGAGTCTGGAGGTTTAATACGCAATATCTCCTGCATGATGAATTTGATGCTCTCATTACCAACTTTCTGGATAAGGCCGACTCTTTTCTCTCTCCTGACATGTCTCCCGGTTCTCGGTGGGATCATATTAAGCATGCTATCAAACAGCTCACCCTAACGTACTCTAAACGAGTTCAACGTCAACTCCGAAATCAGGAACGCCATCTTCATCATGCTCGAAATGAACTTGCAATTCATACTCGTTCTCCTCAACTTCTCCGCATTGAACATGAGCTTGCCACCATACAATTGTCTCGGGCCTCCACCTTGGCTGCCAGATCTGGTGCTAAATGGTGTGAAGCTGGTGAGACTTCTTCGAAATATTTCTTTTGTGTGCTCAAACAGCGAGCTGCTGCAAAAACTATCTCCTCTCTTGTTGACCCTGTCACTGGCGCGATCTACACCTCTCCCGCAGATTTGCTTGGCCATACTCGCTCTTTCTACCAATCTCTTTACTCGCCGGAACCCATTGACTATCCTGCTGCACACTCTCTTATCGACAAATTCCCACCTTCTGCCCGTCTGTCTTCCACTGACTCTGCCTACCTCATTGCTGATGTCACCTTGGATGACATTCTGTCTGTCCTTAAAGCCACCCCCATCAACTCTAGTCCTGGGATGGATGGTTTGCCCTACCCATTATGGGCTCGGCTCTTCTGTCACCCAACGGTCCAAAATCTTGCAGTTCAAGTCTATAATAATGCATTGCATGGTGTTTTTCCTCCATCTTGGCTGGAAACCGTACTTGTTCTCCTACCAAAAGCCGGTGACACTACCTCTCTCTGCAACTGGCGACCCATATCTCTTATAAACTGTGACGCCAAGTTGTTCACCAAAATGCTTACGTCCCGTTTACGATATGGTATCGACACACTCATAACACCATTCCAAACGGGTTTTATGGCAGATCGGTTTATTGCTGACAATGGTTTGCTGACACGCCTTGCCATGTCACATGCACAAATAACCCAAGACCCATGTGTTGCCCTTCTTTTGGATCAGGAGAAGGCCTATGACCGTGTCCACCCTGCGTATCTTCGTCTTGTCCTGGCCAGAGCCGGTTTCCCTACAATTTTTGTTGACTCCATCTGTGGTCTCTTCTTTTCTACTCAAATCCACGTGAATGTGAATGGGCACATATCTTCTTCTTTTCTACAAAGCCGGGGGCTACGTCAAGGTGATCCTCTCTCCCCCTTGCTGTTTAACCTGGCCTTCAAACCTTTGCTTAGATCCATTCTCGCTTCTCCTGCCATCCGTGGTTTCTGATTTCTGGTTCCGCCATCTCTCTCATCGTCCTCTCCTGAGCTCTCACCACCTCCACTCAAACTTCTTGCTTATGCCGATGACCTTCTCGTCTTTCTTTCTCTGCCTGCCGAGATGAGTGGTCTACTCAACCTTTTGCGTATATTTGGCTTAGCCTCTAACGCGAAAGTCAATCTCCATAAGACAGTTGCTGTTGCTATGTCTGGACAATTTCATCCGGATTGGGGCCCTGTATTGGATGCTGCTGATATTCACAGTCGACATGACTGTCACTCCACCACTGCCATCCGTTACCTAGGCTTCCCATTGAGCTCACATCCGTCCCAGCTTGAGACCTTCCATGCAGCTTTACTGGTCAAGCTTAGGAACCATTGCACGCTACTTTCTCAAAGATGCTTGTCCGTTCATGGTAAAAGTATTGTGGCAAACTCACTTCTTCTCAGCTCAGTATGGCATATGCTATACGTGACTCCTGCACCGCTATCTTTCTTTGCTGCCATTCGCACTCATATTCGCTCGTTCCTGCAACTAGGTTTTGGTAGCCCTGGCTGGCCACTTCTCTGTCTGCCACGCAAATCAGGCGGTTTGGGCCTGATTGATCCTGATCATCAACAACGAGCTCTTCAATTGCGCTGGATTCTCCCTATCTTGCATTCTCACTCTTTTTCTTCTACTTCCTTTATACTGCCATACCTCAAATTTATACTTCCTCTAAACTTTCGCGCTCCTTCTGCCAGTATTGCACTTTTGTTTCCCTGTAGTAGTGCAACTTGCCCGACTTCACTTCTTCCACTGCATTGCGCTTGTACCTCACTTCTTCCAGCTTCTCTCCCATCCAACTTGCAATTGCCGCCAACTGTGGTCCAACACTTCCCATTAACTTCAATATGGATGAACGTGCCACCCTTTGTTGACTCTTCTCTGAACCTGAAAAGAATTCTGGTTTCTGACGCATTTTCTCTGGAGACTGATGACTGTCTTGTCCGCAAGGTTTGTGGTACGTTTTCTCGGGCACATAATCGTATCGGTCATTTCTTCCAACAGATTGATTCTGGCAGGATGGTCCTCTGTCCTTGGTTTATCTCTTGCCTTGAACATCGACCTTCTACTGACACCCCTTCCCCCAATCTTTCCTCACTTCTTTCTTTGGTACGGTTGGACAACACTAGTTTGGGTAAAGCTAGCACCGGATCTCTTCGATGCCATCTTCGCCCGCAAGTGCCCTCATCTCTAAATTCGTCTGTCCAATGGTGTAAATTCTGGTCTGTCTCTATACCCCACCACTGTCGCACAGTCTGGTGGAAAATGCTTTGGGATAGAATGCCAACCCGAAAACGTCTCAATCTATTTATACCTCGACGCTTCCCCAGCTCATCTTGCATCTTTTGTCAAGATGCTACTGAAGATCAGTATCACTTTTTCTTTGGCTGTTCTATCAAACGGCAGGTGTGGAATGTCATTCTCTCTCGCTTTTGCCCGGCCTGGAACCTTGCTGAAATCTGCCTTCTCCTTACCAGAGGCAGCTTCCCACCACGTTCCTCCCATCAAGGCTTTTGGATTATCCTTTCCACTGTCACTGCTAAAGCGATTTGGAGTGCTCATTGGAAATTTGTTTTTGATGACCAACCCTTTCTGTCAGGCGTTGTGGCACAAAAAGCGTCCACTGTAATAGAAAAACACATCGGTACACTAGCTTAAGTATTTCCTGTCTAATTTCCTCTCCTGTTTCATTCCGTTTTTTTCTTATATTTTCGTATTTCCTCCCCCTTGTCCCTCTATCTCTTATCTGTTCAATTAAGTCTACTTTGATGGCATTTTAAAAGCTGTACGCAGAGCGTGACAGTAGATCAATAAAATACTAAAAAAAAAAAAATATCAGTAGATAGTTCCATGTAGAAAAACAATCAAATTTTATCATTCTTTACTTTTCTTTTGAAATAAACAACCTACACAAGTTCTCATGAATTCTTTCATCTATATTATATTTTGCTTTATTTTCTCCCCACAACATCAAGAATTTGATGGACAGTTATAAAAAAAATAAGCAAAATTTATCGTATATTAATAGATTGTTAAATAGATCACTACTATTCATTGAATATGCTGGAAGATTCAAATCTTCCCTTCATTGCTTCTTTTGTTGCCACGTTTATATCAAAATATGTAGTAAATTCTGGTGGTGTCATACTGCTAAAGTTCATCAACGAGGTTCTGGCGCATTTTGGACAGTCCTTCCGTCTTCCCTTGAGCTTGAGTGGTCTCAATTCTATGACAGGAATCGATTTGTTAACTAGAGGCTTGCATCGTTATGTTGCATGTAGTGAATGCAACAGCATTTATCTTGAGTCTGCGTCTGTTCCTCAGTGTTGTGATTCTTGGAAGCTTTCTGGACCAGTTTGTAAAAACAATCTTTTCTTGAGAACCGCGGCTGGCTTGCAACGCCCAAGAAAATTTTATATATACAGCTCAGTTACAAACATTTTGCATACTCTTTTCTGCCGTTCTGGATTTGAGCAATCGATCAACCTTTGGAGATCTAGACAGTAAGTTTTAGGAACTCTATTTGACATCTATAATGTTGCGAAATGGAATACTCTGAAAGATAGCATGAATCAGCAGTTTGTATGTGATGAACGATCCATAATGCTTACTCTCAACATTGACTGGTTCCAATCTTTTGATAGGGTTACTTACTCTTGTGCCACCATTTACCTCTCAATCAAAAATCTTCCAAGAGAAGAGAGATATAAGAAGGAGAACGTAATTCTTGCTGGCCTCATTCCAGGGCCTAAAGAAGTCAAGACAAGTGAGATAAATCACTACCTCCGCTCCATTGTTGTCAAACTTAAGACTTTGTATAATGGTATAATGATGTCCACGGCTCAGTGTCCCCAAGGAACTCATGTTTGCACTGCTCTGTTTCTTTTTGTCTGTGATATTTCTGCTGTCCACAAGACACGTGGGTTTACATCACACACCAGCGTCAATGCATGCCCTATATGCAACCGTAAGCTCACTTGCCTTCCCAACAAAAGAGGCATGAACTATTCAGGATTTGCCTTCTCTGACTAGGTAGCTTGAGCTGAGCAAGAGAACCAGCGATTTTGCTATTGCATGGAAAAACGCAAGGAATGAGAACCAGCAAAGGATTATGGAAAGAGAGAATGGTGTCCGCCAGTTGGAACTCCATGAGCTTGTGCATTCCAACGCAGTAGAGTACACTATAATAGATCTGATGCATAACCTCTTCTTCGGAACCCCCAAACTCATCATGAAAAAGTGGATATCAACTGGTCTGATCTCTAATGCGCACCTTATAGCTATGCAAGACGATGCTGATAAGCTTCATGTTCCTATAGGCTATACATCCCTCAGAAAAAAGATAATTAAGATATTTCCTTTCATGAACTGACGAACAGAAGTCCTGGTACCTTGTCTACTCTCCAGCTGTTCTGTCTGGCAGCCTTCCACAAAAACATTTTGACAACTGGATGTGCTTTTTCAATGCCTGTTGGTATCTAGCCATGCCAAGCTTGACATACAAAAACCTTGCTGAGGCACATTTTTGCTTGGAGCTATTTGGATGAAATTCACAGACTCTGTATGGAGAGCAATTCATCACTCCAAATATGCACCTACACCTACACATTAAAGAAACGGTTCTTAACTTTGGGCCAGCTTATGATTATTGGCTGTTCAGCTTTGAGCGTTTTAACAGCATGGTTAAATCATATAAAACCAAAAAAAAAACAGCTTTGAGGGCACAATCATAAAGAAATACCTCGAGGATACATCCAAAGTCAACTTAATCCAAGCAACTTTACCTATGATAGAAAATGAGAAGCACAAGTCGTTACTACATGAAATCACCAATTCTGACATCATCATCAATATGCCACCCACAAACACTGCCCACAATTTTAACCTAAGCAACTTCCTTACAGTGGTCCCTCAATAATTTCATGGCCCTTTAGTTTCACACTTCGATAATTTCAAGGCTCTTGTGATATTTCAGGTACGAAACAATAGAAAAATAATAAATTTGATAATAGAGACATATAGAAATACTTTGAGACTGTATATCAGTTGTGCTTTATTCATAAATAAAAAGTGTCCCTTTTTATAAGAAAACACAATCTGCTCTTGTCATTACGTGTTAGTTTCTTAAGACTTTCTTTACTAAATTTAGTTATTAGAGTATATTTACTGCTTAACTAGTGTTGGTGTTACAATTATGACATCAAGTCATAAATCATACTTCTTTAGCTCTTAGCTATTCTTTTCTCTTTTATACTAGAGCTTTAGGACTTCCTAATAAATTAGCTCCATATCGATCTGACACAGTTTACCTGGCAGTATGATATAATTATCTTAACAATCTTTAAGATATTATCTACAGTACTAACTGTAATAATTATTGGTCTGATTACTTAATCGTTTATATATATTTTATACTGACAAGATGATAGCTACTACGCTATCCCAATATGAATATGTTTTTATATATGATAAATCCAACATCCGAGTGTCGGGATCACCACAGCTCTGAAAACCCAACTTGAAAAATAGGGCTTAACTTTCACAATTTTTGTTAATTTCACTTTCATGAAATGTTTTGATCTTGAATCCTTAAAGAAAAAAAAAATTAGCCAATCAGACGAAAGCAATATAGTTAAATATTGATTTAAATTTCTTTAATTCAAACTTTTCACAATTTTGTAATTGACATCAATGTCAAGTGCGTTAAGTTTTCATGCCAAACACTGGGTTATCAAGTTGTCATCTAGCTTAATTTTTTTAAATTTTTTTTCATTTTTTTTTCAGAAATAAAATAAGACTACATGTGCTATATTTTGATTAAGTTTCATTTATTAATTGTTTAGTAAAGATCATTCACTTGAAAAATATAAATATAATTCTAATTTGTTTTGTTATAAAAGTTTTTATTATAGATTTTATTATTTCTATCTGTCATTACTATTTATTATTATTTGCAATTATTACTATTTACAAAAATATTACGAAATCTGGCTTTGACTGTACTTGGCTGCTACCTGTTTTTTTCTTTATTTTTAAATAAAGAAAAATATATTTCTTATAGAAAATTGTTTTTATTTTATTTGAAAAAATAAATAAATTTTAAAAAGACTTGAAGAAGCTAGTGACTTTAGTTTGCTTTGAGTTCACACTTTTCTGAAACTTGTTACGAAGGCCTTCAACCTTATTCACAAAATCTTTGTCAATATCTTTGTCTTCCAAGATATCCAAAAGCGTGCAAACATACTCAAACTTTTCAGAAGCAGAATATGTTCTCTTGAAAGGAACTGCTGATTCCATTTCAGCAATTTCTTCATTGCTGCTATTGTTGGCTGCATTGTCGTCTGTGTCATACTCTTTTATGACAATGTCAGCAATCTCGTTCTCATTGATCACTCTATGAGTGCATTATCTCTCATAGAGTGGGTCTGATTCGCCGGTCGGACAATCTTCAAGAGACAGAAGACCTGATCTGGCAGTCTTGTCTAGGGTTTCTTCCAAACCCTCGACCAGAACCTTTTCAGCCAGACTTTGCTGAAACATAGCCTGGTTTACATCTATAAATTATATTTAGAATATTAAGAAAGTGAAATTGAAAGATTATATTACTATTATAACCAATAAATTGTTTTACTACTACCTTCACTATCTTTGTATTCAATGAAGCAAACGATTGTTGCATTCCAGCAGTTCTCAATAGTTTTTGCTGAGACAGATTCCCAAGCCTATCTTATCCATTTTATTGCCCATAATTGATCAATTTCAAAGATTTTATCAATGGCCCCAATCTTATCTTGTTTGCCATTTTGAATCATGCCAATATACTGATATGTCTTAGCATACTGTTTACACTTAAAATAAGTCTTAGAAGCCCAAATGATGCTACCATTCAATGGCTGAAGGTGGGATGTAGTGTTTCGAGGCAGAAAAAGAAGCTCAACATTTGTAGGCACATTGTTGTATTTGTGATACTTTAATATCTGATATCATATACAAATCCAGACAAAAGTATCAGTCAAAAAGATCGTTATAAATGATTATCCAATATGAAGTCCTATCAGAAACATAAGAGCAATATGTCTGATCCATCATTGGATCATCTTCAAGAAGTACTTAAACTATTATCGCAAAGCTGTTATGATGACTCATATCCAGGGTGACTGGATATATCTCAATAAATATAAATATCATAAAGAAAATAACTTTTATTACAATAATTCGATTTGACTTGAAATTTTAATAAACACAATAAAAAAGAGTCTCAAAGTACTTATCGTTCTGCCTTTCTACATACAAATATAATACGCATAATCTACTATATGATCAGAGAAACTATTGAGAATCAAAAGCACTTTGCGGTTTTGCACTTTCATTGAACGATCAAAGTGATGGAGGAAAACATAGAAGATTGATCGTGTCATCCAGGCCTTACTGTTGTAATGATACATAAAAAATCCATGATCTACTGCCTCTTGTTTTTTACTGTTTTTGTTAGAACAGTTTAGTCTTCTAGCATGACCAATCATCAATATATCAGACCACTTGTCTATTCCATCGGCATTGTACAAAAGACCTACTATAAGCAGCTTTTTATTTTCATTCCAACCAGAAAATTTCTGGTGAGAAATCCTTGTTCTTGGTAGGGCGGCATAGAAAAGTGCTGTTTCATCAAAGTTATAGATGTCACAAGCACTATAACCCTCTACTTTCTCTTTGATAGCCGCCTTGGCAATCTGAAGTGACTCTATGTCTGTTGAAGCAGCCTCACCATGAATTCGATTCATTTTGATACAATGACGCTTTTCAACCTTCTCCATTCAGCCTTGAGAAGCATTAAAATCTTTAACGCCTATTCTTTTAGCAAAAATAGTAGCTTTCGTCTTAATCAATTCCCAAGTAATGGGGATCTGATTATTTTCAGCAATTTTGATCAAAAGAATCACTGCTTCTTCGATTTGCTATAGTTATGTGACAATAAAATAAGATTAATTTTATTTTTTTATATAGAGCAAAAATGCATAATGTTGAGATATATTACATAAAAGTCATTTTCCCTTTTGAACGCACTTTCTGTTCTTTACGTTGGCTTGCATTATCAAGCCCTGATCTCCTCTCTTCAAAATCTTTGAGATTGTAGAAACATTAAGAGCTTTCTGAAAACCAAAGGTTTCCTTTGCCCACTCAGCCAATTGAGGGTTACTCATAGACAGCTTTTTCTTTTTCTTTTTCTTTTTCATATCACAAATCTCAAGATGATTTGCAATATTAAGCAAAACATTTTTTTTGCTAATATTTATTATTTAGTTCTGTATTTAATAGATTTTCTTAAAGTATCACAAAAATTGAAAATGATATTAGACAAGCATCATATAATAAGCTAAAAGCATACCAAGAAACTGTTATTATTTGATTGAATAAGAATTTGAAACAATAATTGGTTACGAGACAGAGGGGGGATAGAAACACTACAGAAATTATATGATTCTCCCTTGAGAAACTTCGGTTGAATCAAAGGGAAATTTTGATAATATTTCCACTCCACAGGGTTTTTTACTTTTGGCGGCAACAATTTAATTGGGCCAATTCAATTGGATATAGCATATGCTATGCCTTCTGACATTTATTTTGACTAGTGCTTTGCCCTGTCGCCGACTGATAAAAAAAAACTTTTACTTTGATATTAAGACTAGACCGATTATATTTTAAAGACTATAAAAAGAAGTTTAATTATATGCTTTTATTACTTTGATTTTTGTAATTTTTGTAAATGCTATTGTGGTTATAGAATTGTAAATATATAAAGACATAGATAAATGGGGTTTTATTTCGCAGATATTCTGTATATATATAAAAATTTTAAAAGAAAATGTAAAACTGAAACATTTTGTTCGAATATATCGGTTTTACATTTATAGAAAGCGACATAATATGACATGGTTGACAAAAATGGGAACCAATCAGTATAACATTGAGGAGATATGTTAAAAGGGATTACCAATTGGATACCTGATTTAAGGATTTCTAGCTACGATGTAGACTCTGATATTAAAATAGGAAAGTCTATAAAAATAAACTATGTTACTGAATAATTTCCTTTTTTTGCAAATTTCATAAACGCAACCCAATTCCTAAAATGTCTAATAACCAAGTTGAATGCAGTTGCTCAGTATGCTCTCCAAATGGCAGATACTCTGTTATGGTCTCTTCCCAGATACGCCGTAGACATTTTGCAGATGATGTACAAAGAAATTTCCAAAAACAATCTTGTATGTATAAAGCTACCTTAACATTTTATTTTACATAATAATTTAACACATTTATATAATACAGTGTTACCTGCAGAAGCAGTAGACATGGTGAATGACAATGCTAATGACATGGAGATTGATTCCAAGACAAATATTTCTGAAGATCTTGAATGTAATTATATTTTTTTTGCAAGTTTTATAAGCTCTTATAATTCTAATTATTCAACTCTTTCTACTATAGTTGTTCACGACTTATCCAGTTCTAACGATGAGGATTTGTCCAACTCTTATGAATTCAATAACGAATCTGAAAACATTGAAGGTTAGTATAAAAAGCAGATAAGAGAAATACCTTGAAATATATTTTGGATATTAATACAACTATGCAATAGAACAATTGTTTAGCCATGAAATGCCAGCAGATCCAACCCACGCTTTCATTGCATCCTTTGCTGCATATTTTATATCCAAATACGTGGTCAATTCTGGTGGTGCTATCTTTATCAAGTTTATTAATGAGGTGCTGGCACACTTTGGACAATCATTCCGTCTGCCATTGAGTCTGAAGCGTTTAAATTCATTGGCGGGTCTAAGCACATCGACTGCAGGCATCCATCGCTTTGTAGCATGTGGCAAATGCCATAAGATTTTCTCTGAGTCAGCATCTGAGTCCATTCCCCAGTGTTGCGACTTCAGAAAGTTGTCCGGAAACACATGTGGAAACAATTTGTTTTTGGAAGCCCCCAATAGCTTGGATAGACCAAGAAAGGTCTACATGTACAACTTGATAACAACAGCATTGTCCATCTTCTTTTCGCGTCTTGGATTTGAGAGATCAATCAGCCTCTGGAGATTCCAACAGCAAGTACCAGGAACTCTGTTTGATGTATACGACGGGGCAAAATGGAACTCATTGAAAGATAATACTGGTCAACAATTCGTAGCACATGAACGTTCCATCATGCTGACACTTAACATTGATTGGTTCCAGCCCTTTGATGGGGTTACTTACTCTTGTGGCGCGATCTACTTGTCTGTAAACAATCTGCCCAGGGAGAAAAGATACAAGAAGGAGAACGTCGTCCTTGTGGGACTTATGCCAGGTCCAAGCGAAGCCAAAACAAGCCAGATAAACCATTATCTTTGCCCTCTTGTAACCGAGGTAAACCAATTGTATTCTGGTGTTGCTATTCCAACAAACAAGTGTCCTTCCGGTACCTTGGTCCGTGCCACAATTCTTCTCATTGCTTGTGACATCCCAGCCACAAGAAAAACATGTGGATTTACATTGCATGCCAGTACTAACGCATGTCATGTATGCAACCGCCAGTTTTCTTGTCATTTGGATGGCAAGGGTATGAACCATTCTGGTTTCATATTCTCCAATTGGATTTTCAACACTGACGAAGAGAACAAAAGAAATGCAGAGAGATGGAGACAAGCTGGTAGCGATGCTGAAAGAGCAAGATTAGAGAAAAAGAATGGTGTCCACTGGTCAGAGCTCCATTGACTTCAATATTTCAATGCAGTTGAGTGTACCATTATAGATCCGATGCATAATCTCTTCCTTGGCATGGCAAAAAGGATGATGGAGAGATGGAGAGAAGAGGGTCTTATTACCAGTGAGCACCTGGCCGAAATGCAGCAAGACGCAGACAGTATAATAATTCCTCTCAGCATCACTCCATTGCATAACAAAATTGGAAAGGGCTTTCTGTTCACAAAGGCAGACGAATGGAAGTCCTGGTGTTTGATTTACTCTCCCATTCTCCTGGCTGGTCATTTACCATCAGAAGACCTCTGTGACTGGATGGAGTTTGTTCACGTGTGCAAGTACTTGACAAGACCAAGTATAACTGTCGAAGACTTACATGTGCATGATTTTTTGGAGTCGTTTGGTCAAAAGTGTCACGTTAGGTTCGGGAAGAATTTCATATTGCCCAACATGCATCTACACCTGCATCTCAAAGAAACCGTCCTCAACTTTGGCCCTGTGTATGGGTACTGGCTCTTCAGCTTTGAGAGATACAATGGCGTATTAAAAAACTATGCTACAAATAACAAAGATGGATTTGAAGGCACGTTCATGCGAAGATACCTTGAGGACACGCGCAAGATAGATCTTTTTCGTACAACAATGCAATCTCTCCAGATCTCCTCTCAAGTCTCTTTGATATATGAGCTCGTTGATTCATTTCTGATTCTTGTCACTGTCACTGCTGCTATCACTACCACTATTGTTCCTGCTGCACTGTACTTGTCGACCACTTCTTCTGGTTTCAATCTGAAGACCTTCCTTGATTCTGCTGAAGTGAACATCGACAATGTCAAAGGCAACGAGCCATTGCTTCCTTCTGCCTTCCCTCTCAGTATTGATGAGTTTGTTCCAATGAAAGAAGACGAGTATGCCCTTCTGCTCAAGTTCTACTGTACGGCGTACAGCAATACTTTGTTGACAGGTTACCAAGACGCAATATTTGGCCAATTGTTCGTGAACAACATGATTCAGAAGATGCAGTCCATCAATCTTCTTGGCCAGGTATATAAAGGCAGCAATGGTGTAGTTCGACGTGATTCAATCATATAAACAATGTTTCATGAAAACAATGATCGTGGAATTAGCGCGTTTACTGGTCAGATCCAATATCTTTTTGTCAGCAATATCATCAACCCAGTTACATACCAAGCAGACAGACATACATTCGCATATGTCAGGTGGTATAGAACGTCTAGCCAGGATACAAGAAGTGAGCAGTTTGTGGAGATGAGCAAATTTTCGTTTACAAGAAGCGATTTTCAAAACATCTTACCTGTTCACCGCATATTGATGCCTGCTGCTATTGGTGTACATACAACTGTCACCGGTAATACCCATATGCTCATTGCCCCTTTATATAGAAAAATTTATGCATAAACAAAAAAAAACATATATATATATCTTTATTTATTATTACTATTATTATTATTATTATTATTAAAAATATTTGCTTTATACAAATGATATGATGAAAAGAAAAAGTATTTTATATTGCCATTTTTAAAGTCGTTTGCTTTGAATGAATAAGCTGATGAAGAGAGAAAGTATTTTGTGTTGCTCTTAAAGTCGTTTGCTTCGAATGAATAAGATGATGAAGAGAGAAATTATTTTGTATTGCTATTAAAGTCCTTCAATTCGAATGAATAAGATGAGGAGAATAACTATATTATATTGCTATTATTAAAAATCTTTACTTTATACAAATGAGATGATGAAGAGATAAATAATATTTATTTATCATTATTAAAAAAAATGGTTTGTATAAATAAGATGATGAAGAGATGAATTATATTTATTTATTATTATTAAAAAAAATGGTTTGGAAGAATAAGATGAAGAGAAAAATTGTATTTATTTATTAATCTTTAATGGTCCATTGAGCTAGTGGGACTTTTAAATCATTGGGAACATCTGCGTCACACGTAACCCTGATACGAGGGATAAGTTTCAGTGATCTTTGCTGTCCTTTTGCTACAGCATAATCGTCAAGTCTTTCCAAGAGCGTTTGAAGCTATTTTTTTTTCACATTAATTATTTTTCATATATCAATTAATCTCTAAGTATATTACCTCATCACTTCTCCAGTTAGGGCGATAAGCCTTCAGGCGTTTACTGCTGGCCAATCTAGTTGCCTCATCATCTGTCTCATCATCAGACATTGCTGCATTTTGAAGGACATGAGCACAATTGTCTCTTTTCGTGACTGTATCAATGGCTTCTTTGTTTTCAAGATAAGCCATGGAACGCTGGCAAAGAAGCTGTACATAAATTTAAAAAATAACAGTGAGTATCAAATAATATATATATATACATATCTAATTAGACACTTACTAACAAACCATGCTGATGTCTTCTTGATGCAGTTCTTTTTCTGTTTGCAGATGAAGGCGTCTGCGGGACTCATGGATCTGGTTGCAAAAATGGTTTTTTACTATACATGCAAGGTCACTTGTAAGTATGCCAGCAGATTGAGGTTGGCTCCGCAAATATGCAGTTAGAGCCAGTGCAAGACTGTGGTTATAGCCACCTGTAAAGTAGCTTGTAAGGACCCATCCTGGCTTTGCAGCATTTGTGGCTACTTTTCTTTGATCACTACTGCTGAAGTTCCGCTTTTTCAGATACCCATTGATCAATTTCTATGAGAAAAGTGTTAGATGTCTTGGCCATTATTCTCAAATCAAATCTTACAGAGATTGCTGGGTGTCTCTTTCCAGGCACATAATCATCTTCCATCAATGATGAAAGACCAGTGACCGCTTCAACGCCTGATGTAACATTGTATCTGGAAGCAGTATTTTGGACAACAGTTTGACCAGAAACAATATTTGCAACTGTCTCCTGAAGACAAGTTGTGGTATCATTGGACTTGGTGATACTGGTGGCCATGCTTGCAATTTGGTCAGTAAGACTCTTCATCTGAGCATTAAGACAGGCCAGCATTGCCAGAACTGGATCGGCCACATTACCATCAACATGGCTACCTGCCGGTCTCGTGGTAGGTGTATACATAACCGATGCCAGACCAGTGTTGCTGTTGGGCATGATATTACGTGCAATAGCCGCATGCACAAAGTTATTCTCAGAGGGACTGTTAGAGGTGAAGTTGTTCATTTTCTATATAGAATCAAATATTAATATATAGTGCCATAGGTTAGGAAAGTGCACACTTTGAATTCCCAACTTTTTTTTTAATAAAAAAATGTCCATCCCTTGTTTTGTTTTCTCTTTCACACCCTTTATTTCTCATTTAATTTTAACCATGTCTTCCAAAAACATTTCTGAAGCTCGTATGCTTGAAAGAGAGATTTTAAGCAAAAAGAACAGCGTAATTATTGGATCTTTTAAATCTGGAGAAAAAGTACCAGTCATCTGTGAGACGCATGGAGTATCACAACGAACTGTCTACAATTTAGTCAAAACATATAATGAAAGAGGGACTGCAGTTACACCAAAGCAGAAGGGACCTTCCAGGATATTTACTGAAAGAGATCTGCATGTTTTGTGTTGCGAAATAGTGAAAGACAGGTCAGCCAACCTGGATACCCTAATTCCGACTATGTCAATCATCTTGCATCGGACTGTTTGCAAGGATACCTTGCGTGATGCTATTAAAAGACTTAATATGAAGTCATGTATGGCTGTACACAAGCCTTGGCTTACTGATAAGTATCAAAAGAACTGCATGGCATTTGCTTGCCATGTCCAAAAAGTCAACCACAGCTGGGAACACGTAATTTGGAGTGATGAGTCATCATTTATACTGTTTCCTATGTGCAAAAGTGTACAAATCTGACGTCTGGCATCAGAAATATACAGATATGACTGTATAAGACCAATGATTTAAGGTGGAAGAGAATCAGTAATGATTTGGGGATGTATTTGGTCTGGTGGAGTTGGCTCTCTAGAAATCGTGCATGGCAGCCAGAATCAATGAAGTTATAAGAACATCCTAGAAAAAAGGCTGGTTCCCTTCAAACGTCGCCTGGAGCAAGCACACAATAATAGTTTTATTTTCCAGCAAGATAACGCCCCTTGTCATAGAACAAAAATGATAGAAGAGTACCAAACAGCTGCCAATTTGGAGGTAATGAAGTGGCCTGCACGCAGTCCCAATCTTAGCCCGATTGAGAATGTGTGGGCATATCTTAGGAAGCAGGTGAGGGCTAGAAGATCTCACCCAAAGAACCTTACCCAATTGAAAAGGTTTTTACAAGAAGAATGGAGAAAAATACCAGCCTCTGTGTGTGCGACCCATTGCAACTCAATGCCAAAGAGGCTATATGCTCTCAAGAAGAGTAAAGAATTGTATACAAAATATTAAAATATATTTTTAAAACCAATTTTTATAGAAGAGAAGACTTCAAGCTTTCTTGTGTGTTATTTTGACAGTGTGTTATAAGTTTAAAAATGGAAAAACATAGATGGTAGCATTTGTATAAACATTTTCATTTTTTCGGAACTTAAATCTGTGCACTTTACCAACCTATGGCACTGTATATTAGCTAATGAAATAAGCTTGACACAGTTTCTGTTGAATTTATACATACAAATAAAGAAGGTGATTGAGAGAGGTCAATTAAGTAAAGTCGAAGCCCTATTTATTACAAATTTTCAACTATAGTAATTATTCAAACTACATATGTTTCAATTCGGAGAAGTATATATCTTTGGGTAAATGAATCGTCTTTTTTTTTGAAACATTGTTTATCTGCCGCTTTTCTTTGGAATCTATATATTTGAAGTCAAGCTATTTTCTTTCTTTCTTTTCTCTTTTGCACTTTTTGACACAAATTTATGGTAAAACATTTTCCTTTTTTTTTGCTTCTTTGTTTTACTTCTTTGTTTTACTTCGATGTTTTACTTTGATGTTTTACTTCTTTACTCACTGCTTTTTGTCTTCCAACAGTTTGACAAGTTATATATTTCTTTTTTTTGGTAAAGTATCTAACTAGAGACATGCCAATAAATAAATGTTTAAAGTATTTATTCTTTACTAATAATGCCAGCAATATAGATACCATTATATCCTTTTGATGCCATCCACAATAATATTCACATCTCATATTGTGATATGTCTTTACGGAATACATGTATTCTAACTTTGCTTTTATATCCATCTTTTCTTTGTAATCATTATTCAATTAGGTCCAAGTATTATTTTCTTAGAACAATAACATCTGATAAGTTTTTTTTAACAAGCAAATCATCTATACACTCATTATAAACAATACTAAATGTGATATCTTTTGGTAGCAATTAGTGTACCAAGAGTTTTAATCTTGTAGTGTTTACTAGCTGTCAATTATTAGTTTATGACAATTGTATCAAGCCCATAAGTATCAATTTTCTTATATTTTATTTTCAATGATATCATCTAATATATATATCTTTCTTTTCTTGTGTTATATAGTCGACTATCTCTTCAAGTAGGTATTGGCGTAAGTGCTTTAAACAATAACAGTTCAACAGTATATGGTGGGAAGTATTGTTATAATCAATAGTTTTACAAAATGAATGTACCAAAAAAACTAGAATGCTCATCAAGAAAATATTCTTTTTCAAATATCAAAATAAACAAAATAAAAAAAAAATTTCACTCAAAATAATACAAAACCGCTTCTTTAAAATGTATGGTTTCACAAATGTGAAATGCTAAGAAATATACTTTCCCACAAATTCGTGCTATAAAACCATAAATTAATATACAATGAAAAAAGGGGAAAGTGTTCCTGCTAAAGAAGTATTGATGTCCGATTCAAAAATGAATGATTTCCCACAAATTTTATATAATAAAAATATAATTGTCCACAAATTCGTGTTATAAAACAAAAAATAAATATACAAGGAAATAAGGGGAAAGTATACCCACTAAAGAAGTATTTTTATTGGCTTAAAATGAATGCTTTCCTATAGATTTTATATGATAAAATATACTTTCCCACAAATTCGTATTATATAACTAGAGAAAAAATATACAGAAAAATATAGGGAAAGTATAGATGCATAAGCAGTATCCATATCTGGTTTTTTTTTAGACTAAATGATGACCTAAAATGAAATATAATGACTACATGTATCAAGAGCACGAAGTATACACTCATTATTTCTATTCAAATACAATTGACAGACTAAGAAGGGTTATTGTTACTCAGTGAAACAATACTTACTTCATGATCTTAAACTTCTATCTACCTGGTATAAGTATACTAGATATCTCACGGGTAACATTCCTAAAACCACACAGAAATCTTGGCTTTAAACTCAATATTCACATACTTTCTACTCAATGAAATCATATAATTTTTGTAGTGAAAATAGCAATGCAGGCAGGGATTATATTTATCTAGAATGAATTTAAACAGAGGATTGAAGCATATTGAATCATTTCTTAATATATTTTTCTCTATTAAAGAATATTGTAAACTCCGCCCAGTTAGTGGGAAATATATAATCCAAACTCGTTAATTTCACTTTTTGATA